ATCGGTGCTCTAGCCATGAGATAGAATACTATTCTACAATTTCCATTGATTAAGTCCAACGCCAACGTAAAAGCAGCAAATAATTCTTTATTCATTCAACCAAATGTGGGAAGAATAAATAGGTAAACTAAGTTTAGCCCGATCAATACCATTCGTGATATATTTATAGATAATGTTAATTCTGGACGGTGTTTCAAGCCTTTTGCATGTTGGTTATTATTGGATGTGCTCTTCTGAAATAGCTGATACCTTTTTTGATAATGATAAGGTTTAAGTGAACAATTCTAAGACTTTTATTTAATTAGGCGATGATCAGTTACCACACAGCTGGGCACACAGGAGCAAGAAGTTTTTAGCCAGTAAGATTCTAAGAATGTTTTTCTCGCCTCACCCACGGTAGGGTCAGGAGCAATTTGACGAGTTTGCCCCAAAATAAACAAAATTTACTGACTACATTACTTCATATAATGACATTGAATTCTTAATTGGCCATACTCGCTTCTTTCGGATCTGACTCTTTTTCCTCAACAATAATAGTAAATTCATTGAAATTTCTAAACAAATCATTATTAGGTATGTGTTACATTGCAAATGTTACCACCAACGCAGCAGTCAACAACTCTTTACACACTAGTGCCCTATGCAAACTGCGCTTTCCTCGATTCTCTCTGCCCACACAACTTTCATAACTGCAGATCCTGAAATAGATACGGTCGTTAATATAATCGCTTCCTCTCCTTGCTCTTCGCCTGTTCTATCCTTTTGATCTTTAGTGGCGATTTCGTTATGCAAATCTATTGTTGTTTTTTATTTCACATCAAATCGTCGAATCGCCCACTGCTGAGCAAAGGCCTCTTCTCACAAGGAGAAGGTATGAGCATTAATCACCACGCGTGCTCAAGGCGGATTGGCGATTTCAAACTTATAATTAGAAATTATAAGTCCAGATTTCCTGACAATGTTTTTCCTTCACCTTTTGTCAGTGGTTTCTAAATAATCTTAGTAAGTACATATAAATCGGAAAAAGTCACATTGGTACTTGCCAGGTTTCGAACTGGCACTCTCATGCATGAAAAGCGGGTGCCTTAACCTCCAAGCCACCACGGCACCTAGTTGTTTTATTTGTCTCCGCTTAACTGTCATGCGTTCTATTCAGCCTATTCTGTCAGTCAATGTCACCTGTCAGAAATTATGATTACTGTCATTGAATATTTTGAATTTAGATTTTATTTTTATGTTCCATTGTTTTGTTTCTTATTGCAACATGGTTTTGTTATAGGCCGTTTTCTTATCTCTATGTATTTCAGTCCTAACGATCCAATTAATAGCCTCGTTTGTTTTATAACCGCGATCGCTAAATTCAAGGTTCCGAGTTCGATGCCCGACTGTTAACGGTAACAATTTCAGGATATTGAATATTAGCAGAGCTTACGTTCTTATTTGAGAAGTAACTTAGTCGATTACCTCATAATGTAAATGTTTACGTTGAACCAAATCGTAATGGTTAAAATAAACCTCTTTATGGAGTAAATACGTCGAAAGATTTACGTAAGTTCGATAAAACTATTTTTTTCTTAAAGAGTAATCGATTTTTTCTTCTTCTTTGTGAGTTATGATGGATGGATGATCTCTCTTAGTGGATTGTTGCCAATTCATACATATTTCTTTTTATAGAGATTCCGTATCTTACTATTAGTCATTCATGTTTAGTTTTGTTGGTAGTATTTTGACGAATTACATCATGTTCATTTGTATTTTTATACTCTTCGTTTGAGTGGTATACTAGTCAGGTATGAAATAAGGTTGCACGCAACGACGTTCCGACACGACATCCTATGACTTGTATTACGTTTTTTAACAATCCGAATTTATTTATTTATTTATTTAATTCTCGAATTCTCTTATAAGCAATATAGTACATCCTGTAGTGCTCGGACTCAAATCAGCGTTAAGTGCACAGTAGGCACAATGACTAGGGAACCGGCTGACGTGCTACGTGTCACGGTTTCGATTTCCGCCAGAACTAAATCTTTGTGTAATCCATAAATTGTTGTTCCGAGTATATGTTTATTTATAAGCGCACCCTTGACAAAGGAGAAAACCCCAGTGTGGAGAATCGTTATTTTATTTAAAAAAACTAAAATTGAATCATAGTTTAAATCGCAATAAAATATGCAGTAAATTGTTATGTGTTCCTGTAGTTTTGACGGCTGTTTGACATTCAAACAAACCAACTGTCATGTCTTTGTTAATTAATTACATAATAAAAGTCAGTTAAAATGATCATAACATATATTTGTTGGTGTTGCGAACGTGTAAGGACCAATTTTCCTATTTATTGGCAGACCGGTCATTCCTGGTTTATTAAAGCCCAATTTAAACTTTATTGCAAGCTTACAGAGTTGATAATTTAAGAAGTTTAGGAAATTCTTAATATTTTAATGTTTTATTAAGAAACTACATAAAACTTAGATCAGAAAGTGCTGGTATGTGCTATGCACTATTGAACAAGGATACAGTAATAATGTTTACATTAAACATTGCTGTTTTACATACAGCGATTTCTTATTCAAATTTAAACCATTCTATTGCAAGCTAGGGGCGAGATTTAATCGCACTGGGGAGCGGTGACCTATTAACGGGCATGCATTTTGACGTTACGAAAGAGAGGAAATACGTTGATACTGGTAAAATTAGGAAAAATTAAAATACGTCGTAAATAAAATGCGAAATCTAAAGTTTAATTTATTTTAGTTAATGGCAATATATATTATATACGATCACATTGTTTCCAAAATACGTGTCATAGTGTCAAGATTACCCGGGCGTCGCACCGGCGCGGATGGATGCGCGCGCAGCGACCTCAAAATTTCCTCCGTAGTATTGAATCGGCCAGTCACTTTTCCTAACCTCAAAAACGAATCCCAAACAGCTGTTTCGTAATTCGTGATGAAACAAAACACGTAATTAATGAAAATTACCGCACTGACAATCGCACGGGACGTCTGGACGCTTCGGATGCCATTACGAAATTGTTTAAATTTAGAATCCGGCGATATTTTTTTTCGATTTACGGTTTTCTTGGCTTTCATTCAGTTTCCAGCCAGCCGGGTTCGCGGATAGCTGTATTCTTTTTAAATTGGCTCGATATTATTTAAATCGTTTTGTTATTCGTGTAAAATATAATAAAAATACTATTGTTTGTAGGTTATATGGATATTAGTCATGATAATAGTTTATACAGATGTTGTAATATGAAGTGCAGTGATTATTGTGAGACATGTATGTGTTAAGTGAACCTTATAAATAATATACTACAGTGTTGTGTTATAAATTGTGTGTAAAATGGAGGAGGAGTACGAATATGACTTCGCCTACGAGTGCCGGGTTGGTATTCCTACAAATTGTTGTCCTATAACTGCCTGCCAATGTTTGACCCAATGCGGACAATATACATATTTGTGACACGTGACTGCGCACTTTTTGAATATATAAACAAATGCATTTAAGTATTTATAAGAGTTTGCGAAAAATTCGATTATGGAAAACAAACAGTTTTAAGCTTCTTTTTCGATAAAACTAAATTTAATTTCTGTGGTTCGAATCTTATACAATAATCCTCTAATATCGATGTATAATGGTATAATTATTGAAAAACTTGCTTTTGCCCGCGACTTCGTTCGCGAGGAATAGTGACTTTCTACAGATTTTTGGTATAAAAACGATATGATATGACCTTCCTCGAGTTCCACACTATGTCTGTACCAAATTTCACAAAAATCAGTTCAGTAGTTTAGGCATGAAGAAAAGACAGACAGACAGAGTTACTTTCGAATTTATAGGTATAATATTAAGCTTGGATTAAGTTTACGAAATTGAAATACATAAAAAAGACTTTAACAAAGAGAAAACAAGCTTTAATTTTGCTCTGTTTTAAAATAGTTAAACAGTTGATATTTTCCTTATACGAAAAAATGTAAAGTTTTGCAATAAAAGTTACTTCTGGCGTTTTTTTACGTGTCGGTCATTGACCTTACTCGATCCATCGATCTTTTCGGTTCATGTTTTTGCGATATAATCATGAACTCTATCTAAGTATTCGTGACGTGCAGACTTAAGTGCATTCGTTTCTTTCAGACGTTTAAATTATATTTTTATGTAAAAGAAATATAAGTTTATTACCGAAATGTTCATTGATTATGTTTACATACTTTTAACAAATTGCCCTACGTGAAAGCTACAATACCTATGGTGTTACGGTCGAACTCTCTCTCGTCAATATGTTACAAAAAAATAACCACCTGTACCTACAACTAAATTTAAGAATTATATAATAAATAATTTAACGTTTAAATAAAATAATAATCTCAAATTAAATCACGAATAATTTCAAAAGCTTCAAATAATTTAAATCAAATAATAAATAACGAATGATTTATTACAATTAAATAAAGTAAGATTTATAAAAAAAATAACATATCCACTCTGTATAAACGGCTGTCAACAATTGTCATATACAAATGTCAAACGTCAATTGGTTTATTGATCGTCGAATTAAATTGTGCAATTGAAATAGAATTATTTATTATTTTGTGAACAAATTATCTCATTATTCTTCTGCCATATTTTTTTTGATATTCTATGTCAAATGTCAAAACTGTTTATGTTATTGAATTGATCAAATTTAATCGATCCATCAAAGTGGATGTAAGCCAGATATTATCAGAAGTACAAATTACATTTCGCTTTTTATGAAGTAGATATTATTTTAGTACATATGGTATACAATTGCTAGAATAAGTTGATTCATATTATCGTTATTTATAAAGGAAGATAAAAATGTTGTTGTTGAATGTTTTTTATTTCACCAATAAGCACCACAATATTGTTCATGAAGCATTAACCCCTGTAAGATACTAGTTTCTGTATGAGAAAGTGACTTTCGCCAGCCCTAGTCAAATGTGACAGTTTAATTGACGTTTCTGTTTTTTTTATTTCAGCGTCTCGTTGAGGCGATGGCGCCTCGGTCGGCACGATCCTTCAGACAGGAGTTCAATATGCAAGACTTGACCACAGAACAGACATACACAACGCATTATACCACAGAAAAGTAAGTTATTCTTTTTTAATACAAACATTAGATACTATTTATATTGTAATTGATTTGTAGATGTTAATCAAGAAAAACACGCCATTCATCGTAATAAAAATGTCAGCACTACCGAACAATTTATGCTACATCTTTTTAAAGACGGTATTTTACTAGCTTGTATATTCATTAGTTAAAAATCATATCGATAACGGCATTTAGTCGTAGCAATAATAAACAAAATAATTATTCTCTTCCAAACCAGATACGTCAGGACATCACACTCAACAGAACTAGACGGTCAACCAGTTAAATCAATGACCAATGGCAAATTAAATTCACCTAATTACACAACGAAAACAATTATAACAGAAGATGATAGGCCTGACGTAAGAAACCTAAAGAGAGTCCACAGAATGTATGAAGGACCAAACATTATCGAATCTAAAGGTATATTGCATCCCGAAACTAAAGAAATACTCACTGTTGGTCAAGCCATCAGTATGAGAATACTCGATGTACGAACAGGGCGGCTGTTGTCAGCCCCCGGCACAAGACAGACAATAAGTATTGAACAAGCAGCGAAAGAGGGTCTGATAGATCCCAAACTAGCTGCAAGACTTACAGGACCGTGCGGCATGACCGAAGACGGCAACGAAGTCACATTAATAGAAGCAATACAAAGAGAACTATACGACGCAGAACAAGGACTTACAGATCCAGCGGAGAAGAGAGTCAAGGTAACTGTAGAAGGCGAAAAATCCGCACAAGGAATGAGTATTTCGGATGCATTGAACCGAGGACAAGTTGATTTACAAAGAGGTCTATATAGACTACCTAATGGAAGCTACATAACTATTGCCGAAGCCTACCAACGCGGCTACCTCATTTACAATGAGATTATCAAAATAAAATCGAGTGCTCTGTGTCTGTCTGACGCGATTAGTCAAGAATTAGTAGACAACAGCGGTTGGATTCTGGATAGGAACTCGGGCGATAGATACCAAATTGATGTTGCTATTAAAAATGAACTTATCAATCCTAACATTAGAGAAGTAGTTGACCCTAAAAACGATACTAAAATTACGCTTGCTGAAGCGATAGAGAAAAATATAATTAATACTAAACATTCAAAATACGTTCATAATATAACAAAAGAGAAACTAACTTTCAAAGACGCAGCAAGTAAACGCTTTATTTGTAAACCTATGACACTTAAAGATGTCTGCGATAACAATCTTATGACTAATGACGGTAAGATCTTATCACCAGCTAATCGGTCTCCTTTGAACATTCTCGAGGCCATTTCCGCAGGTGTCCTTGACAGTGACAACGTTAAATGTATCACCAACACAACGACGGGAGGTCTCCTCACGCTTTCAGAGGCATTAGGCGCGAAAATAATTTTGCATGACAATAAATTCCGTGATAATTTAACCGGAGAAATATGTACCATTCCCGAGGCAGTAGATCGTGGATTAATTACTTCGGTTTCTCAAAGATCTATTTTCGACATCGACGGTTTTAAAGATCCCAAAACAGGGGAATTCGTATCTTTCAACGTTGCACTCGGTAAGGGTAACCTTAAATATGTAAATGGTGAGACTTTCCTTAAGTCAGAAAGTGGAGACTGGGTATTCTTAGAAGACTGTACTAAAGTGTCTTTAGTTAGGGCCGAAGTATTAGAAATGTTTAATCGTAAGATAGGAATTTATGAAAACGGTAAAGAATTGTCAGTTTTAGACGCAGTGTTTAAAAATATTCTCGATCCGAAAACAGGGCATTTATTAGAAGCGGCTACTAAAAAGCCTATTCCGTTTAACAAAGCTGTAGAAATAAATATGATCACACCTGAAGGTGCGGCTTTACTGAATTCGCTTTTGAATATCACGCTAACATTACAAACTGTTACAAAAACCGTTAAACGGTACGTAACAGTCACCAACACAAGTGCTACGCAACGATCCGAAACGATAATTACATTCGCGGAAGCTATAAGACGCGGTCTTATCGATGAAAATACTCAAACCTTTACCGACCCTACCACGGGCACAGTGTTCCCTATACAACAAGCTTTAGATGAGGGCTTGTTAGGTGTGGAAAAGAATGAGCCACGCGTGGTCCACATATCAGACCGCGTTAAGAAAGACTTAGTACCAGGCCAAGTTGTTGAACTGAAAATCACAAAAAAATCGTTCATCAAAGATTTACCACCCAGTCCTGAAGGTAAAGTGCAAAGAGATAGTGCTAGGCCAGAGACTCTTAAGAGCCCCGATTTTGCCATTCATGAAACAGTTCAACTTCGTGAGGGTTTGGTGCAGGAAATTCGAACGGTAACATCAAAATCCGTTGTTACTGAACCGTCAGTAACTTCTATGACTATCAAAAAGAATACGATTGAGCTACCCCGTGGTGGCTGGACTTTGAAAGAAGCTATTCAACAGAATCTTTTTGACCCATCTACTGGTATGTTTGTAATTCCCGGTACTGACAGAGTTCTAGACCTGGAAGAAGCCATTAAATTGAACATCATAAATGGAGACTCGGCCAATGTAGTAGATCCAAAATCTAAAAAAGAGATCCCTCTCAACCGTGCTTTAGATTTCCGAATAATTGACAGTACAGGACATTATAAACATAAAACAGAAATAATGACTATGAAACAAGCGATTGAACGTAGGTACATCGTCTTCATCCAACTAACATCTACAACTCATTCACAGAAAGTTATTACTATTACGTCTGTAGCTGGGATGCCAGACAAGATGGAAATATCTGAAATGTGTGATGCGCCATCGCACGAGATTATAACGGAAGACCAATCAGCATTGGAACCCGTTCAGGTAAAACCTGGTGTGATTTTTGATCCCGCTACGGCTTTAGTTATTTCCACCTCGTCTGGTGTTTCTGAAAATGTTTTAGAAGCAGTAGATCGGGGTTTGTTGCCAGCTAACAGTGTTAAAGTTGTTGAACCTCAATCAGGTAGGCCTATATCGCTAAAACAGGCTGTAGAACAAGGTATAGTCGATCCAAAAACTGGAGAATATAAAGACAAAACTGGAAAGAGAATAAGTCTCGTAGATGCGGCTAAAATAGGTCTAGTTGCAGTAGTAGGTGCACCTCTTGTAGCAGCGTCTAAAGTTATCCAAGTAGTTAAAAGCACTATGGTAGTAGACCCACAAACAGGTGAAAATATACCCATGGAAGTAGCTTACGAAAGAGGATTAGTCGATCCAGTTACATACAAAAAATACGAGGAATCAATTAGGGACAGGTCACCGGAGGTGGAAGTCACACAGGAAATTAAGACAACTAGTACTAGTAGCGTGACGTATTCACAAGTTACTACAACGAAAACTCTACCAACGGAAACAACGGTTACCGTTGTAGTTGACCCAAAAACTGGTGAAAAGCTACCAATAGAGGTTGCGTATGAAAGAGGCCTTATTGATCCAATTTCATACAAAAAGTATGAACTGTCAATTAGGGAAAGAACTCCTGAGTATGCTCAGCGATTTACTACACCATCATCTACAGACATTACCTTTACTCAAGTACCAAGTGCGACCACGCCTGATAAAGTAGTTACGATGGTAGTTGATCCCAAGACGGGTGAGCAGTTACCTATTGAGGTTGCTTACGAACGAGGTATATTGGACCCTATTACTTACAAAATCTACCAAGACTCACTTGCAATAAATCAACAAGAAACCTTAACAAAACCTGGAATTGCCCAAACTGCTCCAGGCGCTAGCACAGTCACTATCTCTCAGGTTACTAAGCCTGTATCAGTAGGAGCAGCAGTTTCAGAAGGTTTTATAACTGTTGAATCAATACAAAATAGTCTTTCAGCTGACAATAGGCGTATTATTGAAACAAATGTAATTACTGAAAAGTTAAAATCGAAACCAACTGATATTATCCAAATCAATAAAACCACTATTAGTGCCAAACCCAAATATAAAGTCAATGTAGGTAGAGAACAAACTCCTGAAGGACAAGTTCTTGACACAAAACCAATAGTATTACAAAAACTCAGAAAACATGTCGTTACTCCGGGTGAAGCTGTCGAGCAGGGCTTGATAGATAAGGACACTGTCAAAATATTAGAAGCCGTCAAAGTTTATAAAGATGAAAGTGGTTCACCAATTACTCTTGAAGTCGCTATCGAGAAAGGCATCGTCGATGAAAATCAGGGTAAAATTGTTGATCCCGTACGCGGTGATGTTCTTAATATCAAGGAAGCTATTAAGAGAGGAATCCTTGATGTTGAAGGGCAGGATGAAATATTGATTCCGTTAGCTAAGAGTCTATCTATTCCCGAAGTTTTAGAACAGGGACTCTTGGACCCAGTCACCGGAAAAATAGTTCATCCTGAAACTGGTAACTTACTGACATTGAGAGAAGCAATCATTTGCGATATTGTTGATCCTTTGTCTAGTATAACCATAGCTCCGGGTAAAAATATAACTTTGGCAGAAGCCATTGAGAGGAATATTGTAGATCACGACAAAAACGTATTTAAAACATCTGACGGCCCCCTTGATTTCATTTCAGCGGTTAACGCTCAGGTGTTCCCTGAATCTGAAAACAAACCCGTCATTGACATTCCTCCAGCGGCAATGACACTTAACATCGCAATAAAAAAGAATTTAATCAACCCACACACTGGAGAAATGAAACATCCTCTTACCGGTGAAATGACACCTGTGGGCGATGCCATCAAAAAGGATCTAATTATGGCTATTCCTTACCCCCAAACATCTGAAACTTTAACTCTAGAAGAGGCACTAGATAAAGGAGCAGTTAACCTGAAACAAGCAACATTTACTGATCCCAAAACTAAACAAGTTTTGCCTTTAGATAAGGCTCTAGAGCAAGGCTTGGTGGCAGTCAAACCAATCACCGATATGCAAACGACTGGTGTTGTAACAACTATCACTGAAACCTTTACATCACAGCATACTGTAACAACTAAAATGATTGAACTTCTCGCTGACTATGTACTGATCAGTTCTAACCAAGTTCAAAATACAAAGACTGGTGAAATAATATCTATCGATGAAGCTCGTCGTCATGGTATTGTGCGAGATGAACAGACCAGCAAAGAACAATTCATTACTGATACAAATATAAACTTTGAAGATGCTCTGAATCTTGGGTATATCAATATTGAAGCTGGCACGTTTACTCATCCTAAAACGGGTGAAACCGTTACTATTTCTGAAGCAGTTACTAGTGGTTTGTTGAACACTGAAGTGCCAACTGATTCAGGTAAATTAAGTCCTCAAAAACAAGTTCTAGATATGTTAGATCTGAACGAGGCATTCGAACTTCTCTTTGATGAAAAAACTCAAAAATTCAGAGATCCAAAATCACCCAACAAGGTTATGACTTTCAAAGAAGCTCTTGAAAAGAAGGTAATTAATCCCGATTCGGTTATTTACAATGTAGAAGCTGGTAAGCCCGTAACTCTCAAAGAAGCGTTAAATACGGGATTGATTGATAAAAAGACAGGTAAAGTCAAAGAACCTAAGACCGGCAAGTCGGTAGATATTAAAAATGCAGCTAAAATGGGTTTGATAGCTGTAGTTGCAGCACCAGTATTAGCTGGAATGGCAGTTGTGCAAGGGGCTAAGTCAGTAACAAGCAAAATTATGCAGCCTAAGCAAGAAAAAGCTGTGGAATCTCCTAATCGTATTTCAACATCGGAAAAAACTACAAGGTACGAACCAGATGAAGACGATAAAGACAAAAAACAGACTAGCAAAGATAAAAATCTGGTCCCTAAAGATGTTTTACAGCCTGGTAAACAAGAAGAAAAATTACAAACATCACAACCAACATGGAAAGAGCCAAAACCAGTACCACTTACTGGTAAGACTGTAGTGGCTGAGAATAAAACTGCAGTTGATGCTGAGGAACCTTCAAGGAAAGTTTCTGAAAAGTACGATGTCAAAAAAGAAATATCTGTGAGACAGGACCCTATTCGAGATGAACCCACACGAGAAATCGTGATTGACAAGAAAACAGTAATAATTAAAGAAACAAGTCCTAATGATGTTTCTTCATTTGAGCCCAATGACGTCCTAAAAGCAAATAAAGTAGAAGATCGGAAACCTGAATTATTAGGTAGTAAAACTGTTGTTACCGAAACAACTACTGTGCATAAAGAAGTACCGGAGAAACCGAACCAAGCCGCTCTAAAAGATCTAGATGTTGAATCTAAGCAAGTTGTAGAAAGGCCAAGTCCGATCAAGGACATGGAGCACGTAGTCTTCGAAGAAAAACCAGCTGTTGAAGAGTTTATAGAAACTATTGTCGAGGGTGGAAAAGTCATCACCGTAACTAAGACTGTAGTTACAAAAACGACATCTGATATTCCAGAAGGGATATCTTCTAAAGAATCCAATGTTCAGTCACCTAAGGAAAAACCAGAAAAACAAGATAAGGAAAAGACTCCAACTACAGAGAGCAAAACAGTTGTTCAAGAAATGAGGACTGTAGTAACTACTGCAGGTACTGAAAAAATGTTAGAAAAACCTGGCGATAAACTCACATCACAAACAACAACACAAAAACCCGAAGATTTAGTACCGAAGTACGATGCTTTCACGAAATTCGATGACGGACCAACCGTTCAAGAAATCCATGAAGTTACTCCAGATGGCAAAGAAATAACTAGAATAGTTACAACTACTTCTAAGACAGAACCTTCAGAATTCGTAACTGAACATAGTAGCACAGTAATAACTTCATCAACATCAACACTAACTACAGTTGAAATAACACAGAATCAATCTACTTCCTACCAAGTAATTACTGAAGAAGTTAGTGGGCCTAAAGACTTTACAGAAACTGTAATACAGGAATATCAAGTTACTGAAGCACCAGACGAGACCGATGATATTCAAATAACAAAACAATACACAGTTTCTCGAGATAGCGAAGTTCCTGAAGTTCTAACACTCGGTAAACCAGACGAATTACAAAGAGATCCAAATGAAAAACCAGGAAAAGGAAAAGATCAATTCGCTGCTAAAAATAAAACTCCAGAATTTAGTGAAAGAAAAGAACTTGAACCCGAAAAGCCTTTAGAAGTAGCCCCAGGTGTTGTTTATGATCCAAACACTTCAGTTGTTATTTCGGCAAAGGAAGGCGTAGCTGAAAATCTATTGGAAGCTGTCAACAAAGGCATCGTTCCTGTGGATACTGTTAAAGTAGTTGAACCAAAGACAGGTAAAGAAATTACTTTAAAAGAGGCTATCACGAAGGGAATTGTTGATAGCAAAACTGGTGAAGTGAAAGATAAATCGGGTAAAAAGATAAGTATCGCTGACGCAGCGAAAATCGGTTTGATAGCTGTTGTTGGTGCACCTATTCTGGCTGCAGCTAAAGTTGTCCAAGTAGTCAAGAGCGCTGTCGTTGTTGACCCCAAGACTGGAGAAAAACTTCCTTTAGATCAAGCACGCGAAAGAGGTCTTGTCGACGCTGATACTTATAAGAAGTATGAGGAAATGATCAAGACACAAACTCCTGAAGAAATAGCAACTGAAGTACTTGAAAAAACCAAACATCCTGCAGGAGTAACTTTCACAGAACAAATAGTTGGAAATGATACCACCACTAGCACTACCACAACACCAGGAGAAATCGTGATTACAACTACTGCAGAGTACACCAAACCTATAGCATCGGAAATAACTACCACAACTGTAGAGCAAAAAGTGATAGATTTCAGCAAAACCGCTCCTATAAATGTAAATGACGGCAAATCTGTTTCTGCGATGCTTATCGATGCAGAAAGACAGCCTTTGAGAGTAATTGATGAAATAACAGAACAAAATGTAACTAAAGAAAAGGCGGAACCTCTTAAACCGCTTTATGAAAATATTCAATTAATAGACGCTATTGCCCAAGGAAAAATCGAGCCTAAGCTTTGTAGGATTATTATCAATGGTGTCGAATCTCCACTCACAGTCCAAGACTCGTTAGAACAGGAACAAATAAGTAGGTTCGCTCCAGTAGATGTTCTGTCTAAGAACTGTGTTGTAGTACGAGAGGTTAAACCTAACTATACCGTTGCTATTTCGCAAAGAATTACCCCTGAAGAATTGTCTGAAATGGGTGTGTATGATATTGAAAAACAAATATTCTTACATCCTGAAACCGGTGCAAAAATTACATTTGAGGAACTCGTATATGGCTTACAAATTTTCGACCCAGAATCTATATTAGTAAAAGATCTAAGCTCAAAATCAGATGACTATATTACTTTTGATGAAGCTATTGCCAGGCCTATAATTGACAAAACAACAGGCCATATGGTTAATCCTAAGACCGGCAAACGTGTGCCCTTCTTAGAGTGTATACAGTTAGGCTGGATAGTTGAGAAACCAGAGGACGTCACTGTTCCTGAACAGGTTACTATTGAATCTGCACTAGAGCAAGGTTTGTATAATCCGAAAACTGGAGAAATCAAAGACGTTAACACTGGAGCGTTAGTTCCAATAGGAAAAGCTATCGAAAACGGATTAGTTGATCAAGAATCCTTGCTTATTAAAGTTCCTCGTACCAATGAGATCATTACTCTATCTGATGCCATTGAGCGTAATATTGTTGAAATTCACGAAGGTGTTATAACAATAATAGAAACTCAAGAAACAATTGAAATAACTGTAGCCATACAGCGTGGATTACTTACTGTAATTCGTAAACCAATTTCTATCGTAGCTGTCATTGATAATGACATGTATGAACCTAAATCTGGTAAAATAAAGGATAAGGTAACTGAACAATTAGTCACAGTAGGCGATGCGGTAGATAGAAACATCGTTCACCCAACCATCTCAGAAATCAAAGATACTGCCTCAGAGAAATTCATTTCTCTTTCGGAAGCACTTAATACTAAATTAATTGATCCAGAAACAGGTAAAATTAGAGATAAAAAGACTGGTAAAGACATTCCATTAGATGACGCGTTGAAGAAGGGATTAGTCGCAACCAAGGCGGTTACATTCTCTCTATTCGATGTTATAGAATTAGGATATTATTCACCTGAATCTGGAAAAATCATGAACCCCAAAACAGGACAATTGATCACATTAGGCGAGGCTATCAAAGATAATTTGGTGGATCCATCAGATGTTAAAATTAAAGATGATAAGTCGGAGGCCGTTGTACCTTTCGATAAAGCAGTTAAATCAGGTCTTATAGATTTAGAAAAGGGTGTCATTACATCTCCATTATGCAACCTTAAAGATGCGTGTGATAAGGGATATTTGCTTAGTGACAAAAAACCATGGACTTTACAAGAAGGTTTAGTACAAGGCTTCTATGACCCAGAAACAGGACTGTTGACTATAAATGACGTGACAATGACTTTAGAGGACGCCATTAAGATAGGTAACATCAACCCCGAGGCTCTAACTGTTAGGAACTCTATTACCGGAGAAATCATTTCACTAGCCGATGCCATCAAGGCAGGTATTATTGATTCAAAGGAAGGTAAAGTCAGAGACCCTATTCATGGTGATAAGATTTCCCTTACTGACGCTTCAGAGCGTGGTCTAATTGTACCTGCTAAACGTAAACTAAGTTTGCCTGAAGCTGTATTCAAAGGCTTTTACGATCCTAAAACTGGCAAGTTCTCTAATCCTCTGAGCAAAGAAAAGATACCAACAGACAGAGCGATTAAGAAACGTTTAATTGATCCACAGTCTACTCTAGTACACGCCGCTGGTAAGGTAATACCCTTCGAATTTGCTGTAGATAGGGGAATTATTGACAGTAGGACGGGAACAATCAGGTTAGGTGATGAAAATATTGACTTCCGTGAAGCTTTTGAGAGAGGAATTCTAGTAGAGGTACGTAAACCGATGTCACTCATTGAAGCACTTGAGAAAGGCGTTTATAATGAAATAACTGGACTATTCATGGATCCTCAAAGTGGCAAAAAGTATACTCTTGTCGAAGCCATTAAATTGAATTTGATCGACGCACAATCTGTTCACATCTTAGACAATAGGCTAGGCAAATGGGACAAGATCACACTCCCAGAATCCTTAGAAACTGGTGTTATTGATGACCAGACTGGCAAGATACGAAATATTAATAACGATAATGAAGAAATCAGTCTTCGTAAAGCTTTTGAAATAGGTCTGCTAGTGGACAGCAAGGCACCTATCAGTCTACAGCGAGCGTTACACCAAGGGCTATACGATGACAGCACTGGGAAAATCATCGACCCTGCTACAAACCGCAAAATTACTTTACACGAGGCCCTCCGAAGGTCAATCATCAGTCCTAAATACCTTTGCTATTTCGATAAAAAATCCGAGAAACCTCTGTCTCTAGGTGATTGCTGTCGTAGTGAAATAATTGATAGAAGAAGCGGCAAATTCCACGAACCCGGTTCAGACGTTCAAGTCTCCTTATCTGAAGCTATGAGTTTAGGTCTTATTGTTGATATTGAAAGCGCAGGATTCACTCTTTATGAGGCCTTAGCAATGAATATGTACAGTATTACCGAGTTAGCATTCATACACCCTGTATCAGACAGGCCAATTTCCCTCAAAACAGCTATCACTGAAGAATTCATTAACCCAGAAACCTCCTTAGTAAAACATATTCCAAGCAGTAAATATATAAAACTTAGTGAAGCCATTTCAAGCGGTATTGTCGATGATGAAAACAGCATTTACATCCTGCCAAACGGTAACCAAATTAATCTGCTCGACGCTAAGCATCGCGGTCTTATAGTAACAACTAAAAAGAATTTGAGTCTCGAGGAGATTATCAGAAATGGTCTCTTCCGAGCTGATAACGGTAAAATTGTCGATCCTAGCACGAACGAATTTGTTGACATCAACAAAGCTATAGAAACTAAACTACTTAATCCAGACCTCACTGTAGTTAAGGATAACTTCACAAATAAATTCAAACCTCTACCAGTAGCTATTCAACAGGGTGATGTAGACATCAGCAAGGGTAGAGTCATTGATACCAAAGCAAAGAAAACGTACAGCCTAGATATTGCTTTCGACAAAGGTCTTCTCGTTACTGTAATCCAACCCATTACATCCCAAATGCTTATTAAGAAATACGTAACCGACTCCGCAGCTTCTAAAGAACCAATCCTTCGGGAATTCACATTAGACGAAGCTATAAAGTACGAATTTATCGATCCTGAAACTGCTGTAATCAAAGATCCTCATAAGAACAAATACATTCCATTAAAATTAGGTATCACTGAGGGAATTATTGATAAAAATGCAAAGGGTTCGTTTGATACACAGAATAGATCGCAAACGCTTTGCTTCGTCTTTGAAAACGGTTTGATTGTCTATGTCCGCGAACCTGTAACGTTTGAGCAAGCGATTGAAAACGGTCACTTGAACGTAGCTACCGCTCGATTCACTGATCCTCAATCCAAAGAAGTTCTTACAATTAGAGACGCGGCCACATTAGGCTACATAGACCCCGACACTGCACTCATAAAAGATAATCTCAAAAAGAGGTTGGTCAAACTCCCTGAGGCATTCCGCAAAGGCCTTATGGATGCTGAGAAAGGCAATATACTAGACACAGAGACCTCTAAACTGAACACCTTAACGGCTGCCATTGAAAGCGGGCTTCTTATGACTCCTAAAAAGAGCTTCACCTTAATAGAAACTCTAAACTTCGGCATATACAATCCAACAACCGGAGCTCTTAACGATCCTTTCATTACCACGAGCGTAATGGATCGGAAGAGGTTGAACTTAGGGGAAGCTATTGCTCAAGGAATCGTTGACCCGTCAAGTACTGTTGTCAAAGAACCAGAGACAGGAAAGATATGTCCATTGGTGCAAGCGATAGAACAGAAACTAGTTGATCCCGTCGAAGGCAGGCTCACCATAGATCCAGTCAAATCGATCAGTTTGGACTTAGTCAAAGCTCTGAAGAAGGGCTACTTGCTGCCAGCAGAAACGAGGGTAAGTTTCCTTCTTATTTTGCTTCCGTCTCTGTGCTTCTATCAAGCAAAGGTGTTGCTTTACATCTTCCTACTTCCATTCTTAGAAGGTGATCTCTATCTAAAACGTTTGGCTTGAACATTGGCATGGCACGACCCACCGGACTTTTAGTGTCAACTTTCGGGGTTGTTGAGCAAATTGGTGACGTCACAGTTTGTACATTGTGGCCTACACTAAACGACATTACATACAACATAACTTAGACACTTCAATACTCATAGATATAGATATTTTCTTTGAAAGTAGTTGCAGCACTTATACATACTATATTATTCACGTACATTTTTGATTTCAGTAAGGTTAGCTTCCAACTTCTTAGACGAGATATTGAGCTTATAAAGTAGTGTAAGACTTCAGTGCCTTGTGTTGTCCTTAAATGCTTAATATAGGTTAGACCGCTCATCAATCTCTGGTCTTTCGCTGAAGGACTAGCGATTGTGCAGTGTGCTTACCACTCATTGTACTAAGGCTCGATGTATGTTGTTTTTTATTTCCAGCCGTTGCCTGCGATGCTAAAGAACCCTTTTGAGCTAAATCGTGAATGCTTGCCTGTGAGGGATCATATTAACGACGATATAAAGAACCATCACCGTTTCGCCAAATACCTAACCTCCCATTCACATTGTGCTAAGAATTTTGAGGTCGCGATGGTGGGTTCGAGGGCCCACTCGACCAGCTTTATTATGTTCGCTTCCATTAAAAACCAGTGTACTATGACTGCTGGTCCCGTTCCGTTTTAGATTCTCTCCTAGAGTTCGAATTCGAACGACATACTCATTCCTTGGACCTGTGCTCACATGTTTTGGAATGCATGAACAAAGCTATGCTCTTGTGACGTTGATATAAGGCGGAAATTCGCAAACATTCACAATATCGAAATGGTAAAACATTTTCAACACACAAACACGGAAGGTAGTATTTATTCATTATCGTCTTTATTTGAAAAGGAATAAGGCCGGTAATGTGTTTAGCATACGTTACATGAATTATGAGATGTAGGTGAGCAATGTTATTGGTTGTCATGTGTTTTGTATTACTAAACATTTGCAATACATTCACCTGTTTTGATAGATGTGTTGCTATTTAAATGTTTTTAATATAAAATCTTTGATAACTAAATGACTTTTGTACTCTACGTCAAATATTTTGTTGAGCGTAAACTGAACGTGTTAACGGCCATAATGTGATTTCATTTTTAAACGTAAGTAATTGTTGTGCTGTTTTTTAACACTTGAATAGTCAATGTTTTCTTGGTACCATTTTATAGAGGTTTTTAAACTCTTTCAAAATGGTTCTCATTTAGGAATTCTCTGACGATTGGAGTGTTAAACTTAATACGAATGAAGTCGCATTTGTTAATATTGTTTAAATGTAAAATACGTTCGTCGTCTGTTTACGTGTAAATTCTTGACTTGATCTTAAGCAAAACTTCGTTTTATAATACTATTCAAGTATACTTACTATTAATTTTACTTTCTTACTTTTCACTGTTCAAAAATACTCTTTAAAAGTTTCAGATTTCCAAGAAGGTATTCTTTAACTTATTTTTATTACTATTTTAACAAATAACTCTAATACAAACATTAATTTTAAGTTATTACCAGAAGATGTTGATACCATAGATAAGCGCAAATATTGACGTGAATGTCAGAAATATTTTTTTAAGTGGCAATGATTTTAGTTCTTTTATCTCCCGCGACAATGGCGGTAGTGTGTTTATTTTAAATTTTGTTATAAAGTTGTTACTTTTTAAATATTTCTGGCGTTTGCTTGCTTTATATTACACTGCTTGCATGTATCGCTTGGCATGGAAATCTTTCTGTTCGTTCGCAACCTTCGGTCCTGTTGTGAATTTGTCATCTCATACTTTGTTTGATTGGCTGTCTGTTGTCGCCTCTTGTTCGAAATTGATTTCGACTTCGCTTTCTGTCTGCGTAGTATTTGTTAAAACTTTCTTTTACAGGTTTACAACTGGTCTGCATGACCTAATTGTATTTCAGGGGGCATGTATTGAACGCGCTCTGCAACAAAATTTATTGTCGTGTTTTCAATGCATAACTACTTTACTTTAAACTGATTAATAATAAAAGGAGATTGGGAGGTGGGATTTGGAACAAATCCACTTGACCAAATTCCCCTAAAAAGACTCAATCTCCTTGAAAAAAGAATGTTGCAAAGCGTTCATACGAAATGTTCTTATCTGTCTGAATATGTCTTGTATAGTTTCCGATCTGCATTTCAATGTTAAAATCACTTTGAAAAGTGATAGCACAGAGTAGATAGTCAAGCATTGTACAATTTGCTGTAGTATAGATGCACTATTGAGCTCTGAGAGCATTTCTTTGAGTGCTTTACTAAGAATGTATACTGATATGCTTATTTTATGTGTAGCAAGCAGTGGAAGAGAAATACAGGCTTTGTGATGAAACCTTATCTAAGTTACTGGAATGGATCGCCGTGGTTGAAGAGAGACTTGCGAACCAAGAAGCCGTTAAGGAAGATATGGACGAACTCCGCAACCAGATCAATATTCTTAAGGTAATCCTTGTTAGCCATTTTTAACCGGATTGCTTAAGAAGCATGGCTAAGACAATCCTCTATTATAGAACACAGATAATTCCTTTAGGGATATGAAACCTTATTGTTATAAAACCTTAATTTTAATATGAGTCCCGAGTTTGGCTATCGGCCGAATAAAAATGTTATTCGATTTTTTCTCTTAACTGGTGAAATGTGGGTTTTAGATTCAGATATGAAACTGGTTTTTTTTTATGGGAAAACTGCGTTATAAAAATTTTAATTGTATTTAGATTTACTTATGGCGCAATACAATGGTTTCTATAATCAAAATGTTTTTATGGTTTCTTTAGCTCATTAAGGATGACCTGGAGAGTCACCAGCGCCAAGTATCAGCGTGTGCTGACCAGGCCAAGCAGCTACTCGTCTCCGGGGGAGATGTGCTGGCCCCTCATGAGGTAAACCATTAATTTTTTGAATACCCTTTGAAGTTAAAGATTTGAATATATGGCAATACCTTTTTTTAGAAAGGAGAAAGCTTCTAGACGTGACTTTAGACTTTTTTGTTATTAATAATGTTGAGTAATTTACATAAGAATAAATATTTAAAAGTATGTTTGAGAAGTTGAATTTTGAAGCTGATATCTTCAATCGACTGAGCAGTAGTAGGAGTATACGCGTTCAGTTTGCTTTGCCGTGAATGCGAAGCCTTAATTTTTTTTTTTTTTTTTGTTATTATGTCTTTAAATCTATAACGAATAAAATGAGAATTGCTTTAGCCTTTTCCTGGTAACGAAACCATAGCTCGAATTTTATTCGGGCAAACGTCATCTATAGAGCTTTGAGACAACTCGTTACAATAAAATATTCTTTAAAAATAACATTAAGTATGACCTTGAACAATATGATAAACCTGTACTACTCCAATTGTGTAATTCACCTGTCAATATGAACATCGTCGCACTACAATGAACACAACGTTCATTTGTTTATCCATTGTACTAATTCCACTTGTGTATCACTAGGTGGCAGCACTGGAGCGTGGCGTCCGTCAGCTAAAACAACGCTGTGAAAAATGTACGGACAAATGTGATAAGATGCTTAGGAGATTGGCTGCGGCCAGAGACGAGCTTGGAAAGTTCACGTATGTATATTATTATTACTTTGACTTAAGTTAATTTCTTCTTCCCCAATCCCTTATCCTCAAATCAAGTGTGGAAGAGCCATGCTTTGGCACTAATGGATCGGTGATACCACAGCCTCACAGAAAACCGGCATGAAACAACCACGGCGTTGTGTTTCGCCGTGTGAGTTAGGTTACCGGAGGCCCAATCCTTCTCTGCCACCAATCCCAAAATATCCAAATCCCTAATCCCCAAAAGGTCGGCAACGCACTCGTAACTCTTCTGTTGTTGCGGGTGTCCATTGGCGGCGCTAAATGCTTACCATCAGTTGATATGGTTAAAAAATATCATGTTCAAGTTTGGTTTTGAATTGCAATATCATTAAGGAGTACAGAAATATTCATTACTACCAGAGTAAATCTTTTTTGAAACAAACGCTAAAAGCACTCCATTAATTTACAATTACTTCCTCTCCAGCAATGAACTGAACACCTTCAACACATGGATGGAGGGAGCTTACCGTACTCTAGAGGAGAAGGAGGCTGCACTCTCCAAGCTGAACAGCCTGCCAGACCAGAGTGAGGACGTCAGGGAGTTCGTGAGTGACGTCATTGCTCACCAGGCCGACCTCCGTTTTATCACCATGTCGGCCCAGAAGTTTGTCGATGAGAGCAAGGTTGGTGATCTTTGGTTGTTGTTTCCTTTTGTATAAAAATTTTTGTCTAGTTAATTTTTAATGAGTTTAGAAATTTGTTTTCGCCTTGTTTTTTTTTTTTTGTTTAGATTGAAATGTTTTAGTGGAGCAGTTAGGAAGAGAATTTAATTCTTGTTTAATTTTACTCTGAATTCTGATCAAGTTTAAAGGTTAATCGGTTTTTTAATTTCCTCTACGCGTACACTACGTACTAAAAGGCTTAGATGTACAAAGAGTCAGTACATACATATTATGTTTGTTGTCATAAATATATTACAATATTAGCTTTTGCCCGCGATTTCGTTGGAGTGGAACAGTGACTTGCTGCAGATTTTGGTAAAAAAAAAAACAGTCTTATGTCCTTTCTTGAGTTCCAAACTATGTTTGTACTAAATCACACAAATAGGTTCAGTAGTTTAAGCGTGAAGAAAAGACAGACAGACAGAAGAGTTACTTTTATTTATAATTTTTGTTTGGATTTGAATTCAAGAAATGAGTTTACTCCTTCTTAAAATTCTGGTAACGCGCCTGTGGCCCCTCTAGTGCTTTAGGTGTCCATGGGCAGTGCCGATCATATATCTGTTTGCCTCGTATACCAATTAATTTTTTGTCACATATTTGCTTCACTATTTTTTTACTATTTATATTTCTAAAACACATTATTTCTCACTAGGAATTCCTCTCAATCTTGAACGAGTACCGCACGTCCCTCCCGTCCCGGCTGTCGCACGTGCCAGGTCGCGGCGAGAGCTCGGTCCGCGACGACGCGACCCGCGCGCGGCGCCGCCACGCCGAGCTGGGCGCGCGGGCGCAGCGTCTGCACGACTGGCTGCGCGCCGCCGCAGACGGGACCAGGCACTACCACGACGCCCTGCAGCGGGCCACCAAGTGGATCAACGAGGTTTTTATATAGCTTTAACTATCTTATTATGTATACTTTCCAACTTATTCCTAAAATTATAAAGTTGAAAATGTTGTGTGTGGTTGCAAGATTGTCTATGTTTGTGGTTTCACCGCACGGTTGATACGGTGGCTGGGCAACTGGCTGCCTTACAACATGTCGCGGGTTCGATTCCCGCCCGGAACAACACTTTGTGTTATTCACAAATTGTTGTTCCGGATCTGGGTGTGATGTATATGTGAAATTGTATGTTTGCAAACGCACCAACAACACAGGAGAAAATCACAATATGGGGCAAGCTTTTTATAAAAAAAAACCTCAGAAGAAATTTTACAATATTTACAACTCTCCTCATTCTGTAAACGTCATTTGACTTTTACAACTTAAACTCGTAAAAGCAATCTTATCTGCAGAAACATTAAGTACATTTTCTTATATTATTTCCTCCGGTTCACGTCACAAATTTCATTATTCTCATCTCTCATTCACTTACGCAACCCTTTAGTAACTGACGTAAACCCCTTGGAATGTATTCATTTAACGATGTATCGTCCACAGGTGGAACCTCAAATCCGCTCAGTACTATCGGAGCCGGTCGGTGGCGAGCCCCGCGCCGTCGAGTCGCAACTATCCAAAGCTAAGACCTTACACAACGAGATCATCTCACAAGGACGGCTTATTGACAACGCTAAAGATGTAAGTTTAATTTTTACATAGTAACTGATTGACTGCACGGTTGGTAAGGGCAACTGGCTACCGTGCAACGTGTCGCAGGTCCGATCCCCCCACGGAGGAACTCTTTGTGTAATCCACAAATTGTTGTTCCGGGTCTGAGTGTGATGTGTATGTGAAATTGTATGTTTGTTCGCACCCACGACGACAGGGGAAATTCAAAGGTCAACGATTTAAAAAATATCATTATATAAACTACAGTTATTGGAAATAATGACTTACACACGTGAATTAACTGAGACAAGCTCTACTAGTTTCAAGTCACCACGGGACTCTAATTCATGAGCGGCGTGAGCGTTGCAGCGACGTCACGAAGCAAACTGAAAACCGTCTTTATGTTATTTTAATAAATAAAAGTTTTATATCATATCATCAGCCTATAAGTGCCCACTGCTGAGCAAATGCCTCTTGTCACACGGTGAAGGTTTGGATATTAACCAAGCTTGCTCAAGGCGATGATAAGAAATTATAATTCTAGGTTTCCTTACGATGTTTTCCTTTACCGTAAGTCAGTGGTGTCTAAATAATCTTAAAAAGTACAAATAACTCGGAAACAGTCACATTTTACATGCCAGGTTTGAAATCCTCATACAAAAAAGCAGGCGCCTTAAACTAAGCAGCCACGAACGTTGTAAATGAAACTCTATTGCAGTCGGAACAAGGTTCAATTCTTAATAAAACTATTTTTTTCAGGCTTGTGAACAACTAGTGAAATCTTTGGAAGGTAATCTGACTCCTTCGGAGATCCGTCAGCTGGAAGTTCCTGTGTTGGACCTTACGTCACGTTACAAGGATATTACTGACGCCGTTGGCTCCAGATGCTCGGAGCTCGAAGCCGCACTACTTCAGTGCCAAGGCTTACAAGACGCCGCTGAGACACAGGCCCATTGGGTCGGACAGGCTGAGAGCTTGTTCAAGTAAGTTTTGAATTAATCGCTACACAGTATAAAACAAAGTCGCTTTATCCATCCCAATGTATGCTCAAATCTTTAAAACTACGCAACGGATTTTGATGCGATTTAAATAGATAAAGTGATCGAAGAGAAAGGTTTATATGTATAATAACATTTAGGTATTAAATAGTGGAGAAAGTTAGAAGCAACATTGCAATCGTGCGAAGCCGGGGCGTGTGACTAGTTTTTTTTTGTATAATATTTTGCTTTACGAATGTATGAATGTGTGATGTCATTTTCGATTCCCTTATACACACAAGTCAAGTTGGGAATTGTAATGCCAAATTATTGGTAAATTGGTAACCTGGGGTTTATAGTAAATGGCTGACAAGATTCTTATTTTAAGCAATTTTCATCCTTACGTACCCTTACAAAAAGTCTTTATTTCGTATTCTGATCCTTATAAACATTATTACAGGAGCCAACAAAAACCAGCTTCGTTAATCCGCGAACGCTTAGATGAACAAATCCGTGAGCAACGCATAGCTATTGGCGAGTTGGAGGCACGTCGGCCAACGTTGGCCAAACTATTGGCCAGTGCTCGCCAAGCTGCACTCACGCCATCTAACGCCAGAATCGCGAAGAAACTCGAACAGAGAGCTGAAGATATTTATGCAAGGTAAGAAGCGAAGGAGCTCAGAATTACAAAGCTAGAGTGAGATGAGCACATCTTTGTATATGTCCTATCTCTTTCTAAAAACTGTCTGACAATTTGATACTATTTTTTTTCTATGGTCTCTTCTTAAATTCAATTTGTTTGCACAGTTGGTGGAGTGTCTCGATTCGATACCCGCACGGAACAACTCTTTGTGATCCAGAAATTGTTGTTCTGGGTCTGGGTGTGATGTGTATGTCAAATGTTTCTAAACTCACTCATGACACAGGAGAAAAACGAAGTATCTGTCTGTAAATAACGGTTTAGCAAAAAAAAAGCTGATATAAAAAACAAAGCACTTTTTGGCCATATTTAGAACTCTTTCTTACAAAAACTATAGAATCAATACCTGTGTAATTTGAGTTTAACAATAATTACTATTCTTACTTTCATTAATTCCTTTATTCTATGATTCTCACTAAAAATAACTTTTTATACCAGATACGAAAAACTGGTAGAAAAGTCATCGAAGCGCAGTGAGTTCTTGGAAGAAGTGTCATCGGAGCTGGCGCAGTTCAGCTCTCAGGCCGGCGCACTGGACGCTGCGCACGCGCAACTACTGGAGCAGGCCGACACCAGGGAACTTGCCAGGATGCCCGCTGAGGAACTCGGGGGCAGGCTGGCTCACTTGGCTAGTTACAGGTCAGTTGGTTTTTTTGAGTTTAGTAAACTGATATTCATAATTATTTTAACAAATCAGATAAAATATCAAAATTGCGTTGAATTTAACGGTTTAGTTTTGTAAATAATATGGATCAGCATTGCAAAATAAAATTTAATTTACATAGATCTGTATCATAAAAGTTTACATTTCATATGTATGTGTTGTACATACATTAATGTATGTGTCTCAATAAGACCATTTTTAATAAAAAAATGTATTAATATATTTATTTGGTTGACAGGGACAAACAAATGCCGCTGCTAGAAGAATGCTTGCGCAACGGCAAACAGCTGATTTCCAAGAAGGATGTCACTGACACCCATGTTATACGGGACAGGATGAAGGTATGCACTACTTTATAAGTATTATGTAGTTTATCAACTAATCTTTATTACTACAGACATAAATACCAATTTTCTATGTATCTGATATGATCACACACGATAGTTTTTTGTCAGTTGTTAAACGCTTAATGGAAGTTTTCGTTGCGCAACTGCGCAAAAATATGCGCAAGTAGGGTAAAAGTTAGCGCAACCAACGTCTTTTAAAATACTTATACTTACAACTAATATTGTTCATTATTCTTTTATGTGTTAGCTAAATATTCAGTGTTAATACGTTATCTTGTATTTAGGCACTGGAGAACCAATGGCGTGACTTCAACGCGACTCTGGAAGAGAAACAGAAGCTGTCCAAGCAGAGAGCTGACCAACTCAACCAGTACGAGTCGCTCAAGATACAAGTAAGTATAGATTTTGTGAAGACCTACTGCAATATTGTATTTAAGAGTAATTGCACAATTAGCGCAAATATGTAACCGGCTGCTGACCAACGTGTTGCGGGTTCGATAGCCGAATAGAACAATTCTTTGTGCGAATCAAAAATGTCTTGTCTGGGTATAACACCATAAGGGCATAACAATTTTTCTTCTTACTGTGAAGCAAAAGGTATTAAAGTTATTAATTACGCGGTTTTTTCTGGAAATGCAGTTCATACTCTAACAAGTACACGACACATAAACAACAAGAACAAGAACGTCCATCATATACTTTTTGAAATAGGCGAAACTGCATTTTTTTCAGTCACCGTTTTCTTTTAGTTGGCAAAAATATTATGAAAACCTCTAGACTAGAAACCTTTTACCTTCTCGACATAAACTCGCCATATGTGGTGTCTATACATATTTATACTAACCGGGATCGCCGGTCGAGCTTAATAAGGTACCGCGGCCTCGGCCTAGAACAGGAGAAGGAACGGGTGGGATTACAGAGTCTCACACTTCCTCGTCCATACCCTGGACGAGAGAAGTCATTTCATAATATTTTCACCACAAAAAAGGTTATATGTATACTTTTATATGTATACTAGCTACTCTCGCGCGGTTTCACCCGCTGCTCGGCTCCAATTAATCGTAACGTGATGTTTTATAGCCTATAGCACTGAGGAACATTGTAGCTGTCTGTCAGTGAAAGAATATTGGCAATCCGACCAGCGGTTGCAAAGATTACCCCCTACATACAAAATTACAAACTTAAAAATTTTACCTCTTTATAATATTAGTATAGATAGGTACCTTAGCAAAAGATGAATACCTAAATCCTCCTCCTCCTCAGGTACTAGACTGGCTCCAGTCAATGGAGAGTCGCGTGACTCGCCTCCAGCCGGTGGCGGTGGACCTCGAGGTCATCAAGCAACAACAGGACGAACTCAGACCTCTCGCCAAGGAGTACAGGGACTTCTCCATCACCATTGACAAGGTAATCCATCCTTTCTTCTACAACAGTGTCCTACATTACCTATATTCTGACGGTTGGCTCAATGGTTGGTCAAGTGGCTGCTGTGCAAAGTGTTGCGGGTTCGATTCCCGCACGAAACAACACTTTGTGACCCCCATAAAATTGTTTTTTCGGGTCTGACTAGCTAGTGTATGTGAATGTGTATGTTTTTAAACGCATCTACAACACAGGAGAAATTAATAATGTGGGGCAAAGTTAAAAAAAAAAAAAAACAAAAAAAAAATAATCATAGACATCTACACCTACTATGGTCTAACAGTTGAGGTAATTAACTAAATGTAAACAATATTGATATGTGTATAAATACACACATACCAGTTAACCATAAGAAGATCAAAAAACTTATTTCAATGTAAAAGCAATTTCATGGACTTAGCAATAGAGTTACATTTACTGAAGCAAATGTGTTTTTTTGTTAAAGAATATGATACATTGGAAATTCAACCTTTCCGTGATAGAAATAAAGTTTATATTGTAATGAAGCATTGTGTTTACTAATTAACATTGTATTTCTGTAGGTGAACGAGGCAGGCGCGGTGTACGAAGCGCTAACCCGCGGCGACCGCGCCGACAGTCCCCACAGGAGGCGACAGATATACAGCCCGACTAAACGACAGACTCCAAGTAAGACATTAAAACTTTCTAAGTTGAAAAATCCTCTTGATTTGTTAATAAAAATATCCAAAAAAGTTGTTTTGACTATATCAACCTCGCACTACTTTTTTATGTGGTAGACCGGCAAACGATTCGACGGATTTCCTGATAGTAAGCAATTAGCGCCACCCAACAACAGAGCAGTTACGACCTTTTAGGGATTAGGTATTTGGAGATTTTGGGATTGGGGAAGGTTTGGGCCTCCGGTAACCTCACTCGCGCGGCAAATCACAACGCTGTGGTTGTTTTACCAAACCCAAACTTTCCCCAAGCCCTAAATCGCCAAATCCCTACTCCCTAAAAGGTCGGCAACGCACTCTTAACTCCTCCGTCCTTGCGGGTGTCCATAGGCGGCGCAGATTGCTTACTATTAGGCAATCAGTCTGCTCGTTTGCCGACCTACCACATAGAAAAGACAATATTATAATGCAATTGTTTATAACAGGCCGCACGTTGGACGGTCGGTCCCCGTCGCCAAGCAAGGCGCATGGACTGGTCAGCCCTGGATCCACGCATTCCACCTCCAGCGGATTCTCTTCTCGTCGGTCCAGCCAGGACGGGTTCCATCTAGAAGGTATGTAGAGTATTTTTTCCGAAGATTTTTAACTGTGTTTGTTTTTTTGCTTAGGTCGCAAGCCTTTATTTACACGCTGGAACAGGCAAATAGCTTCACTAGACTGACCTTATAACTTCATGTTTGACTTCCTTAAGTTCCTTGAATGGTCTGATTTTGACTATAGTCGTAAGCGATGATAGCTTCTACCCATATGCAGCCTATTCACTCAGGCCTTGGTCTTAAAAAGGTTCTACTTACAAGATTCAGAGACACTGCTAAAGAATTTTTCTTTAACGATGCTTCACAGCGTGAACTAATATCTTGGCCAAGGCTTTATATGTATATTGATTTTTAGTTCGACATCCGAATCAAACGTCTTAATACAAAATCTTGATTTTGTATTAAGACGTATAACTTATTCGTAAATGTATACCTACACTACTAGAATTAAGCAGTTATGTTTTATTTCAATTTATTAAATTGGGTAGTTTCCTAGGTCAAAAATAAATTAATTCGATGTTTCAATATAATATTGAAAATAACTATACTTTTATTCATCTATCGATCGATACACTACGTTTTAATTTTTTTTAGGTAATTATGTATACTATGACGTCAAAACTCAGTTTTTCTTACAAATTTCATAGAAAAGTATTGTTTTTGACGTGTGGATAAAAGTATCGAATTTGTCTAGTTGGAAACTACCGTATTGCCAAAATCCACACAAAGAAAACCCTTATTCGAACTCAGTAATTAAAGTATATTCTTAATTTCTAAAACTATATCTACCTGCAGGATATTTTTAGACCTATGGTATCGAGTATAACTAAGATAAATACTTTACTTTACTTTGACGTTCAAAAGTGCCTGTATGGGTCTAATTGAAATAAATGATTTTGACTTTTGACTTTTTACTAAAATTTCCCCCCGTCCTTCCCTCCACAGAGCTGTCACCAGTTCAACAACAGTTGTCAGAAATCAACAACAGATACAGTCTGTTAGGCACCAAGTTGGCAGACCGTACTTCTGAGCTGGACGCCGTCAGAGACGAACTCAGGCGACATCTGGACAGTTTGAGAGCGCTCAATACTTTCTTAGACAAGGTAAGTGTTTTAGGGCTGATTTTTATTTGATTTTTGAGGAATAAAATTGTTGCTGTCACTGTCTTACACAAACATTCTGACGCGACAGCATCTAATTATTCCCCAGGTAACTTTTATGTAACCATTGAAAAATCAACAATTTCTTTTACGTCCAGGTCCAAAGACAACTGCCCAAGGAAAGCGTTCCCAACACGAAGGAGGAAGCAGACAAGACCATCAAGCAAGCTCGCGCTGTACTTGAGGAGATGTATGAGAAACAAAGCATTCTAGACTCTACCAAGACCCAGGTAAGGTTTTAAATCATTCATGATCTGGATTCTTGAGTTGAATTTATATAGATCGATTTCTGCATCGCCTTAACCTCGTGGCTTTTGAAAACGACACTAACAAAAAGATTTTTATGTGCATATTATGAAAAAAAACACAGTTCACCCCTTTCCAGGTAAGAAAGTAGGTATGTAAGTGTCCAGCAATGATATGTCAATATATTTATATTTGAAATTGTATTAGTTTTGTTAGTATAATATTGTAGTGACCCGCACCGGCTTCGCTCGGGTGCAAAGTTGACACTAATCTCTTTAATCTCTGTATCTATTAAAAATCGCATCAAAATCCGTTGCATAATTTTAAAGATTTGAGCATACATAGGGATAGACATGTTGTGGCTGCATGTATGACTGATTGATTTGATTGATTTGTGAATTAATGACTAATTAATGATACATAAATGAAAGTATTTTTTGCATAATCTATTGACTGATATTGAATTTGATTAGTATATACAATTTGGCTGAGACATTACCAATATTTGCATGCCCAATGGGTAGAACAAAGAGATATATGTAACTTAAATAAATACCACCTTAGTCAATATGTACTACATCTTTGTTCAGCAAATAAAGTTATTTTGATTTTGATTTTTTGATTTTTTTGATACATAGATTAGATGAAAAGACAGAGAATGCGACTTTGTTTTTTGTATGTAGCCACGGGCCCTAGTTGCCTTAAATAAAGGAATAAATAAAAAAATACATTTATAATATGATACCCTCAGGTCCGTGAGCTGCTGAAGCGCAAACAGAGCGTCCTGGGGGCGGACAGACTGCACGACGAGATGGAGGACGTCGCCTCCAGGTGGAAGGCATTGCATGATGCTTTCAAGGACAAGTTAGTATTGTTATAATACTTCTATTCAAAGTTATGCTTTTGATCGTGGATTTGAAATCGTTCAGTGATTTTTTATACTTTTAAGTCTACTGTTGACATTGTTAGACATTTTATTACAATAAAATACAATTTTATTTTTCATGTTGTATAAGAAATACGGTAAAAAAAATACTTTCCTAAACACCTAAAGAAATAAACAATATAGATTACCCAGACCACCCTCCCGCAGTTTATTATATCATGGGTTGGTGTTTTTTTTTATTAATGATATAATAATGACGCTTTATTTTTATTTTATAGATGCTTTGTAGCATTTTATTAGCACATAATAAAATTTTAATCGCATATCAACGTGTTTAGTTTCTGAAAGTATACAAGCAAGAATGCTTATGGTATGAAATCAGGAGTATGAACCGTCCATAAAAAACTAATTCCTCCCCTTTCTCCCCCAGGATCCGCCTAATGGAGGAGATGAAGGACTTCCACGACACGTACAGCAACCTGTCAGTCTGGCTGAGCGCCAAGGACCGCATGATGGCGGCGCTCGGACCCATCTCGTCAGACTCCAGGATGGTGCAGACACAAGTACAACAGGTATGGGTGTGATTCCACTGAGCAAATTGTCAGAAACAACTGAAGTCTATAGGTTTAGGTGGTTAACTAAGGGGAAAAATCTTGGTATGTCTTTTTATGTAAAAAAAGGTCGGAGAAAGTATATTCAAACATTGTACTAAAAATATATGTAAATATTGTGAACATATTTGCATAAAATTTTCAGATAACTTTCAGATAAAAGGACATGCTTATATAATCCTAAAATAGACTTATAAGTCAAAAGACATTTCGATGAATTTTGTGTAATATGCACTAAAAATGCCTGCATTTATATCATTTATATTAGTCTTACTTATCTTAAATTTGCTGTAAATATATTATACAGAAGTTTATTTTTGGGAAAACAATTTATTTCGGTCAATTTTAGACACAATATGAAAATTTTTCTTTTTAAATAATATTTTATTTACATGAAAAATAAACCCCGTCTTTCCCGTGTGTAGGTGCAAGTCCTCCGCGAGGAGTTCCGCGTCCAGCAGCCCCAGCTGTCTCACCTGCAGGAGGTGGGGGGGGCCGCGCTGGCCCGCCTCGACCCCGCCTCGCACGACGCCACCAAGCTCAAGCACAAGGTCACCGAGCTACAGGACCGCTGGAACGATCTGCTTAACAAGTCAGTACAGATATTAACAAGCATTTTTACTGTCAAAAAGTTACGAAAATGAATAAAAATATTGTATAAATACTTTATTTTCGAAGTTTAGTTTTCTAAAGTTCGTTTAGCCAGTGCTAAATTATTATTGCCTAGCATTTGCTAGCCGCTTTGACAGCAGACTCGTTTGGAATAACTAGCCTAGCTTAGACAATAGTCTACCTTTATGCAAAATTTCATTTCATAGTTTTTACGCAAAAGAGTCTCAAATATGCAATACTTATAAACTGTCGAATTTATAATATTAGTAAACTGGTAATTTGATACTTGTCTCTATCTTAGTCACAAATATAAAATAAACGTTTACTTTCTGTACTTACCTATCCTAGATAAAAGTTATGATTCGCATAATTATCTTGAGCTTCTAATCGTCATCCGAATTAAACAGACTCAAATATGTCTCTCAAACTATTTGTTTATTCATATTATTTGTGTGAAAAAATAAACATTTTGTTTGTTACACATTAGAAGAAAGAACTAGTGTGCTAAGTCCAAACTAATATTATAAATGCGAAAGTAACTCTGTCTGTTTGTCTGTCTTTTCATCGCGCCTAAACTACTGAACCTATTTGTGTGAAATTTCCTACAGACATAGTTTGGAACGAGAAAGGACATAGGATAGTTTTTAAACCAAAAATCTGCAGGAAACAATATTCCATGCGAACAAAGTCGCGGGCAAAAGCTATATAGTCCCCTATATATTAATAGAACAATTACTAACTGCCCCAACTTAACAGGCTAGAGCAGCGCGCAGAGAGTCTGGGCGCGGCCGCAGACACGTCCCGTGAGTTCGACGCGGGTCTGTCCCGCTTGCGAGACGCCCTGCAGACTATTAGCGACAAACTGGACGATGTCGCCTTGGAGAACGAGCCTGAAGAACAGCTTAGGAAGATTGAGGTATTATTATTATTATTGATGTTGGTAATACCTATAATATTATTTATAAAGAAATGAAAAACGATTCTCTCTTACTTTGGATAGAAACTAAGGCAAAGTTATCTAAAATGTTTCCTATTTTTTCTCTATCCTGCTTATCGCATCAAACTGTTATTAGTTGATCCATTGCACAGACAAACGGGAACAAAATTGTGTACTGCGCAGCTACTCGGCTAACTTCAGACTCGCCAAGATACAACGGCCGTATAGTAAATCACCTTATAACGAAATGTGTCTAAAATTTGGTAATTCCATTAAATCACATATCTATAATGCAATCTAAAAGTATTTTATTTTTAAAATCGTTGACTTACTCTACAACTTCCTTACAGAACCTCGAACGTCAACTGGAAGGCCAGCGCCCTCTGTTGGCCGACCTAGAAGGTGCAGGGGCTGCGCTGGCGCAAGTACTGTCCGATCCGGCCTCGCGCCAGGACATACAGAGCAAGCTGTCCGCCGTAGCCAGGCAGTACGACAACCTGCAGAGGAAACTCGACCATAGGAAGGCGGAAATAGAGGCTGCTTTGAAGTGAGTACTTTTTTGTAAAAGTTTTCGTTGATAGTCAGCTGTTAATAGTCTGTGGATTGTTCTAATTAATTAAATGATGTTGTCTTGTTTTATGCCTAAAAAGATATATGTTTAGAACTGCTTAACGTAATTTGAAACGTATGCGGCCTTATTACAAAACTAGGTCTAAACCACTGAACCAGTTTTTGTATTTCAAATTAAAGGTAGGCGAGAATAAGATTTCAAATACAAAACCTGACTTAGTGGTTTAAACCTAGACTTAAGGTAAATCTTGTTTTGTAGTAAGGGCGTTAAGTTTATTAATAAGTGTTATTTTCCCTTATCCCGGGTATAGTTATTATTGGGCTTTTTGGTATATCAATGTGCTCATATCATCTCAACAGATTCTTTGGATATAGTACCTTAAAAACTGTAATAAAACTGAAAATCTTTTCAACAGGGATGGTCGTAACTTGGAAGAGAATGTGGCACGTACTCTGGGCTGGCTTCAGTCGGAACTGAACTCCCTGCCGGGCCGCTTGCAAGTGTCTGCCGACGCCACTAAGCTACAGCAACAGTTGGAGCGACACGAACCTCTGTACAGAGAACTCACGCAGAGGGAACACGAGCTTATTATGTTGTTAGACAAAGGTACGTTTTCAACTCTATTACTTTAAAAATAAAGTTGCAAATAATTGCTAATATAGTTTTTTACTTAAGACTTTCCTGAGTTAAGTTTTGTCTGCGTATTTAAATTTGAGTTCGATTTTTGAACAATCAATAAAGAAAAAACTATTATACGTTCTAATATTGCCCTAAACCCCACCAGGTCGTGAAATGGAGAAGAAGCCAGCTCACCAAGGCTTGCGCAAAGAGCTCGACAGGATCCAAACTCAATGGGACAAACTCAAGCGAGAGACAGTCGACCGGTACACCAGACTGCAAACTGCTAAGGTAAGGCTAACTTTTTCTATTCGATCATTCGACAAAACGAGAAAACAATTGAATATTTTATTTAGTTAAACAGTATAACTATGTTATCGAATGAATGTGCCATAAATATAGATTTTAACTAAAATTCGCGGGTTACTCACGTGTACATGTTGAGAAAAGCTCTACTAGGCTAGGCTGTGCGACGTCACCGCGTCCGCGCACGCTGCTCATGAGGAAGAACCCCTCTGTGGTTCGAAACTAGTAGAACTTTTCTCAATATATACACGTGAGTAACCCGCGAATTTTAGTTAATTTAGTATGTCTCACGATAGTTATTATAAAAATATAGATTTTGTGGTCAATTCAAATTTTTAAGTGATAGGTCGGCAAATGGGCTACTGGATTACCTGATGTTAAGCAACCGACGCCCTTCATGTATACTCGCAACACCAGAAGTCGTTAGTACGTTGCCGGCCTTTTAAATTAGGGGGATAGGGGGAGGAAAAGGGTTAGGCCTCTAACCTCACTTACACGACGACACACAACACTGTGTTTATTTCACGCCGGTTTTCTGTGAGGCTGTGGTATCACTCCGGTCGAATTAACCAATTAGTGATTCTCTTTTGATCCTGAAACTAACTTTAGTAAGAGATTCGATCGGAAAACAGTTTCAAAATCGATTTGCAATTTAAGGAAGAACCCCTCTGTGTTTCGAAACCAGTAGAGCTTTTCTCAATTACACATGTGAGTAGAGTAGCCCGTGATTTTTAGTTAATTTAGTATGTCTCACGATAGTTATTATAACAACATGAAATTTTAATTTTAATTTGCTTTCTGTATCCCTTTGTAAATTAGATAAAAAGTTGGCATTATATCATTTGAAGTATAAAGCATGGTCCTTGGCATTAAATATTATAATAAAATGTAAATTTTCTCCTATAGGAACACTGCCGTAAGTTCCACAAGGCACAAGAATCCTTCGTTCCGTGGCTGTCCGACTTAGAAGATAGACTCGCCAAGCTCCCGGCTATCGCCTTCACTAAGAAGGAGGTCGAGAAACAACTTAAAGAACTGCAACAGATCAGAAACGATATCTGGAAGAGGTGAGTTTTGATATAGTGCTTGCGCAAAACAATTTGCGCATTTTTGCGCAGGTGTGCAATTTTGCGCAAGATTTACTTTTGATGTTTAATGTATAAAAGAATAATTTATTTCACCGAAACAAATGATTTTTTGTAGATATTAAAACTTATCAAAAACAATACTTATTAGTATTGAAATAAAAACTAAAATTTGATGACATGTATTTTACTTATATAGATGGGCTGCTATTATTAATTTCTGATCTTATTTTAGAATAACATTCATTTATATCAGTAATACACTTCATATTTGAACGTCAAACAAATTCAAGATTCAAAGATGAAAAACGTCTGTCTGTTGGTCAGCCCTCTAGTGAAGCTATTTGCTCGGTCCAAAGTGTAAATTCCTGATTCCAATTTTGCTTAGAAATTTTGCTTGCCATGCTGTGTGAATACGCTTGGGTAGCAGTCTGTTCAAAATGTTATATTGTATAAAACATTGTAACCTGTTGTACTTGTCTTGTAAAATAAAATAAAAAATTTGCCAACATTGCAATATTATTGTTTTTTATATTATTAATAGATCTGGCGAGTATGAAAACAACAAGACACTGGGCGAGACCTTCATCTCGTCATGCGATATCGACCAGGAGGTGGTCAGGAAACTCCTTGACAGCATGAAGGAGAGATGGGACAGGATTAATAACGGTATGAGAATCTAATTTATATAAAATATAAGTTAAAGTAAAAATTTCTGATCTTTCATAAAAAAATTATAATATTGATTTTTCTGAATTATAGAAGTTTTAAGTGTATTTTTTTAAACATTTTTATTGCGCAATGTAAAAATTTTTTTGCGCACTGATGCGCTAAATTTAAATAATGTTTGTTTAGTTTTTGGATTGAAATTAGTACGGAGATAGATTATAGCTCGTCTTTTTTTGTGATATGTATAATTGTGTTTTCTGTGACTATTTAAGATTAATGTCATAAAAAGTGTAACTGTTTTGGTGTACAGAGGTGCTCCAGCAAGTGGAGTACCTGGAGAGCACGGCGCGCAAGCTGGGCGAGTTCGCGGAGCGCGTCCGTGGCGTGGAGGCCCCGCTGGCGCGCTGCGAGGCCCGCCTGCTGGCCGCGCTGGCCGCGCCGCCCGCGCGCGCCGCCGCCGACGTCGCCGGCCTCGCCGACCACATACACGCGCTGCGGGCCCCGCTGCAGGTTACTCGCTATGTTCACTACTAGCTTTCATAGACATTGACTACACGGTTGGCGCGGTGGCTGGCCAACCGGCTGTCGCGCAACGTGTCGCGGGTTCGATTCCCGCTCAAAACAATCATTTGTGTTGTGACTCATTATGATTCATCTGAGTCATTTTAATTTATCCTACTAACTTAACTGCATGGTTGGCGCGGTGGCTGGGCAACTGAGTGCGACAAAACGTATCGCGAGTTCAATTCCCGCTCAAAACAATCATTTGTGTCCACAAATTGTTGTTCCGAGTCTGAACGTGAGGTGTCTGTGAAATTGTCTGTTAAACGCACCCAATACACAGGAGTAAATCCTAGTGTTGGGCAACGTTTTTTATTTTAAAAAAGTCATCTCACTAACTACACTTCTCTACCTAACTACCTACCTACACTAAATACCCTATTCTACCTACCCTACACTATCTCCCCTACACTTCCTACCCTACTATACTTACCATATCTTACCTATCCTACCTACTCTACCCTACCTACCAACTTTACCCCATCCTATATTCTTCTTCAGGTAATAATACTATAGACATTGTAACTAAATATACAACACATATAATAGGCCTTTACCTATGAAATTGCCGTTTTGCATGAAAAAATTTAAACGACTTTTTTTATTTGAAATGCGATGAAAATTCTAATCATCACTAATCAATAAACAAATGACTACTTCTAGAAAAAGAATCCCATGTTTTTAAAACAAAATTAATTAGCCTTACACCCGGTTTCTGAAAGGCTTGTCAATGCTAAAATTAACTAATCTCCTGTTAAATCTCTTGTCAAGTCATCTGATTGGTTGTTGATAATTCAGTCAACCAATCAGATGACTTGACAAGAGATTAAATTGATTTAACATTGATCGGCCTTTCGGAAGCCGGGGGTTAGCCTAACAAAAACTATTTTGATTTGAAATGGCCAGTACTGCAGAACGGCAATTTCATAGGTAAAGACCTATTATTTAACATTTACAAGACATTATATTTGTGTGTATCTCTATCATACATCTTACAATATCTGACAAAACGAATGCATCTCCAACTTCACGATAAGATCTCTTTATCTCTTTCATATTATCGACATATCTTGGTTTGACATTTTGCCTTAAATAAGTCTTCAAATATAAATAAATACCTATTTCTGTATATTATTATAAATGTTTATCTAAGATACCAATTGGTCTATATTTTGCATTCGTAACATGTAATCTTTGCTTATCCTGCCAAGATTAAATGTGTTAAGGTTTATACATAATAATAGTTGTACTTTCCCATGTTTTGTGTAAAACACTCAATTTTATTTTAAATATCAATATAAAAGAACTTACTTATGTAAAATTCGTTCGTTTTCCCAAACAAAATAAGAATCAAGTTCTAACAGAAACAGGAATTCCACAGACTAATCCTTAACTTTTAACTCGATACAAAGTCATCCTTAAATATCACTAAAATAAAATTCTAATTCTAATATAACCAGGAATTCTACAAACTAATCCTACAAAATCAATCCTTAGTATAACTAAAATAAAGTTTCAATTCCAAAAGAATTAGGAATTCCGCATACTCATACCCATTCTTAACTCATTAGAAAATCAACCCTAATTACCACTTAAATACAATTCTAATTCTAATGGAATCAGGAATTCTACAGAGTAATCCTACAAAATCAACTCTTAGTGTAACTAAAATAAAATTGAAATTGCAACAGAGCATCAACGTAGCAGCGGACGACATAGTGCAGCTGGCGCTAGAGTGCAGCGGTCGCGAGGCGGCTGGGCGCGCGCGGGCCGTGCTCGACGAGCAGGCGCGCGCGCTGGCCGACCGGGTCGACGACCTCGAGGCCCGCGCCGCCGACGCCAGGGGCAGGCTCGCCGGCGCCGCCGCCGCCATCACGCATTTCCAGGTAACCTAACTAACAGAACATTTTTAAAAATATGTATAGATTTTTTAATAATATGACCACAGTAGGCACTTTTGAGCGTCAAGCGAAAATCAGTAAAAAAGTATTTAAAGAGCTGACAAGTATAGGTCGGCAAACGAGCAGACGGATTACCTGATGTTAAGCAGTCAGCGCCGCCCATGGACGCTCGCAACACCAAAGGGGTTACGAGTGCGTTGCCGGTCTTTTAAGGGTAAAGGTTCGGATATTTAAACATTGGGAAGGGATAGGGGAGGGAGAGGGAGGCCCAACTCCGGTAACGACACTCACACGGCGAAACACAATGATGTGATTGTTTCACGCCGGTTTTCTGTGAGGCCGTGGTATCACACCGGTCAAGCCGACCCAATCGAACCTAAGCTTGGTTAGGGGAAACACTTAAATCTTTTTATCTATATCTATGATATCTATGAAATACATTGTGCCAATACAGCGCGCTTACTCAAGGTGGATTGATTATTTCAACTTAAAATTAGAAATTACAAGTCAAGTTTTCCTCACGATGTTTTTCATCACCGTATGTCAGTGGTGTCTAAATAACCATAGAAAGTACATATAACTCGGAAAAAGTTACATTTGTACTTGCCACCACGACATGAAGTTCAAAAATACAAATGTATATTTTTTTTCTAAACATTTTAACTTAATACATACAATAAAATACAAAAACATATATTATGAACGCAGCCTTACTAATACGAAAAGATATCACCCGATAAGCTTAGTACTGATAAAAAATTCAAACCAACAACTTGTTTCTAAATAAAACAAAACTATTTACAAACTTATATTTAAAAAAAGAAACTTTAAAACAATACTTATCTCACTCTAACTTACAACAATAAAAAAAAACAAAAGAACACATCATATTAAAAAAAAGATACGACTTCTGACATCGACTGTTTAGGTAACATTATTATATGTTAAATGAAACTTTTTAACTTTCGCGTTTCATGATAACAACATTTTATTAAACGATTATACACGCGAGTAATTAATAATTTAAAAACCTTGGAAGGCTCGATTTTTCGACCTACTTGCACAGGTCTAAGTTGTAAGCAGACTCGTGTAATTATATTATGATAAATGAAAATTAAATTAAAATATACTATTTAAATACAGGACAAGGTCAAGAGTCTATCACACGATCTGTCGGACCTGGAGAAGGAACTAGACGGCATGAAACCTCCAGGCAGAGACATTAAGACTGTGAAACAACAACTTGATGACATCGGTCGGTTCTACAAGCGGTTGGAAAATGCTGACGATCTCGTCGGAGACACTGAACGGGCCGCTGAAGAACTCGTTGACAGTGGACATACTGTTGATGACACTAAAACTAGAGATCAGGTAAGATTGGGATGTTTCCTTCATTTTAATACTTATTTAGGGAAAATATAAAGTTACAACACAATATATTACACAAAATATTAATAGAAAAAGTAAGTAATGTTGCAGCCCATTACATTACATATCTGCAGATTACAAAAATGAGTAACATAAAAAAATACTTCGCTACATACATAGTATAAAAACAAAGTTGCTTTTTCTGTCCATATGTTCCCATGTATGCTTAAAACTTTAAAACTACGCAATCGATTTTGATGCAGTTTTCGAAAGAGATTGAAGAGGAAGGTTTATATGTAAAATAGATCAATTAAATAGTGGATAAATTTAGTATCAGCGTTGTAAAGCATTTTATTGTGTTGGAGTCTATTTGAAAGTATATTTATATAGTAGATACAGTTTCTGGTTGAGTGTCAAGCAACCCTTGCTAGCATGTTAAGTTGTGTTCGTATAATATCAGATCAAATTATGCTCATTTTAATTTTTAATGTATAGTCTTCTTCTTCATTAATTCTTGTTGTCCTTACCAGAGGAATTCCTAATTCAAATAAGAATTCAATAACTCTCATTATGGGAGTAAGTGATTCACTTATACAATCTCGCCAGACAAATATAAATTACCTCTTAAAGGCTAATGCAAGACGCAATATAAAATTCAATGGCCAAACCTCATAAAAATACCTATACAACGTTTTTTTCTCAGGTGGAAGGTCTTCGCAAACAGCTTGCAAAGTTGGACGAGCGCGCTCGTGCCAAGGAACAGGACCTGGATGACACTCTAAGCAAGCTGGAGGCGTTCTACAAAGCCTACGACTCTGTCATGGATGATGTCACTGAGGTAACATATACTCTTATAAAATGTACCTGGTTTTAGCTCAACAAACGAACTGATTGATTACCTGTTGGTAAGCAATCAGTGCCGCTCATTGATACCCGCAAAATCAGTGGAGTTACGAGTGCGTTGCCGGTCGGTGGGATTAGGGTTTTGAAATCGCAGATTTAGAGATGTGGGACATAACGCTGTGATTGTTTCACGCAAGTTTTCTGTGAGGCCGAGGTATCACTACGATATTTGTGCCAACTACAACATGAATTTTTATATGAACATTCTTAAATCCACAGCTTAAATCAGATATTGGCAGTACTTTCCGAAGAAGAATAATATATTTAGATAATTTTCAATTTACTAAAGATAAATAATCCCAATTTCGCTACAAAAACATTAAGGTCTTAATTAAGTTCATTTTCATCTACTCTAACATTACAAAGAGAGAAAAGCATATGTTTTGTATGTATATGATGTAATTTAATATACCATTTCTCCTCAGGCCGCAGAACAGGTCAGGAGCCTTAAACCGGTATCCTCAGAAGTGGAACAGATCAGGTCGCAACAGAAAGACTTCGCAGAGCTGAAGCGTCATACCCTGGAGCCTTTGGGTCAGAATGTGGCTCACTGCAACAAGATAGGCCAGGGACTCGTCCGATCAGCTCTACAAGGAGTCAGCACACAGATCTTGGAGAAGGATCTTGAGAAAATGAACGATAAATGGAATGCATTGAAGGAGAAGGTGAGAATTTTTGACTAGACTTTTTTTAAATCAGAATTGTATGTCGCCAAAAAAGGATGATGATTGGCAAATGAGCAGACGGATTACCTGATGATAAGCAATGAGCACCGCCCATGGACACCCGCAATAACAAAGGAGTTACGAGTGGGTTGCCGGCCTTTTGAGGATTAGGGTCGGATACTTAAGGATTGGGGAGGGATGGAGAGTGTTCCCCACTCTCCATCGCTCCAGGGGCCTTGGTCTTACAGAAACCACACCTAAACGACGAAACACGACGTTGTTGTGGTTGTTACGCCTATTTTCTGTGTGGTCCTGGTATCATTTCGATTGAGCCGACCCATTCCGGCATGAAACATATCATGCTCACCTTGCAGTCCATGCATCATGTAGCATAGATCTCCAACAAAAATTTTCTCTCTCTGTTTATTTTAAATTATTCTATGTTGTATCACTTCGTGATGGTAACGTGAAAATAATAATAATTGGTCTTCTTACAGACGAACGAACGCGAGCGCCGTCTGGACGTAGGTCTACTCCAATCTGGCAAGTTTGCTGAAGCTCTGGCCGGGTTGGAGAAGTGGCTGGCAGACACTGAAGATATGGTCAACAACCAGAAACCACCGTCAGCTGACTACAAGGTCGTGAAGGCTCAACTGCAGGAACAGAAGGTTAGTAATATTATGAAGAGTAAAGATTTTATTGTTTGTTTGTATTTAATACTTGACCAAATTGAAAAGACTATAGATATATATATCATTCCGATTGAGCCGACGCGTTCGTGCCGAAGGATGGCTCTCCCACACTCAAAAACCACTCAAAATCTCGTATACTGTAGTATGTAATAATAATTACATGACACTTGAGAGAATCGTAGTATTGGGCAACGTTTTTATTAATAGAAGAATTAAATTAATTTTTTTCCCACAGTTCTTAAAGAAAATGCTGATGGACCGTCAGAACTCGATGTCATCTCTGTTCGCTATGGGTAACGAAGTAGCCGGCGGGTGCGAGCCCGCGGAACGGAAGGCCATCGAGAAACAACTCAAGGGCCTCATGCATCGGTTCGATGCTCTCACCAATGGCGCTCAGCAGAGAATGCTGGACCTAGAACAGGCTATGATGGTGAGGAAAACTATTCTTTATCTATTTCATAGGGCTGATTTTTTAATGGTTAGATAAAAGTTACCTGAGGAATAATTATGATGATGTCGCGTCAGAATGTTTGTATAACACAGTGACACCGACAATTTTATTCCTGACTATTGAAAAATCAAAACCTAATCGAAAACAAATTAGTTCTTCATGTCAATGGAATAGATCTCGACTAAACTCTCGTTTTCGTTGTTGTTAAGAGACATTTAATATTCGTAAAATTTTCAAGTAAAAAAAATCGACGTCACAACACTCAGTCTTGTACAAAATACACAGAGAACTATCTATGTAATTGGAGGTATCGAAAAAATATTTTTTGTCAAAATTCAATTTTGCTAGTTTTAGAAAACACTATTCAATTCAATTATTATGACTAATTAATCAAACCCCAAGCCAACGCCAGCGTTCGCGCACATATTATCTAACAATTGCGTGTCGAATTACTACGATTGTAAGGTTAATAACATTTTATTTCAATTTGAAGATACAAGCTTACGAATACGATTCAAAAGGCTTTCATTATCAATCTTACCGATTCAACCCATTTGTACCCAACAGATGGGTCCACACTTAATAAAACCTTAGAATGTATACTAGGCAATCAAAAACAAAATATCCACCTATTAATTATAACATTCCTGATACAGGTGGCGAAACAATTCCAAGAAGAACTCCAACCGTTGGTGGAATGGCTCGGCACCACGGAGCGGAAGGTCAAGTCTCTGCAACTGGTACCCACGGACGAGGAGAAGATCCAGCACAAGATCAGGGAACACAAGGTTAGTGCATTTTTATTTTACTTTTTATATTTCTGTGATATATGAATGGACGCCAAACGAGGGATTACCTGATGGTAAGCCGCCCATAGGCAACAATGGAAGAGATACGAGTGAGTGGCCGACCTTTTTGCGGATTAGGGATTTGGATATTTTGGGATTTAGAAGTGATTGAACGAAGGGAAGGATTGGGCCTCCCATGACCATATTTGAGTTTTCTGAATACGTGCTTATAAGGAGACTCCAGCAACTATATTTTGTCAAAGAATTTGTCTTTATTTATCAAACATTCTGTCAAAGAAATAAAGACTTTTTGTATTTTTGTATTGAATGCGTTTTTTGAAACCAACTCTTCAGCTATACCATATATTCTGAATACCATTAAACATAATATTATTTCTTCCTCCATAGAACCTCCACGACGACATTATCTCGAAGCAGCCAGCATTCAAGCAGTTGACGGAGACTGCATCCACGCTGATGGCCCTCGTTGGAGACGACGAGGCTAGCGCTCTAGCTGACAGGCTGCAAGCCGCTACTGATAGGTAATAACAATTTTCTTGCACGCGTAACATCTCGCGGGTTCGATTCCTGCACGGAACAACTCTTTGTTCATCATCCACACATTGTTGTTCCGGGTCTGGGTGTGGTGGTATGTGAAATTGTATGTTTGTAAACGCACCCATGACACAGAAGAAAATCATTGTGTGGGGCAACCGTTAAAAAAAATTACAGTTTTCATGTATAAAAATGTTTATAAATCAAATTATTTTTGTACAAAACGTTATAAAAAGCTTAGTGTATCATTATAATGTGCTAACGTCTGTCATGAAGTAGGCATCAGACTGCCAAGTCCACGACGCAATGAGCACCAGTTCAGCATATGGAAGACAGGGCCTTGCGCTTATATTATCCGCAAATCAAGGATGCCTAAAAGCAAAAAAACAAAACAGACAAAAAAGTTAATTAGAAAAGTTAATCGGTTCACTAGTTTTTGCGTAATGCAAATACGTATCCATATTCTAGACATTTCAAACATCGTTCCACATAATGCTAAACATTGTCTTCAAATCAATGTCATGAATATCAACCCAGTATTAATGTCTAAATCCTGAAGCTAAAAGCTTTAACCAGCCTTGAGATAACTAAACAAAATCACGACAATCGTTAGTGAAACGACAGTCGTTAGTGGTAGCTAGTAAATGAAAAGTTGACAATGACTCTTAAAATATAGTTGGCACCAATCTATGGTTGTCTTTTTAGAACATAATTTGTATTGACCAACACCAGACTAAAACAAAAGTGTGCTTCGGATTCTAACCTATCTTAGAAATGTAACTTTCGAAAGATTAGTCAGAAACAAGTATTCTTATAGGTAAATCATGTTATTTTATTTGCAAATGATAAAATTAATTATATAAATGTGGATGGTTGGAGAGGGAGAGGGAGGCCAAAGAAAATATGGATGGATTGTGTGAGAAGTGATATGGAAGACAGAGGAGTTAGCGATAGCGTGGCGAGTGACAGGACAGAATGGAAGAAAAAAACATATTGCGCCGACCCCAAATAAAACGGGACAAGGGCAGGAAGATGATGATGATGAAAATTACTCAATGTTTGTCATTGTACAAAACGAAGATGTAACTATTTTAATGAATATCAAATAAAAAAAAAACTTGCCTCAGCTCAAAATCGCTAAGGAACCTGTCTTCTCGTCCTCAGATACGGCGCTCTAGTGGAACACAGTCTGAACATCGGAGACCTGCTAGAGGCCTCTCGCAAGGGACTCAGGCACCTGGTCCTCACATACCAAGACCTGTCTGCCTGGATGGACGCCATGGAGCAGTACCTCGCCAAGAGAAAGATCCTGCCCATGCATATGGAGAAACTGCTCAGGCAAATGCATGAGTTGACTGTGAGTGGATTTTTAAGTTATTTTATATGTTTCAGAATACATTCGTTATGCTGCTATTATTATTTTTTCGTAAGATATGTAACATTATTTAAATTACATATTTATGCAAGGTTACATTTTTTTACGAGAGATATAATGAAGGAGCCAATTTTGGTGCTCAATTACAACAACTTTTTCCATAAGACCAATATGGAAATGAAATCTTAAAATAAATTTTACGTCTCCATGATCAATTACCTATTGCAATTTATATGGACAAATAAATTTATTATAACAAGTCCCTTCATATTCGACGTGTGTCGCCCAAACCTGCTCATGAATGTGAGCCTTGTCGACTAGTTTCGAACCTTAAACGGGGCTTATAAACATGAGCCATGTAAAACATAAGCTCTCGATGATATCATTTCATTATAATCTAGTAACTTCCTTAATTATTAGGAACTATAGTATATGTTTTAACTAAAAATATTTATATAAAGTCGTGAAATGGAACTAATGTTCAATCTTACTTGCATTGATTATAAGCTTAAAACAATTTACCTATATCATTGACATGTACTAGATGTGAATCCATCATGCCTATTATAAGATACTTACACACTATTAATGATTATTTTACGTTTAAAAACAGGAAAAATCTAAGGAAATAGCGTCGAAACAAGAAGCTGTGGACAGCACAGTGGAATCAGGACTTGAGCTGATGAAGCATATCTCGGGAGACGAGGCCTTACAGCTTAAGGATAAGCTGGATGCTTTACAGCGAAGATATAACGACCTCACCAGCCGAGGAGCTGATCTTCTTCGCGTGGCTTCAGAGACCTTACCTTTGGTGGAACAACTATACAACAGTCATGCCAGGTTTGTGTTTTTTTTTCACAATAACTTTTGCTCGCGTTTAAAAGTAATTTATCCTAAGATTTCAAAACGACAAGTCAGTTAAAATACCCATATTAAGTATAATTTATAGCCTATACAGCGCTCAGGAATAATGTAGCTAACTATCAGTGAAAGAATTTTTGAAAATTCGACCAGCGGTTTCAAAGATTACAGCGGTTATATAGAAACTTAAATTTTTACCTCTTTATAATGTTAGTGTAGATTAATAGTTCTTGAAGTGATATTTGGTCTTTCAGTCTATCGACCAAAAATTTAATATTTTTTTTTACATAGGCACAATAAGCATAAGCATGAAGTTAATTGGCTAAGCTAATATTTTAACCTTTCAATCGTTGTAATTTGAGACACAACAGAAGAACAATAATTGCGAGAAAGCCGGCGTTCGTTTGGGGTTTGATGAATTAAACACAAATCTGTATATTTTATGTCTAAGTGGATTCATAATTAAAACATATTTTTTGTTGTAGACGTTTTCACTTTTTTCATTATATTATTTGTTGTATATAACGCATTTGGGAAATAAATGACGATATATTACTAATAAAACATTCGTGTCCAGACTGGCTGACTGGATGGCGGGCGCCGAGTCGTGCCTGCAGTCAGTGGAGCCCCGTGAGGAGGACATCCTGCGCCTCGAGGCCGAACTCCAGGAGTACCGGCCTATACTCGAGAACCTCAACCAGATCGGCCCACAGCTGTGTCAGGTAAGAACCGAATATATAGCAATACAACAACGGTTATTTTCTTGGAGTCCTTCCTAGGCGCAAATTTGCGCAAAAATATCAAATGACAGCGCAATCCATTTTGTCTTTCTTGAATCATTAAACTATGCATTTCAGCACTATCGCTTTATTTTGTTTTAAATTTAAGTCCATTATTGTTTAATACCATTTTAATCAACTATTTTTTTCTTCTTCGTAGATCTCTCCCGGCGAAGGCGCTACTCACATAGAGAGTATAGTGACGCGCGACAACCGACGCTTCGACGCCATCGCCGAGCAAGTACAGCGCAAGGCTGAACGACTACTCCTCAGCAAGAAGGTAACATATCCAATCGCAACTACAATGTATAATGCGCTGTATTGTCCCAGTAAAAGAGTTTATTTTTCATTGCCATTGTAATGCTAGTTTTCCAACTAAAACCGCAACGTAAAGTGATTTAAATGTATGTACAACGAAAAGGTTGATATGGTAGACTAAATTAGTCACAAGCTAAAAGCAGCTTTATTTCTATAATGTAATGATAAATATTCATTGCAATATTTTTGTTATGTTGGTAGTGTTTATCTCACTTCAAATGTTATAGCTATAACAACTTTCCTTAAAAAAATAACATTAAAAATTATCCTCAATCTAATACACTCTAATTCTTCCTACAGCGCTCTCTAGAAGTAGTAGGCGACATGGAGGAAGTACTAGAATGGCTGCGGGGCGTGGACTCCGCCCTGCGTAACGCGGAGCCGCCCTCGTGCGAGGCCGTGCTAGTCCGCGCCCAGCTCAAGGAACACAGGCCCATCAGTGACGATGTCGCTGCGCAAAGAGTCAGGGTCCGCGATCTACTTAGCCAGGCGAAGAAGGTAAGATTATGGTGGTTGTTATTAAAAAAAACGATCTTAAAATCAGTACAAATACAGATTAAAATCAATAATCCTATCTTAATTTGAGACTGATAATGTTCTTTTATATCTTTAGTTTTTATTATTGTTATTATGCGCAATCTAATACTCGAACAAGCGCAAAACTTTTCATATTGCGCAAATTAGCATGCAAGTTACATTACATGCAGAACACACAATAACAAACTCACAACTTGCGCCAACACTTACTTATACATACTGCGCAAAAAATGCGCAAAATATTTTCACACGAATCCACATAAGACAAGCAATCGCAACTCGAATTTGCGCAAAACATTACACCGTACTCAAATTTTATTTGAATAAGTATTAATGCTTACTTTAAAATCGTATCACCAGGTCCTCCGCGAATGCCAGTCGTCCGAAGAGACGGCAGTGATCAGGGACCGCAGTGAGGAGTTGAAGGAGATCATGGAAGAAGTCGGTCAGCTCGCCGCGGAGAGACTTGCCGCGTTGGAGCAAGCATTACCACTCGCCGAGCATTTCGCTGATACTCATCATGGGTGAGGGCTTAAATATATCTTTCTTAAGATAATAATGACGAAGAATGTGTAGCTTTTGGTGTCATTTAAAACATTAAACACGTATTTTTTCATTCGATACGGAATCAAATACTTTTGGAAATCTCTCAGAAATAGCACAGAGCGTAATATTAGTTCTGGTATTGGTCCCTATGTCTATGTATGGTAATAGGCAAGTAGTGGTTGTACAGTACCAATGCTAAACTGTCTCCATTTTTTTTTTGTAGTTGAGAAGTCACAAGTTCTTTGACTGATTAATAATTAGTATAGATTCTAAAATCATTCAAGGCAGATTTTTAGATTATTGTATTTGTATTACACTTTTTCGCATTGGTAGAGTGCAATTGCAGTTTTGGCTCTAGATTGTACAGTTTCTATGTTGCGGGGTTGCGGGGCAATGAGACACCGCGACCTCGGCCCAGAGTAGGACAAGGAATGGGGGTTTTTAGTCAGTAAGAGTCTGACACTACCTTCCGCCCCACCCTGGGCGGGAGAAGTAACTTGATGGTTTTCCCCTCGCAAAAAAAACAGTTTCTATGTTTATCATGTGAACTTCTAACACCCAATTTGTGATGAAAGCCTGATTGCATATTTAAGTGGTATTATTTCTAATTTGTAATCTGTTACTGCAGCTTATCCTCGTGGTTGGATGATATGGAGAAACAGATCCAGATGCTGGCCATGCCGGCACTCAGACCTGAACAGATCGTACACCAGCAAGATAAGAATGAAGTAAGTATACTTCTTGTATAGGACTCGTTTTGACCATTATGTTTTATTTACTTTCTACACAACTTTTCATTCAAATAAATACAAGTACGTATGTCAAATTGTACGTTTATAAACGCACCCACGACAAAGGAAGAAATCTCAGTGCGGGGCAACGTCTTAAAAAAAAAAAAATACAATTAAAATTAAAACATAAATATACATTTATGTAACATGTCGGCAAGCGAGCAGACGGATTACCTGATGGCAAGCAATCAACGCCGCCCATGAAAACCCGCAACGGAGAAGTTACGATTGCGTTGCCGACCTTTTAGAGATAAGAGATTTGGAGATTTAGGAGCGATTGGGTAAGGGGAAGGATTGGGCCTCCGATAACCTCACTCACAGGGCGAAACAACGCTGTGGTTGTTTCACGCCGGTTTTCTGTAAGGGCGTGGTATCACTCCGGTTGAGCCGGCCCATTCGTGCTGGAGCATGGCTCTCCCACACTTATCCATTTTTCTTTTCTATTAATCCCTTTTTCTTGCAAACTTCATTGACGAGTCATTTCTTTATCGATAACGGTAATTATATTAAATTATCGTGTGTCCAGATGCTGCAACAATCTATAAACAACCACAAGCCATTGGTGGATAAGCTGGTGAAGACTGGCGAGGCTCTGGCCAAGCTCTGCGGGGACGAAGACGTCCCCAAGGTGCAGGACATCGTAGACGCCGACTGTGAACGGTACAACGCGTTGAGAGCCGAACTCAGGCAAAGGCAACAGGAGTTGGAACAGGTTGGTTTTTCTTTTAAGAATAATAATAATTATTAATATCTCTATTTATTTAGCTTCCGTCTGCTACTTCACACGCGTGTATAATTAATGTATCCCGGGAACATCACTATTTGTAGTTTTACAGCAGAATTAATCATTAATTTTTGCGGGGATTTAAAAATTACGAGTTTCAAAAAACCTGAAAAAAGAAATGCATAAGTTAAAAATATTTATTTCTAGCTAAATACACAAAAAAATCAATCTTATACAAAACTCCATAGTGATCATTCCAAATCTTAGATTCGAATAGACATAAACAACAAGAAAGCAACAAACTATACTTTCAGAATGGAATTTCTTTAACCAATATTGTACTATTATGAATAATATTAAAATAACTTAATAAATGCCATGCAACATTCAACCCTAATAACAACTGTACTAAAATCTCCATTCGTTTGGCAGGCGCTGCAAGAATCGTCCCAATTCTCGGACAAGTTGGAGGGTATGCTCCGCGCTCTGTCGGGTGCAGCGGACCAGTTGCATCGCGCGGAACCCGTCTCTGCACATCCGCCTAAGATTGAGTGAGTAAAAATTAAATACGTATAATTATTATTATTTTTTAAAAAGGTTACATACTAGTTCTTAATAACTATAACTATGTAATTCAAAAAAAGAATTTTTTTATGGTTTAGTCTAGTGTTTGTATGAATGTGGATGTATGTGTAATATTTTCCAAATTCCAATGGATCCATAATATTTTCCAAGCTTTTGAAAAGAATTATAGAATAATAAATTTACGGAAAAAATATGTGCCTTCACATACTTGGAACTAAAAAAAATGAAATAAAGTTACTATAAAAATATTGTTGATGATGATAATCATGGTAAAAAAATATGAAGAAATGCACGAAATGCAGTAATATGGATTCTGATGATGATACAATTATTTAACAAAACGCTTTCAACCTTGTACCATTACACATAAGTTTAAAATCTCAATCAACATAAAACCCTAACCTAATCTTACCTCTTTAATCAACAGGGACCAGATAGAAGAGAACAACGCCTTAGTGGAGGACCTCGAGAAGAGGCAGGAGGCCTACAACGCAGTGCAGAGGGCGGCCTCTGACGTCATCAGCAAGGCCAACAAGAGCGACCCAGCCGTCAGGGATATTAGGAACAAACTCGATAAACTTAACAAGTTAGTATTTATTTCACTTCGATGTTTCACTTTTTTTTTACATGAATGTAGATGAATTGTTTTTTTGGGATAAACATTTTTAACTGTGTTGGGAATGCTTCAATTCGACATTTTACTTTTTTGTTACACCTTGTAGATGAATTGTTTTTTTTGGGCTAATGATTTTTAATTAGCTTGGGAATGATTTGTTAGTCGTTTAGCCTTAAGTAGAGTTCGATTCTACAATCATAAGGTGTATTAAGGTTTTTTTTTAAACTAAAAATTTGATTAACAAAGACATTTTGTAAAATTTCTTATTGCTCAGGAAGAAAATCTGTAGAACAATAAGGTTCGATACTTTGAGAAAAAAGACGTTACCATACTAGGATTACAATTTTACATACACATCACACCCAGACCCGGAACATCAATTTGTGGATATCATGAATAATTGTTTTATGCAGGAATGTAACCTGCGCCACGGTGCAGTCAATAAAATCTCATGTAACAAAATTTTATATTCTCTCCAGACTATGGGACGACGTACAAAAATCGAGTACGGACCGTGGCAACTCTTTAGACTCGACCCTGGAGGTGGCTCGCAAGTTCTGGCAACAACTGAACGCTGTGATGGCCCAACTGTCCGAGCTGGAGGACACGCTGACTGCCCAGCCCCCGCCCGCCGCCCAGCCCAGGGCCATCGAAGCCCAGCAAGTTGCCCTGCAAGAGATCCGACATGAAATCGATCATACTAAACCTGAGGTTCGTATCTTCTTTGTGGCTTTTCCTTCTTAATTCTTTTCTCTATTTTCTTTGGAAGAAATTTAGAGCTTAATAATCATGGTAATGATGTTGACATATACCAAAGAATTAAAAAAATGTTCTTAGGTATAGGTAGTTTATATACCGATCGACATGATATCTTCTAGATATTATAAATTTTTTGATTCCATTCTCTTCTATCAGACATCATTAACTTCTTATTTGTCTTGATATAAACGGTATGAACAAGAATTTAATGTAACAAAATTGTAAATTAAGAAACTAACATAACCAAGAAAAAAAACACTATAAAACGGAACGGAACGGTTTAAAAAAATATAAAACGGATTACCCGTTTTATATTTTTTTAAACCGTATAATATTAATCCCAACATTTTTGTCCAGGTGGAAAAAGTCCGTAAAACGGGGTCAACCCTCATGTCACTCTGTGGCGAGCCAGACAAACCCGAGGTCAAGAAGCACATGGAGGACCTCGACAGTGCTTGGGACAACATCACCGCACTCTACGCTAGACGGGAAGAAAACCTCATTGATGCCATGGAGAAGGCTATGGAGTTCCATGATACTTTACAGGTAAGATCTTTGGTTAAGATATGGTGGATGCCAAAACAGGCTTTAGCATTTAGGGGACAGAGAGTAAATTTCCCAGACATCTTAATCTTTAAGCTGGATAATCTAGTGGGTGCGAAAATAGCCATTAGATGTTAGGGAACAGAGAGTTAACTTCCCTGACATCTGAAAAGAAAGGACCCTTCAAGCACTTGTTGCGTTGGGATTTTTTATTCGTGTTTATTCGCTCGCAAACTTCACTTCCACGGCAGCGGATTTGTGACGTCATTGTTTGTTTTTTATCTTCCATCTTCTATGTGCGTAGCCAAAGTATTTTCGAGTTTGGTTAATAAGATTAAAGTTGTGAAATGGAGATGTTTCTGTCACAGTCCAAATTAACTGTAGACTGCTGTCTTGAAGAAGGTCGGTTTCGATTCCGAAATGGAAGTGTTGTATTTATTAACACGACGAAGCTAAGAGACTCCAAAGGATCTAAATCGCATTTCTGAATCTATTCACTAGTCTAATAAAAGTTGAATAAAAATTTTTAGAGGTATGAGGAACAGGGTGGAAAGTTCCTCATCCTCCATTGAAAAGGGAGGATCCTCCGACCAGGCGAGGTGTTCGTGCCTGGTGGGCTACTGCCCCACGGTTGTTGTCGGGATATCTGTATGGGTGCTAATTGTGTTGAAAACTCTTATAGCGCGATGTAGACTCTTGCTCGTGATTGGTGCTGTTGTTTATGTAGTGCGCTAGATGTCGCTACAAATTTAACAAATAGCTGAATAAATCCTTTTCTTTCAGAACCTCCTAGAATTCCTGGACTCGGCTGAAGACAAGTTCTCCCGCATGGGTCCGCTTGGCTCCGACATAGATGCCGTCAAGCGTCAGATCGCTCAGCTAGCCTCCTTCAAGCAGGAGGTCGACCCTCACATGGTTAAGGTCGAAGCGCTCAACAGGTATATACACAGAGTATATATTCTTACCTTCTGTTAGAATACCTTCACACATATATGAACTCACAGTTCATCCCATTTACGTTCCATATTCAAATATTAAATATTATAATTAATTCGAAAATATTCTATATTATTCAAAATATACAACAAAGTGACTAATCAGACATTGCAAAAAAGGCAGTGAAATTATTTAAATGTAGAATTAGTTCTATTCTTATCTGTTAATTTGATTATTATTTTTTGAAATATGTTTGGCTGAGGGGATTTTTTTTCTTTTTTTTTTTTTGGAGTTTATGGCCTGGATACAAGTCCTTTAAGCCAAAGGGTTTATTTCTGGGTGGGTTTGCATGAGGTTAAATAGTGTAAAAGTTGTTTGATAATTCAAGGAGTAAAAAGTTTATTCGTTAAGATTGGGTTATGAAAAGAAAACACGTGTCTTGTTTGAATTTTATTTTCTGGTGGTGGTGGTTTCCAGTAACCAGCAATTGTTCCCCTTCCTTCACTTTTGACACTTGATAAAACTAAATGTCATATTTACATTCTACTTTTGATAACATTTAAATTAAATTGAATTACTTTTTTAAGAACGGAAATCTTTGGTCTATTTCTCTAAAGAATAAATATGCTTTTATTCAGCCTTTTGTAATAACTTCTTTATTTCTTAATTACTTAATTAGAAATATATTTTTTTTCTATGTCGACTTTATTTCTTATAATAGATGTTTAAAAAGTCCTGTATTTTATATTATATTTTCGTGCGATATATTAAATTCATTGAATATTTCTAACGGCTAACTCACGTATCGGTTTCTCGAGGTAGCTCGATAAGTTTCAAGCCACGTTAAGGACTCATACACTACCCGACAAACATTAGCTATAACAAATTGTTTTGTAAAGTTCCTTTAGCTAAATTTCGTATTACTTTCATGAATATTAAGCTCTTAAAAACATAAACGTATCTTGTTAAACATTAATAAAGCCGATAGAAATATTAAATTTTGTTAAAATCCATTCCATTTTTAAATCTTCTAGTGAAACTGACCAATAGAAACCCAGCTATTGCCACTTCCCCACCCTTTAGTGAAACCTACAGCACTTTACCATGACCCAAAGATTATTTTCCACAATTACTAATCGTGTATTTTTCTATGCGACCCCATGGATTTACCCGACATTGCAAAAGGAGTCTTATGAGGCAAGGAATAACAATTAATCTTGTGTGCGCTTCTGTTTGTCTTTGCACCGTAGTTATTTAGATTGTTGTTTGCGTGTGTGCTTCTATATGTATGTACATGGTGTGTTTCGGAATGAAGTATGTAAAGGGTGTTATAGATATTTATAAAATTTTAATTGTCTCAAAAATATTTGTAGCTTGGTTGTTATTCTATGGCTTTCTTAATATAATAAATAATAATAGAATATCTATAATTAATATCTCATAATTATCCATGTTATTTCACAATAAATCGAAAAATATTGGAGATATATTTACAATATCGATGACACCCTTTACGTATGAAAAGAAAAGCTTAAAATAAAATTCAGTGAAGTCTAGTACTCGTCAAAGGTATTTAGCTCTCTTAACTTACTTCATAATTATGAACCCCGGTTTGAATTGAAACTTGTCGACCATTCTCGAATAAAGTAACATTATTAACGGATTAAATTTTATTTTATAGACGCGCTCTATTTAAATGTCATAAAAATATTTATTTATGAAGTCTTAAGATCAGTATTCTTATAATGGATATTAAGAATAAAATCCATATTATCTATTATTATAAAAATGTATCGCAAAATGTGTTGGTAAGCGCATAACTCAACAACGCCTGGACCAATTTTGCCAATTCTTTTTTGTTGTGTTTGTTATTGTCAAGAAAAGATTGTTATAGACAAAAATTAAAAAAGATTAGGGAAATTTGTAAATGGGCAATAGTAAAAATAGTGCCTAAGCGAAGCAGGTCGCTAGTTTCCTATATATTTTTGACGAGAACTTTACACATTATGTATTTTAAAAAACCGGGCTTAAAGAGCATTAGTTGCAGTTCTAGTTAGTTCTATTTTACTTCTTTATCTTTAATCTGTCTTCTAGAAGTGTGTTCTGTCCCTTTCACACTAACAGTTTCGTCTCTGTCTGTCTTGTTTGCGGATTGTATTGTGACGTCATGGGATGTTCTTTTTATGAATCAATGGTGACCATAACGGAAAAATTGAAATTTTTGTAGTGAGCACTGATTTGAAGTTAAATTAATTGATATATGTATAAATTATAATCCTACTATGGATCTCAGGACATCAAGCTACCCAATTCTAAAAATATCTTTAATAGATTTTCAATCTTATTTTTTTTATAGCAATAGTGTTGAAAATCGATAAAAGTTGAGGATAGCTTGATGTGCTGAACTTATCTGATCACTTCAAATCAGCTCATCCGGAACAAAAGAGATCCACCATTGATTCACCTGTCTGCCTCATAGATCTAATTCCTTACTTCATTTACAGGCAAGCCCAAGAGCTTACAGAAAGAACATCATCAGAACAGGCTGCAGCCATTAAGGCTCCACTGACTGAAGTCAACTCCCGCTGGTCAGCCTTACTACGAGGCATGGTGGAACGCCAGCAGCAGTTGGAACGAGCTCTGCTTAGACTTGGACAGCTGCAGCACGCCTTGCAGGAGTTGCTTACTTGGATACACAACACTGGAGAAACTCTGGATACTTTGAGACCGGTATGTCAATTTTGTCTTTAACTACAGAGAAAAGAGAAAGAGAAATAAAAACAGAAGCAAGAGAGAGAGAGAGAGAGAGAGAGAGAGAGAGAGAGAGAGAGAGAGAGAGAGAGATAGCGTACTTAACATAGATAAAATCTCCGGTATTTTCTTTTAGCAAGGAATGATTAAGAGTTTTGTTATCAGGTTCTGAAGTCCCGTTATAAGATCCTTTTCATTTTCATTTTTCTTCTTGCTTTAACTGTGAAGCCTCTGGCACGAGGCCGTTTACGGTGACTGCAGTCAACTGATCTTGATTGCCCAACTTTACATATAAGCCAGGAATTTAAAAAAAAAGGATTATTACCTTTTACAAAGCTCATGATGAAAGAATAATACTACAGTAATATTTTTTCCCCTACAGGTGGCAGGTGATCCTCAAATACTGGAAGTGGAGCTCGCCAAGCTGAAGGTTCTTGTGAATGATATCGCCGCCCACCAAGCGAGCGTCGACACCCTGAACGACGCGGGCGCACAGATAGTCCAGCAGGGTACGGGTATGTGGCCGCGCTTTCGCTTTTGTGATAATTTACATACATTCTATACATATTTTTTAATAGTAACTATCGTGAAAATATGCCTAATTTATTGAAAATACTGACCTACGTTGGCTACGAGACGTTGCTCATGAATAAAGAGTCCCGTTGTGACTTAAAACATTTCATTATTTTCAATATAAAGAAGGTCATATACATTTTTATCAGGATAAAAAGATATACAAACTAATTAAGACTTTAAGCAACAGGTATTAAAGTCAATAATCATTTGCAAGTTGTTTAAAATCAATGGAGAGTTATTTAATTATTATTTAATTCTAATTGTGTCTTATAATGATTAGGGTCGCAAATCGTTTGCAGTTGTTTAGGTTTTTGATGTGAATGTTATTTTTATCCTGTTTTATTGATACTTTTCTTTAGTAAATTTATATGAATGCAAAAATCTTAGAATTAAATAATAGGCGAAAAATTAAAGTTTATATATAAAAAAATCTTAACGACTAACAATATTTCAAGTATTCAATATTCTCCTTTTAAAATAAACAAAACATTCTAAATCTCACTTCTTCTAATAATCTTGATTCTAAATTTCTTAATTCTTTTGTCCGAATACTCAAACAAAAATATGTGGTACTTTTCCGTAATTCCATAGTCTTATTGGGATTATTTCAGTTTTTCGACCATCTTTTATTATTATTACGGAGTCAGGTTTTATATTTAAAGCTAGGCTTGCTTTGGATATAAAAACCGACAGCACTGCTACTTTTACTTGAGTATTCGGCCGTTATCGTCCACATTCTAATACAAACTGTGCAATAAGCACTAATGCTTTAAGCTTTAAATGTTTTTGAACATCATATCTGTGTCTTAATCAATTAATCTTCCAACATCAAAGCAATTTCTACCTTATGAAATTTGAGATAGAGTTGATATTTACACTATTTATATTTTATGTATTAAAATAGTCATCTAGATCTATCTCTAGATCGTAATATTTCAGAATTCTCGATTGAAATATTACCAATAATTATTTTTGTGTAATGTTCATACAATTTGTGATTGACCTTAAAGGACATTCTCCAACCCTATCAAGTACACATAAAAATGTATTTTTTCAACAAAACATATAAAAATATGATTAAAATTCAATAGATCACAAGTAATCAACTTTATATCAACTATACCTCTCTAAACTATTTTAAACCTATTTACCTATAAAAATAAGGTTCTCAATTCAGTTGGTATATATATTTTTTGTGTGTAAATACACGTATCACACCGATGTGAAAATACGGGTTTGCGCAAACCTTTTTTGTGCAACGAATATCTGTATACCAACAATTGCATGATTCCTTTTATACGTAGGTACGGATGAGGCTGGTGAGACAGCTGAGAAACTGGCCACGTTGAACAGGAAATGGAGGGAACTGCAACAGAAGGCGAGGGACAGGCAGACTGAGCTGGAGGACGCACTCAGGGAGGCACAGAGGTACGGAGAATAGTATTTATAAAAGTATCTTGGAATACTTGGTTGTTGATAGAGATGTCATTTATTATTGTTTTTTATTAGGGCGATTCTCAAATGAGATTTCTAGAATTATGTCATAGCATGAAGACATTAGTTCTTTGGTTATTTCACTATTACTAGCTGCTAAATGAGTATGAAATTATTGAGGCAACTGAAATTGAACGCCTCAATAAGCATTAAGCTTAACAGGAAAAAGGTATAACTCAAAAAGTGGCTATTTGAATCTTAAAAACTATGGTTCAAAAGTTAAATTAAAAATACCGTTTCTTATAAGTTCTGGTTATTATTTAATATACGATTTATCGTAGGTTAATTGTAGTAATCACAGCATTAAATACAGTTACTGAAACTTCGAGTTTGCATCGAAATCCTCAGCATATTAAAGTGTAGAATTATCTCAATGATACTAGACGTCTAATCATACTGATAAGCGTCTTCTTCTCATAGCTTCAACGCTGAGATCGGTGACCTATTGAGCTGGTTGTCCGAGGTGGACAGCGTCATCGCTGCCTCCAAACCAGTCGGAGGTCTGCCTGAAACCGCCTCCGAGCAGCTCGAGAGATTCATGGTAAGTTTTTCAACCTAAACATAATGTAATTTGAATATTTTGTAAGGGAAAATGTATAAAAAAAGTAAGTAATAATGAGTAAAATTGTTGATTGAAAATCAATTATATCATATATTATTTACAGTCCTTTTTGATTAGTATAGAAAACGAAGTTTATAAGTGGGATTTATTATTATTAGTAATAAAGATATTATTGGAATCCGTGTTGCCGTTGACGTCATTTTTATGTATACAGAAGTAGATATTATATTATGCTAGCTACATATATGTGTATTAAATAAAATAAACTTTCACATTTCCACATAAATATTTTATTTCTCATCTATTTTTAAAACTCAAATATTAAAAAAGTACGACAAGGCGCAATTTTAAATGACATACAAGTCATTCAACCATTATTGCTCTTTACAGGAGGTATACAACGAGATCGAAGCGAACAGGCCGAAGGTAGAAGCAGTTCTGCAGCAAGGCCAAGAGTACCTGAAGAAGCAGGACAGGCCCAACCCCACGTCACAGCTTCACCACAACTTGAAGAACTTGAAGTCGCGGTGGGATAACGTTACCGCTAGGTAAGTACTCCTTTGTTGTGCAACAAAGTTTATAATTAAGGGCTCCGGTTAAGCTCGAAACTAATCGAGCATGGTCATGGTTTAGAGTTAGAAAACAGTTACTTACATGGACATTCTCTAAATCTACAAACTTATATTAAATCGTTATGATAGTTGTTCGTAAAAATCTGTTGTTGAGAACTTTTGACTTTTTTATTTTAGAAATTTATTCCTTCCTTTACCGTTTAGAATAAACAGAAGCCAATAAATAACATATTAAAGCACATAACCATTCATACTTAATGATAAAGGTACAAACAATCTCTTAACTTCATCATCTTCATCATCATTAGCCCAATTTTGTCCACTGCTGGACATAGGCCTCCCCAATTGCACGCCATTAAGCTTGATGTTCAGCTCTTCTCATCCCATTTTACTTACCTTCATATCTTACAGAGCCTCAGACAAGAAGATCAAGTTGGAAATAGCTCTGAAGGAAGCCACAGAGTTCCATGATGCGCTGCAGGCCTTCGTTGACTGGCTGACCAGCGCTGAGAAGACCCTCACCTCCGCCAAACCTGTCTCCAGGGTTATGGAGACGTTGCTCGGTAAGTAACACCCTGTACATATACTTTTTTTAATCTTAAGACAATAAATCACACAAGCGGACTTAATTCCTTGGTCATTGTCTAAGATTTATTCAAAAGTCCTTTACTTTAAGCTAAAATTGAGTTTTTTACGTGTGTTTTCTTTTCATGATGTTATAATTTATAATAAGATTAAAATCTGATAATTAATACGGATATTTTGTATTAATAATGAAAAAAAAACTGTATCTTAGAAAAAAATCTAAAGAAAAATGTAGGTAACTAAATATGAGTTTTATGGAGGCAAAAAATCCTCCAGACAGTACCCTCGCCCTGGGTGAGGCCAAACAGTGTCAGACTCTTACAGACTTAAAACCACCCCGTTTCTTCTTCTGCTACAAAAACAAACGTTTTACCTTCTTAATAGTATTTTTTTTACAAATTTGTGCTGAAATACTATAAATAAGGACTGTTTAACGTAACCCCGGGCCGGATTAATTTCGCAATATTTGCTAAAAGACTATGATTTTCTTCCTACAGTCCAAATCGAAGAGCACAAGGCGTTCCAAAAAGAGGTCGCGACCCACAGAGAGACCATGCTACACCTGGACAAGAAGGGCACACACCTCAAGTACTTCAGTCAGAAGCAGGATGTCATACTCATCAAGAACTTACTCGTGTCTGTACAACATCGCTGGGAGCGAGTCGTGTCTAAGGCCGCTGAAAGAACCAGAGCTTTGGACCACGGTTTCAAGGAGGCCAAGGAGTTTAATGAGATGTGGTGAGTAGGAAATTCGACTTTATTCCCTTTGTTGTTTAGGGCGAAAATTGATTAAACCTAGTATAGCAAATATCTTCAATGTAGGTAGATAGAAATTTTAACTCTATTGTCTTGTTAATTACGTTGATAATGCTTTTTAAGCGTTATCGAGTGGGAATTTTAACTTTGTTTTAGAAATTAGGTCGAAAAATGCTTAAAGCTAGTATAGTAAGTTACTTCAATGTAAATAGGAATAAAAACTTTATTGCCTTGAAAGTAACGTCTGTAACACTTTAAACCACTCAAGTAAGCTAGGTCAATCTACATTTTAAGCGATTTTCAGCTTAGTTGAGTGTTGTAATTGTGTTCAAAATCTATTAACGTTATGTGTTAATTGATGAGCTGATCCCTTAATTGTTAACTTGTGTGTTGGTACAGGAACAACTTGATGAACTGGTTGAACGACACTGAGGAACAACTGGACACGCTCAACGCTGAGGCCACGGTCAATGACCCGGAGAAAATCAAACAGAGGTATTGTTTCCCTCAATACAAATAATCACATCTACATAATAACTTCAGTCCTTTGAATATTGATATGTATTCCTATTTCGTAAGGTTGAATTTACATTACGTTTTCTTAAAGTGTCAATCTGTGTTAATAATATTATTTTCAACAAATTTAAGGTTAAAATTCCATAGCGACAAATTAAATTTTGCTATCGTAATGTGAATCGTGTAAATTAAAAATAGAGTAGCTATTTGAATCCTGAGTGGAGAAATAGAGTTGCTATTTAAATCAACCCCTTTAGAGGTTTAACGCAAATAATATCTATTGAAATAGATTTAAGAAATAAGTAAAAACACGAATGCACATTCAGAAATCACTTTTTCCGCTTAAGATACCAAATTCATATAAAATTTCTTCCGTACAGACTGACAAAACACCGTGAGTTCCAAAAGGCCCTCGCTGCCAAGCAGCCAGTTTACGACCAGACAATGAAGACTGGCAAACAGCTGAAGGACAAGGCTCCCAAAGGAGACGAGAATACTCTGAAAACTATGATGTCCGATATGAAGACCAAATGGACCACTGTTTGCTCCAAGGCTGTTGACAGGTAAGGCAAAATCAATTAGACCCTTATAGGCACTTTTGAACGACAAACACAGCTTAAAGATCCAAAAGGGTCAGTGTGTGAGTCAGTCCTTTTGGTCAAGCTTTGTGAGACCAATTGGTCCCTAACAAATTTTTTATTCATAGTGTGTTTACCTCATTGGTATCTGGCTAAGACCAAAGTTTCGGGTCGGGCATAGTAAATGATCTTCGCTCGAATGGTACCTCTCAAAGATGTCTTTTTGACTTAGGAAATTAAAAACAGTTATTATCAAATTCACAAAACCCACTATCTAGTAAAAAAAAGTCTAAAACATCATCATCGTTGACAGTTCGAAATAAATATTAAGTTTGTCTATTTAGGAATTTCTTAATCCTACCAAAATTATAAAATGTGAAAGTTTGTAAGAATATATGGATGTATGAAAACGACTGTACCGATTTGGTTGAAATTTGGTATGTAGATAGGTAATACCCTGAACATAGGCAAAGGCATTTTTCAAACATTTCTTCTTCTTTCCTTCTCCAGGCAACGCAAGTTGGAAGAAGCACTTCTCTACTCCGGACAGTTCAAGGACGCGATGTCAGCGCTCCTGGACTGGTTGAAGAAACAACAGAAGGACCTCGCCGGAGACTCGCCCGTGCACGGAGACTTGGACACTGTCATGGCGCTCATTGAACAACATAAGGTGAAAAACTTGATTTTCAATTTGGTAAAATCACGATTTTTCAAAGTCGATTACCATTTGTACCCGTGGTTTTGAATTTTTTTATAGGCGATTCCCTTCTTTTTCTAATGATAATTTATGAGCATTTTAATTATAAAAACACTCATTATAAAATTAATTATAAATATAAATAAATTCTTTTCTTGTCAAAAATAAACATTGCCCACTATGATTTCGCCTGTCGTGGGTTCGTGTACGAACATATGATTTCACATTCACATTACACCCAGACCGGGAACAACAATTTCTTGATTACAAATAGTGTTGCGTGCGGGAATCGAACGCGCGACACGTTGCGCGACAGCCCAGCTACAGAGCCAACCATGCAGTCTGACTCAAATAAAAATTAAACACAAATTAGATCTTAAATTCAGAAAAGATAGTGTTTATAATTTTAGACATATTTTAACCTAATTTATTCTTTGCAGCAATTCGAGGAAGATCTGCATTCACGCGAACAACAAATGCAGTCTGTCATGAAGACAGGCAAGGATCTAGAAGCGACGGTATGTTTTACATTCAATTTTATACTTAGACACTGAATTTTTAAAATCCAATATCACCTGGCAGTACTTATCCCTATTTTCAAACTTGTATCATAAGAATTTGAGGTCTAAGTAACTTATTTTAAATTTCAATTTCTTAAAGTTCTTAAAATAGTATCACAAGAAATTGAGTTCTAAGTTACATAGTGTAAAGTTAAATTTCTTATGACACAGATTTTTTTCTGTTTATGAAGTTGCTTTCTACTTCAAGCAATTCTTTTGCAATATCAAACCTTTAAAACAAATGCATTAAGGTTCACATTTCCTCGCAGGTGCCTCGTGAGGATGCGGCCAGTATTCGCCAACAGTGTAGTGAGCTGAAGAGTGCCTGGGAGGCAGTTCTGACCCTCAGCGAGAGGAAGGCACACAGGCTTGAAGCTGCACTTAAAGAGGTAAGATTAAAAACAAAACAAAAATACGTGACTAGTTAGAAAATTATAACGATTACATAAATTTATTAAGTGAGTATGAATGATCGGTTTTTTCGACGAAACTTCTGAACTGTTAATGATGAATGTTAGTAAAAAGATTTGTATAAATTTTAATTAAGGTTGTTGGAAGCTTTTAGTGAAGGTCAAAATATCTTAGTAAATATATGAATAACACAAAAATAAGCAAAAACATATGTTTTTGTGTTATGTAGTAAAAACTCTTTTTATTTAATCAAATCTCTCACTTTTTTCCACACAGGCGGAAAAACTCCACCGTTCAGTGAACATGCTACTCGAATGGCTGTCCGACGCTGAGACCAAGCTTCGATTCTCCGGTCAATTACCCGAAGGCGACGTTGAAACTCAACAACAGATCCGCGACCACGAGCGATTCGTTCGAGAACTGAATGAGAAACAGAGGGACAAGGACGACACTATATCGCTTGCCCACTCTATTTTGAGTAAGGCACATCCTGATGCTGTCACCGTCATCAAACACTGGATTACTATCATACAAAGCCGATGGGATGAGGTAAGCTTTAAATAAAATTACGACTTTAAATGTATATAGCTAAGGTTGATTATTATTTATATTTGATTTTTGGAAATCCGACCAGCGGTTCCATAGATTACCCCCTTGACAAACTACAAATTATACCTCTTCATAATATTACCTAGTGCAATATTTGAAGACTTATGCTCCTTATAATACTTTTGCTGCAGTTTCATTGCATTGCATGAATAAATGGAGACAAAATTCACCCGCTGCTCGGCTCCATTTAATCGTAGCGTGGTGTTTTATAGCCTATAGCGCTCAGGAACATGTAGCTATCTATCAGTGAAAGAATTTTGGAAATCCGACCAGTGGTTCCAAAGATTAACCCCTACATACAAACTTACAAATTTTACCTCTTTATAATATTAGTACGGATAAAAATTTACATCTCCGCGTCACTAAGCTAAGCACTAAGTCACGCTGATTCAGAGGAACAACATAATATTATATCTATCTAAGATTACACCATATACTCGTAAGACTCGCTTCCTCTTAAGATAACTTTGAAATGCTAGTATAAGACACAATATTGATGTAATATCTTTGTGTCGGAATAGATAATTCGATCTGTTAAGGAGCCCGCTTCTCGTGCATAGGTTCGAAACCTGGCAACCAATGTGACCTTTTCCGAGTTTTATGTACTTTCTATGATTATTTAGACACCACTGACATAAAGTAAAGGAAAACATCGTGCGGAAATTAGGATTTATAATTTCTAATTATAAGTTTGAAATTACCAGGCCTTGAGCAAGCGTTGTGATTAATGCTCAAACCTTCTCCGTGTGAGACGTGATTTTATTATTACCAAAACAAAACTCAACTCCAATATCATCAAGGACCATTCATATCTAACGATTCGATAAAATAATCAACGATAAAAAAAAATATTTTTTTGTTCACAATACACATTACATTCGGAGTTCGAATTCAGTTATATAATGTTGTTAAATGCCAGTGTTTTTTTTATTATAAACAGTTATTTTTTTATAATTGAGTGTTTATGTTAAAAATATGAGTAAAGATAATAATAAAAGGTATTTAGTAACAACTGTGTTGCCAGTGATACAGATTTTTAGGAAGGTTACTCCTGGACAGGTAGGATATCAAATCTTTCAACTCGGGAATATGACATGAAAATATGTTTAGTAGTTCTCGAGATCATCACGGACAAAAAGATAGACTTTTTAATATATGTGTACCGCAACCTGTGTAATGTAATTATGACCTAAAATTGCAATCAACCAAGTGTCGGGTACTTTCCGGTGACTTAATCTGATTCTCAATTTTATTTGCTAAGCGTGGTGATTATGGTGAACATTAAAGCATATTAAGGCAAATTAATGTAAGGAAAAAAATTACGCAGAAATGTGGGGTGATTATTATAATTATGAGACATCTCCCTAACTTATTTCACCCCTTTTGCGGAATCTATTCTCCCCTCGAATTATTTTCAACTAGTTTTTTGGTATGAAATCATGTACTTATTTGTTTTGGACTCGTTAGCAAAAATAATTCATCTGCATTGCGATTTCTTGTGATAAAAGTCTGAAGGCCAAATTTAATTATTATCAATCACTGATATCTGCTTCGGAAACTCGCATGATTATTTATGTATTAAAATGTGCATAATGGAATATTTTTCCAATAATTTTAATCTTTAACTTAGATAAATATCCATAATTTAATTTATTTATTACAAGATAGATACTTTTTTTTTAAATACTTTTTTTCTTTTACAAAAGTTAATTTTTTTTATCGTCTTCATTATATTTCGACTGCACGGTTGTCGTAGTGGCTGGCAACTGGCTTCTGTGCAACGTGTCGCGAGTTCGATCGCCTCACAGAAGAACACTTTTTAAAATCCACGTGTAGTTTGTATGTTTGTAAACGCACTCACGACACAAGAGAAAACCCTAGTGTGGAGTAACGTTTTATATAAAAATGAAAGTAAAATATAGTAATCATCATGATCATCAGCATAATGAAGTAACCACTGTTAAAAAAATGTCTTCTCTACGAACATTAATCACCACGCTTGCAAAAGGCGAATTTAGAAGTCAAATTATTACTTGTCAGAAAGGGACGCCTCAACCTTACAGCCGTGAAAACTGCTATACAGATTTCTATAAATATTATGTTAATGTTCTTGAGGCAAAAAACCATTATTAATATGTATATTATAACCCGTCCCATTTTGCCAATGTACAAAAACAGTAATAGTGCAAACGCTATCACATCAACCTACACCAATCTCTCAAATTTATATAACATATTGTCAACTTTACTATCTCGAAATAAAGCCGAATTTCTATGAAATTAAGTCGTGTAGCTTTACCTGCAACTGAACGAATTATTATTAATTATTGTTTATTTGTTGTGTTAGGTATGGCAATGGGCTATGCAACGTGGTGGAAAGCTGGAGGCTCACATGCAGAGCCTGAAAGACTTGGATCTTGTTCTCGAAGAGTTACTTCAGTGGCTCATCGGATTGGAGAACACTTTGCTATGTAAGTATAATGTATTTTAAAAGCGAACCAAGAACGAACTGTTATTGAGTTGTTAGTTATCCGCTTTGTAAATTCTTTGTGACTATTATGTATTATATACTACTTAATATTAGGGGTCGCCGCGGCTCCGCCAGCGTAGATGTCGTTTTAACACTTTTTGAACGATTTTATAAATGTTCACTGCGTAAAAATTTTTTCTGGACTTAAAACCACGAATAATTAAAGACCAAAATTAGCCAAATAGGTAAAAGCATTGTTGAGTTATAACATGACAACGAAAAGTGAGTGCATTTTATATAAATACTAGCAGACCCAGCCAGGCGTTGCTGTGGCTAAGGTTCTTGTCATATTACATAATAATATGGACAAATAATTTGCAATAAAATAATATTACAACTATAAATTGAGATGTAAGGTATCCTATCTTTCAAGTTGGATCAAAATGCACACGGAATGCAAATCAAATTTAAAATCGGTTTAGTAGTTTAGGAGTCCATCGCGGACAAACATGTGACACTAAACTAAGAAGGAACTGATATTGAGAGTCTTGTTTGAGTTATCCATTTTGTAAATTCTTGGTGACTATTATGTATTAAATACTAATTGTATTATAAATATTCCTATTCAACTTTCAAATTCTTCTCAACCCGTTTTCTCTTATTTTGAACAGTCTTCAGTTTTCATAATGTTGAATTTGGTGTGATATTGAACGTTGAGCTATAACCGACAAAAAAACTAGCTCAATGAATTAGACCTAGACTAAAAAGAAGCCTTGTTTTGTACTAAGACCGTTATGGTTAATTTTAAAGGCTTTTGTGACGTTAGTTTTGAATTAAATTCTCGGACTCATTGTATAGAGATCTCATAATCAAAGTTAAAATATTTTAATTCTTATTTTTTATTAAGTTAATTCCTTTTTTCCTTAGCACTTGAGTCGGAACCTCTACCAGAATCCATTGAGCTTCTCGAAGGCCTCATTGAGGATCACAAAGAGCTCATGGAACACACACAGAAGAGACAGAATGAAGTCGACCGCGTCTGCAAGGCTTACCAGGTACTTAATTGTTTGACATTTAAAAATGATTCTTCCATAAAGGAGGTTAAAGTTTATTATTCCGTGATCTATTTGTGTAATTATTTGGCTCATCGAAATTATAATGTATTTTGGGGATAATAAAGTTTCTTATTCTGTGACATTATGACTACCGTATCATATTTGTGGTAATTTTATTGTAATTTGAACCTTATTCCCTCAGGTTAAGAGTCAAAGCCAAGGCCGTGAAAGCACTCCAAGAAAGGTTTCAGCCAAGAGCGCTACTAAAGGAGCACCTGGGTACGTCAATTACATATTAAAATTCTTTTTTTTTCTTAATGTTGTCCATAAAAAGTATTTTCTTTTACTTCCATGTTTAAAAAAATGCTTCAGTGTGGTTTCTAAATTAAATTTTCTATGTTCCTTTTTTATTTTATGTCATGTTATATGTTCATATCCATTATATTTTATGTTATTCGTTTTGTTTCCCCCACTTTCACGATCATGCACTTCGTCACGTCGCCGCCATCTTGTGATGTCATTGCATGGTGTTGCCTGCTTGCAATATGTGTTGCAATGTCAAAATATAGCCGCGGTTCCCAGCACGACCTTCATAGAGAAAGATCAGTGTCGCCTGATTATTATGGATCTAGGCGCTACAGGTGTGTTTTATTTCCATTCATACAGTTTATTGACCTTTTTTATTGAATAACTTATTCTTTTGGTAATGTTGAGTATTTTTATCATTTTCGAAAAAGTATTTTCTGTTTGTCACAAATGGTAGAAGAATACTTTAAAATATGTAAAAAAACTGCATCGTATAATATAATATGAAGAACTGGCACTGCATAACAGCCAAGAATTGTGATACAAATACTCATAAATACTAAATTTCATATTTAAATTCCATAACTATAGCATATAAACGTAATAGTATTAAGGGCTGATTTTTCAATGGTTAGATAAAAGTTACCTGGAAATAATGTATGATGCTGTCGCGTCACAATATTTGTATAAGACAGTGACAGCAACAATTTTATTCCTTAGAGAACAAATATCTGACTGTTGAAAAATCAACCCTAAATCTAATAAAACGAAATCAATCAAAAATAGTTATTATTTTTCCAAATATATGTTTTAAGTTACGTTTATATAAAATAACTTTGCTAGACCCAATGTAATGTAACTAGCTCCCGCCCGCGGCTTTGCCATCGTGGTACGCTGATAAATGCGGTATATGTGTTAATCCAGGGTATCACCCTATCAACATAACACAAATTTCAACCGAATCGATCCAGCTGTTTTTGCGTTAAAGATTAGCAAACAAACATCTTTCACATTTATAGTCGGATAGTAGGATTTTTCCAATTTTCAGACTGCATTGATTTACTCGTTGTGTACCTATATGTAAATATTTATTACATTTAGGGCTGATTTTTCAATACTCCGATAAATGTTATCTGAGGAATAAAACTGTTGCTGTCACTGTCTTATACAAACGTTTTCACGCGACAGCATCATATAATTATTCCCCAGGTAACTTTTATCTAACCATTGAAAAATCAGCCCTTAACTTTGTAATGTCAAAGTCAAAAATCATTTATTTCAATTAGACCCTTCCAGACACTTTTGAATGTCAAACAATTTAAAGAAGTGTCAGTCTGCAGCCTGTCGGTCAGTCTTTTTAGTGAAGCTATTTGCTCGTTCCAAAGTGTAGATTCCGATGGAGAAGAATGAGCAAGAAACTCCATGGTACTCTTTTTACTACTCTTTTTAAATCAATTTCACACACAGATTCCTTATACAAACAGTTGGGTCAGAATATAAGTTTCTCAACTAAGAAAAACGTTAGGCTGTTCGTTCTTATTTTAAATTTTGTTCTTTATTTAAATTGGGTCTAGAAAAGTTAGGTGTAATAATGGTTTTACTCACTCTTCATGTGCTTTTATTGTTGTCATATTATGTGTAATTGTCCGTGTGTTGTCAGAAAATCTTAATTTTTATTACATAATATAGGCCTTTGGCCATCTCTAGTTCTGTTTCCATCGGTCTAACTGACTGATATCTTGAACTATCTTTCTTAATAGATACCTCAATATGTCAGTTAAGCTAACAGAACCTTAATTAATCAAACCCCAAGCGAACGCCGGCGTACGCGCACCTATTGTTCTTCTGTCCTGTCTCGTATTACAACGATTGAAAGGCAAAAGTGATTATTAATATTAGTATTTTCTGGCAACACTACAATTGCTTTGTCCCGCTCTAACACATTGTAAACGTTGCTTTCCGTCTCGCTCTGGCACGCTTCGACACGGGCAGGTCCAGAATTCACACTCGAAGTAGGAGAGGAAGGTTTGATCGTCTATTCTTTTTTTAAATTGTGTGTTTGTGTGTGTAGATTAGTGCTTGACAGTTGTTTTTTAGAAAAACTTAGTTTTTTAGCATGGATATGTATTTTTTTATTATAAATTCTTTCGAATATCGTAGCTAGTAAACAACGCTGTGAATTCAAATATGGAATGTAGCGTTCGAAAGCCTCACTGTTTTAATTGCAGTCAAAAAACTCAAGGCGAATCCACCACTGGCTCTGGCCAGCAATGACCTCTATTGGGTTAAAAACATAAGTTTTAACATTAAATCATTGATTTTGGGTCATATCTACAGTTTTTAAATCTCCAAAAAATATCAAATGCCCTAAATATCAAATATATGTGTATAAATCAAATCTTCAATAACAAATAAATATGTGTAGTATTTCAAGCTTGACGCTTTCAAACTTATATTTTACGAGTAAATCAACTTATTTGTATGTTTGTATTTTTGAATCCCATTTGCATCCTTGGAATGCAGTCGCTACGGATTTTACTTTAGGTAAAGATATGTAGTACATTAGTTAAAAAAATAAATATATCAATTGCAGAAATGAAAGCAATTTAAAACCTTAACAATAGATCATAAAGGGGAAAATCATTTGCTTAAACTCTGCGGTTGATATTATTGATTTTAAAATGTAGAAGCATGCGTAGTTTTGTAGTTGAAGTAAAAATCTTTGCTTTGGCAACATTTATATGAAAAATGCTTGAAAATGAAGCATTTAGCTTGAGCTATAATTTTATTTCAGTTCTGCATGACCTAGGGTTGACATTCAAAACACTAACCAGACTCAAAAAAAAAATAAACAATAACAGCCTTCAAATAGACAAGCGCACAAATAAACAGAAACGTATCAATCAAAAATGAATTCTAGCACATAAAAATAAGAATCACTTTAGATAGACGCTGTGCACCGACTAACAGGGTTGTCAGAACTAACAAGACGCGGCTAACAAAAATATCGTGGTTACTAACGGTTGTGTACGTTTTCTTGTGTCTATAATTATGCGTGTGCTTTAGTCGCGTGAGCCCTGGCCGAGAGACACCCGATCGCAACCTGCCTCACTACGGCCCCAGATTTCCGGCTAAGGGAAGGTAAGGGTCCTCTACAGAATGACAGATAAACGTCAAACTCCAAACGTCAAATGTCAGTTGTCAAATAAACGTCATAATGTTGAGAATTCCGGTAAGCTATCGCGTTTTTCGTGATTAACTTTAATCTACGTGTGTAGTTAAGTAAAGTAATAAAAATATAAATACGAGTTTTATAAATAGTATTTATATTTGAAACAACTATCTGATACTTACTTCTTTAATTAAATCCTTGGTTTAAATTTCTCATTAAATACTTCATTGATTTTAGAGACAACAAAAAATTTAGGTATACCAAACCTCATAAAATAGCTTTTGAAAAAGTCCTCAGACATTCATATTCAAAATCATGTCAACCATCGGTAGAAGGTTTTTATAATAATAAATTATTTCGCTTTGAATTTTTTGCTAATTTCATTTTTTTTTGTCGCTGGGTATTGTGTGTGGTAGCCCTTATACGCTATAGTGAATCAGCATGGCGAGTATTTGGCATGCTGGTAGATGTATATTTATTTATTCAATTTTGTATAATATATACAAAACCATAGTTTTGATTTAGTTTAAACTTAAGTCTTTAGCCAATCAATGAATCATATTTACATTAATTTCCCCGTAAATTTCTTTTTCTTTACTAAATTTGTATACCCGCCAAAAGAAATACAGATTACATAAAATTAAAGTTTCGATACTTAGGGAAAAAGTTTTAATACCTGCCAATAAAAAAATAATAACAGATAATAATTGAACCTCCTTTTTTAACACGGAAACTTACGTAGCTTTTTCTTCTTAACAGCAAAGGCGCTGAGCCTGAATTCAGGTCGCCTCGTGTCAAACAGCTGTGGGACAAATGGCGCACGGTATGGCTTCTTGCGTGGGAGCGACAAAGGAGGTTGCATGAACGTCTTATGCATCTGAAGGAACTGCAACGAGTGTCCAACTTCAGCTGGGACGACTGGAGAAAGAGGGTAAGATATTACAATAAATGGCATCGAGCAAATCACTACATAGTATAAAACAAAGTCGCTTTCTTTGTCCCTATGTCCCTATGTATGCTTAAATATTTAAAAACTACTACTAACTTAAAAAAAAAATTGATGGACAACTTTAAGAAATTAATGCCAAAATATTGCGAAAACTGTATTGTGTAAGTTCACCAAAAAATCCTAAGTATTGTATTTCTGCAGTATAACCTAAAATACGCAAATATAAAAACAGACTTCTTCCAACAACATTTTCTACCGCATACCATACGCATACCGTATCTGCTTAGAAATATTCTATGACTAATCAATATAATTTTGTCCCTAGTTCCTGAAGTTCATGAACCACAAGAAGTCTCGTCTAACGGACTTGTTCCGTAAGATGGACAAGGACAACAACGGGCTCATCGCTAGACACGAGTTCATTGATGGAATCATCAATACTAGTAAGTACATGCTTCCTTACAAACCAGCAATGGACATTGTTACATTTTTTTATACAAAGTTACAAGTCTTTATACATGGAGAGGACTAAATCAATAAACTTGACACTCGAGGTCTATTAATATAAATAATCGAACACATTTTGCAAACTCAAAAAACTTCGGAAGCATGTGAATGCCTCAAAGAGCCAATAGACCACCATCTACATATTAAGTGGCCAAACAGAACCGATGTTTAGCCAGGGTCGTTAGTCAAGCACAATAAGGTACCGCAGCCTCAGCCTGAAGCAGGAGAAAGAACGGGGGGGGGGTTTAGTCAGTAAGAGTCTGACACTCCCTCTCTCGATACCCTCGGCGAGAGAAGCCATTTGATGATTTTCAGTCCTCAAAGAAAAGGCTGGATGCAAGTCGCTGCGAACCGATCTATTTGGTCAATCATCGCTGATCCATGATGATAATGACTAAAAGACATTTCGTTTGTCACAGAATTCGACACGTCTCGCCTGGAGATGGGCGCCGTAGCTGACCTGTTTGACAGGAACGGCAGCGGCCTTATCGACTGGGAACAGTTCATCGCCGCGCTCCGACCTGACTGGGTAAGTCATAAACACTGATATTTTATTGCAAAACTGCTCATCCCTCCCCGCTGTGCCCCTAAATCGTCATATCCCTAACCCCTAAAAGGTTATCCTCAAATAATATCTTCTGATTTATTTCGTTACGGGATCCAAGACAGTCATTCATGTCCCTGGAACGCGCCGGACTTCAGTGTTCCGATGTTTTCATGGTTGTATCTACTGTAGATCCTGGCTTACAGGAGTTGCAGCGGTTTTGAGAGGTTGCGGCAGGCTTGTCCCAAATAAAAAAAAAACCCTAAATGGCTGGCAACGCACTAAAAACTCTTTGCTTTAGGTCTGGTGAAATTATAAGTCAGTTCGTTTGCTGGCATATCCCAGAAAACAGATTTGTTTGATTGTATCAATCGATATAATACATTTAGCTATACCAAACCAATTTAAGATGGCCTCGATTCGTGTGATCCTTTGACATAAGCAACGGTCACTTTACACTGGTTTTTCAAAACTTGATGTGTAATCATTAGGTATGTGCGAGATATCGAAAACGCACAGATAATAATATTATCAGATTTTGATACGATAACGACATTTTTTCAGGAGAAAGGCCCAATAGAATTTTTTTCGTAGTTTGTGTTGTTTCTGCAAGTTAGATAAGGTACCTAGGTAAGGTACTACCTACTTTAATATTTCTGTGGATTAGTGAGTTTTTTTGTTTTTCTTGTAGGAAGATAGTTATACAATGTTTGTGGTCCTTTTATATATTTTATGCTGATTTAAGTAAAATTCTCCAATTAGTATAGTTTTGAGTGTGCTTATAGGTTCTGGTTTTCTACAATATTTTCTTTCATACATTGCAAGTTTTTCATAAGATGTGCATATAAGGATAAATAAAAACGAACTTTCTATCCTGGAAGCTAAAGCCTAAATTCCTCTCTAACGTACTTCAACGAAAGCAAAATAAATAAATTGAGAACCTTATTCCCTTAATTTTTAAATTTCTTTTTCCGTTACCAGGTCGAGAGCCGTGGTCCACCAACGGACGCTGATAAGATCCACGATGAAGTGAAACGCCTCGTGATGCTGTGTACCTGCCGACAGAAGTTCAGGGTGTTCCAAGTTGGAGAGGGCAAATACAGGGTGAGTACATTTCTATTTATTTGTGATTTTCATGTAAAAAAGTACATACTATAAACGGTCAAATTGAGAACCTTTTTTGTCGGTTTTTAACTAGTTTCTGCCCGTGGTCCCGCCCGCAATATAAGATAAAAATCTAACCTGTGTGTTATCCCAGATTTACACAGAGTTTGTATGTAAAAAGAACAGAGTACCTATAAAACATCATTATGTGTTCGTTTGAATGCGCCAATCTCAGAAACGACTGGATTAAATTGTAAACGTATTTTTTGTCAGGCAGTGTGTAAATAGATTGTAACAATTTTATTGTTTCTTTACTTACGAACTAGCACTAAACTATATTTTATTTATTCCCCAACAGTTCGGAGACTCACAGAAACTCCGCCTAGTCCGTATCCTTCGATCCACAGTAATGGTGCGAGTTGGAGGCGGATGGGTCGCCCTCGACGAGTTCTTAGTCAAGAACGACCCTTGCAGAGGTACGTACAAGAAATTCTTAAAGGGAAATCGGTTTAGAGAATATATTTTCAACATAAACATTTCATTCCTAAGACACGTAGGATGGACAATGTTGCATTTACCCTAAGAAGTGACAAAAATGCATTTTTAACTCTATGCTCTTTTAAACAAGATGCAGTTTAGGTTACAGTGTTTTTTTATTATATTGGAATGGGAATATTTCTTGTCTTAGGATTGTTATGTATGTTGGATCTAATACATATATAAACATACTGCTATGTATCAAGATAATTATATATCACATTCGTATAAAAATGTCTTATAAAACTGTAAAAAGTCTAGTCTAACAAAGTAGTTAGTTTAACTGATGGATTATTTGACTTATCTTACATATGATAAGTGTGGGAGAAAAATCAAAATCAAATCTCCAAATCCCTAATCCTCCGTCGTTGCGGGTGTCCATGGGTGGCGCTGATTGCTTACCATCAGATAATCCGTTCGGTAGTTTGCCGACCTACCACTTAAAAAATCACCCTATTCCTTCTCCCAGTCGAGGGCCGAGCCCTGGTATGTATTACACTCTACCCACAACCCCAGCTGAACATCACTTTTTGTTGGCCCCACCTGTGGTCTGATGGTCCAATAACTAAAATAAATCGTTTATTCTGCTTATATAAATATCTTGATATGTAGTGATATGTAACTAAAAACCTTATATGTCATAATACTAACCGAGTATTTGATATATGAGGTTTTATATAAGAGGATATAAATGGTTAGGTTACTGTGGAAAGTAGAGTTAATTATTGTTAGGTAGGTATTTGGGGGGTAGATTGAGAGGGTCATAATATAACATATTCTTTATATTCTTGGAATGTACCTATTGTTCATATATTTCGGCTTCAATTCATAAGAGCAGTTTAACATACGTTTTCGATTCAGTTTGAGATTCATTGGCTCATTTTTAAATAAGTAAATAAGGTCTAAGACTATAGCATTTCATTTAAAAAAAATAAGTTATCCTTTCGATTTGCTATATCTGAAGGTATTATCTTGATCTAATCTTAGTCAATCCAATGATACTTTCGGAAGAAAAAAACCTTTTTTTAATATTTTTTTTCACCAAGATTCGGTATTAACAGTTAGTTGTACTATGTAAAACGGACCGTGTTTGAACTTGTCTACTTCCACAGTAATCTAAACGCGTTCTTTATGCTGGTACTTCATTTTTGTTCTTACTGTAAACCTCTTTTTTATTTTAAGGTTACTAAAAAGTCATTGCACCTATTCCAATTAAAAATCTATTTTTTAGGGTTCACATAAACAATTTCTTACTTCTTTTTAAATTGTTGCAGTAAGAATGGAAATGTGTGACAGAGGATTCTTTTAACAACTTATTTAAATTATTCATTGTTCGATTTTTGAAAAAACTGTCAAGCACAGAACTTTAATTTTATGTTCGATATTTGAAAGTGACAGTTTACTACAATAACTTTTAGGCCTAAAAAAAAATAAAGAAATCCTCATTGTCTTTTAATTGAAACATCTTACGTTAATTAATTCATAAGAAATCTACCTTATTATCTTTTAAATGATGTTTCAAGCAGTAAGTACCAAGCATAAATGTTTATTTATATGGTAAATGCAATGTGATAGACAAAAAAATTATAACTAAATCTGAATAATTGAATGTGTTTCTGTAAGTTTAAATGGGATTCTTTGAAGTAATCCAATATAAAATCCAAAATATGCTAAAAATGTCTTATCCAACTATCACATTGAATTTTTCAAATTGTGAAGCCAATTACGACCTTATTACACCCCAGAATTATAAACGTAAAATTATAATGTTACCTTAAATGATTACAGGCTTCATAAATAACTTATTAATTGAATTAATTGCAACTTCTACAATGCTTTTTGTTCACAAAAGCACTGTAAAAGTTGTGGCGATTATCAGGCATTAAATAAATTACACAAAAATTAATTAAAAAACTAGGTATAAGCTAGTTTTACTATTTGTTTATGGAATCAATATTCTTGGTTAATTGAACTACGGCGTTACAACGTAAATAAAATGCCTGGTAGTCGATTTATTTTTATACTAGTATGTATTAGGTACGTATGGTGATATTCAAAGTGTCAATCAAAATCGGTACTTCGTCCTATGTGTTAACCCCGTAATAAGGGAAATGACTAATATGCGATTATGTGACGTTCCTAACTAAATGGACAAATATTTTTTTAATCTTCATATATTGGGCGAAGATATTAAAAGATCGCGCTTCTATTCTGTGCCCATTTCTCATTATTTATTGGTATTTTTTTTAATATAAAACAAAATACCTTCGAATTATGTTGCGGCAGCGCAAAGCGCGTTCTCAAATATTTTTGTCCCTTCTATCTGGGTTTAAAAGGAAATATTTGTTCAATAGCGTTCTAAATAACAAAATAACACGTATTTTTAATACAATTTTATTATACGGGTACAAATATTAACTACAGATTACAAAATTAATTTCACATTAAACTTACATTAATATCATAAATTATTAAGTAGCTGGCAATATCGTTAAACTTATTTAATCTAGCAATACTGTTTAGTTAAAAATGCAAAACAAAAATCACAGAATAAGGTTACACACTAACAAAAATACTTTTTGGAAGCTCGACACGAAACTGGAAATATCAAGGTCAATCTACCTGTTATATGATGTTAAAAATATTTTTAGAATGACTCGATATAATCTTAGCTGCCTAAGGCTTCTAGGAAGGAGGAGAATACATTGAAATCTGATTAAAAAGAAACAATCATAAAAATATCAGTTCAATTAATCATTTCATTTTGTATAAGAGAAAAAACTTAAAACTACTAGTGAGAAGTAGTAAGTCTTTAAATATATTCTTAAATCTAATGGTTACTGCTTCGCCCGCTAAGTCATGGCTACGAAGTACGAACGAGCGATAAGACTAAATAAATACAGACTACATTTCCGGTTAAATATTTGAGTACAAAATATTGTTCGGCGAGACAAAAACCTCTGTCGCTAAATATAGCTGTTGCCTATACTAAGAGATTCTCTCCAACTATATCTAATTAACGCCTACGATAAGCCTGAACTCCTATTTACGACCGCTAAACGTACAAATTTGAAGATTTACGACTATAAATTATCGTAAAGTTGTATTTTAGAAGCAAACTTCAAAGGCCAATTACGCAACCTGGTCTACGAGACACGTTGGATATAATCAAATATTGGGACACACATTTGGGCCAAAGGATCCATATAAAGGCAAGAATTTTCGACGGTTTATGGCCAGTATTGGCTCAATTTTTATTTCCAACATTATGTTGGAATCTAAAATGGTTCAAAAAGATGGAAGAGCAAATGTTACTTAAAATTACTTGATAGAATTAGTAAATTGGCATGATTAGTCAATAGTAGTCTTCCTAATGAAGGATGTTAGGGAAGAAATCTCACTACTAGCTCTCTCGCTAGGTAAGGGGCTGAATTCCATTTCTTCGCTTAAGTTCTGTGTGTCAGCAGTATTTTCAACCACTGGCCACTTCTTGTGGCTTGGAGCATACAAGACCAACAATGCAAAGATGTAAATGTTCCACATGCCATACACTCCAGTAAAGAATGCTGAAGTATACTCCAGCTCAATGGACTCATCCCATTTCCACTGACCTTCAGCAACTTGTCCAAGAATGAAACCGATTACAGTGAGTGCAGCACAAAGCAGGGTAGCCAACATGAGGAATTTAAAGCGGTAAATAATGCCTTCATAGTGCAGACGACGCACAGAGCACATAGTAGGTAGGGACTGTCTCTTGTAGGATATGTTTGTGAAAACTTGCCAGATCATATAGCACAAGAATAGGAAATAAACTCCAGCCGATATCCCGGCCAGTATGATGAATGTCAAAGCTAAGTTAGTTCCAAGATCTGTCACCCAGATAGAGTAGAAAGGGTTGCGAAGCTGGACACCTCTCTCACACATGTCAAATATAAATAGGGAGATGCAGCCCAAAACAACTGCACTTAAATGTCTCCAGTACTGTTTCACAGAGCTTTGGGCCGATGCATCCTGGATTAACATATGTTCCCCAGCAAAAACAAGCCAGAATGAAAACAGTGTAGCATAGAATAAACCTTGCCGGATATCACTCAATAACAACATAAACGGCAAATCATAATGTAAAGTCAAATACTCGATTGGCATATTTAGGAGACAAAGAGCTAAACCAAGGCTCAAAAGCATTTTCTCAAGTAAAACTGGCTTTCGTTGGAGTATGTGGATGCGTCTCCAAAACCAAACCAATATACCAATGATGCAAGGGAAAAATGCTGTCTTCAAATACAACCAGACCCTAGTAAACCCACCATTCTGGTTAATCACAGTCAACCACATGTCCTGTATATGTCCGATACCCGAGTTCATATCCGGTGAGTCAACAGGGAGTCTTACATTGAGCAGATAGTAGTCATGATACAAAGAACCGAGTTCAAACAATGGAATAGCTGAACAATTGTATAAATATTCTTCACTTTTTAAATCAATATCACAATCTAAATTACGTTTCTCCACGGATTTAGTGTAGAACTTCCACACATCTTCTGGGTCGCCTTTGTTTCGGTAAGCCAATCGCGCGTCGATTGTGATAGTGCTTCGTGGTAGCATTTCAATCTGAGAGTGGTACTTTATGTCCACTTGTAGTACTCCAATTAAATTTTGCTGCCACCGCGAGTAGTCTAGGATCATACCTTCTCGCGGACCCGGCATTTGGAATGCGAATACAATGTCCGTCTCCGACAAATCGTAATGCGGTTCGTTAAGGTCGATTTTCTTACAAGCTCCTTTCCCACGACTGTAATACCAATTCGTCGTGTCATTTTTCATAGTAGAAGTATCACGGCATACGGTTGCGAGTATTATTTGAGCGTTTGCAGGCATGGGCGCGACCAGACCACCGATGAGAAAACATGTTAGCTGACATAACATAAGAAAACTCACTAAAATGGCGAGTTTACGCCCACTTAAGTTCTCAATTATAGTACCCGTCATGTTTCAGACGTTTAATACGCGGATTACATTTAAAAACTGATTCAACACGAACTACAATCGACCGGTGGTGATTTCCATTGTTCTTGTTTTCTTTTTCGACGCGACGTATTTGACATGCGCAGTACCGATGTTGCCAGCTAAAAACGTAACGTTATAACGCTAAGTCGAATAACGATAACGATTAGCCATTACGTTTAAACATAACTACTACCACATAACGGTTTTGTTTGTTAAAATAACATTGATTTTATTATTTACTTTAAATAAAATTGTTTAAAATTTGTCTCATAGACACACTGGTAATTCACGAAGTATTATGAATAAATCCTTACACCGCAAACATTATTCACTTCACTCCCATTGTGAAGCATTCCAACAAAAAGCTAGTATCAGCAAAAATGTCGTTATTGCTCAAGTAAGCATTGAATATGTCCACATACAAATTTGATGTTGCTACTAATTTACTAATTCGTATTCGCTTTGCCCAATCCACCTCCCGTGGTCCTTATCAAAAATTCGTTACTTTTTTTTTGTTTTTATGTTTTTGAATCCCTATAAAATCCCTTTACATAAGTAGTATCATTAGTGCTACCGCTGCCTGATCCGAGCAAGCCGGAGCAGCATGAAGCTTGTTGCCCGCTCGGTAAGAGATATGACCTGTATTGGAACCTTCATAAAAAAAAGATTATTATGTCACTTTTGGCTTTTTACTATTAAATTACACCAAATTTGTAAAATATGGTTCCATTGCAAGTCCATCTAGTTGGTGTGGCTTAGATTTTTATTTTTGCAATGTTGTAGTATTAGTTTGCTCTACATTTTACACGTTTGGTGCTTTTATTGTTGTACAGCTTTTATTATTTCATCAAATGTGTAGAATGCTATTGTAGTTTGGGGTTTACTAATTATATAATTAATGAAATTTATTGTAGTGGTTATATGTGGAAAAATAAAAAAAAAAGATTGCTTATTAAAATTAATGGCATGAAAGTGGTTCTTTATTTGCATTAAGTATTTTATTATTAAATTTATTTTATTTGGTTGTAATATATGGGTTGTAATTCAAGCGCAAGATGTTTATCACTATTTATAAATCCATTGAATGAATTTCTATGTAAATAAAACCTTACTTTAAAACATTGCACATTATCAACTTATCAATGTAAATAATTACATACGTTTTATTAATTTGATCTTGCTCTTGACTTATGCGTTTGCATATATTTGGTGAGAGAATATACTAATCGTATTTTACTATTCCTATTCCTAACTGCACAAAATTACAAAATCCTCCCATTTATTTTTTACAACTGTTATGTTTGTTTATGTTTGACATGTTCTGATTTGTTTGTTGTTTTTTTTTTTCTTTTCCTCACTACCAATGCACGCTGTCCCGTTTTTTTTAACACTTTTTGGTGTTATTTTTCTACCTATCCTTTTACCGAACGGTTTTCTTTGACCTTATCCTATCCTGTCCTATTTGTAATCCCGCGCACCGGACGCCGCCCGCTTGCAGCCAAGGGACGCACCAACATCGAACTACGAGAGCAATTCATTCTGGCTGATGGAGTGTCACAGAGCATGGCAGCGTTTAGACCGCGTACGCCCCGCTCTAACACAAACACACCACCGTCCACTGGACCTATCATGAAGGTAAGTACTCAAACCGCTATACTTAAATCAATCTTCTCTCCTACAGGATAGAACTTAGTTATAATTTCGCACAAGTAAAAAACTCGCACAGTAGTTATTGGAGGGAGCAATCGGTTTGGGAATACCTTTTTTTCGCTTTGTTTTCTTATTGAACTTTGCACATGGATTTGTGTACATCCATATGCAAGGTGCAGTGTCGTGAGTGCAGCATGTGTTGAGCTCGTAGAGATTGGTCGTATTGCATTAGTGTTCAAGCTATGCATTGATGCACAGGCTCGTGTAGTGTTTTGGTGTTGTTTGTTAGTGTATTTCATTGGACCCACTGCATTGGAGAGGTGGCACGTCTACGCCTATGGATGTTTTGGTAATGTATTTTCGTTCACCCATCCCGCTCGTCCCCAATCATACCCGCATCAACAAAATTCACTCGCGTTCGACTAAACGTGTGGACTAATAGTAACAACAACGTGAAAATTCGTCGTAAACAAACGCGTCCCGGAAAACAAACGATTGGCACTATGAAGACAAAAACGAACTGTTTCGTTTTGTACGGTTCCTTCCTTAATAAGCCTCCCGGTTTTGTATTGGTGCGTTTAGCTGAAGAGTTTATGGAGCAGCTGAGGCCTATTTTTGAGGCTCTGCGTCAACGGGAGGAGCTTCCGTGTTCGTATCCTCTGCACGTCGGTTCAACACATGGCACTAAGCAGGCGTTCATATACGGCCACTCAAGATCTCAAGGTTCCACGACGCCGGGGGCGCACCACTATAGCCACCACCATGGCTATCAGCCCTCTCCAGGATATCATTGGGTAATGCTACGTAGGCTGTGTGAAAGTGGCGCGGTTGTTTGATCTCTCGAATCATTTTTGAGGTTTATTATATGATTGTTAACTGTGATAGTCTATCGTGTATGTACGTAATGTAGACAATGTCAAGTCCGCTAGAGTAGCATGATTATAGTAATCTGTGTATCGCATTGATATAATCATAAGATCTGCTTCAATTTAAATAGTCACTTGTTCATTAACATAAACACAAGTCATTTTGAAAATTGCTTACATTCGCGTGATTTTTTTCTTATCTTTCAAATTTTGCATCGAATAGATCAATAATATTGTTTTATATGTATAGGTAAGAGAACGTACAGCTCGTTCTGTACCTATGTCTGCGGGAGGAGTAGCAGGCAGAGCGTCAAGGTCCTCCCTAAGTGCTGGTACACCTGATTCCCTCAGCGACAATGAAGCAGCAAGCGGTCTTGGAGCGAGATATAAGAAGTCAAGCGTACCAAGGTTAGCTAAGGCCCTAGTCATTTTACATATTACGGAATACAAAAAGTATTCTCCTTCATAGTTACTTAAATAAAATTTCAATACGATGTATAAATTACTTATTTGTTTTAGGTCAACATTAACACCCGGAGGATCTCGACCAGGTTCTAGGCCTGGCTCACGAGCCGGGTCCAAACCACCTTCAAGACATGGATCCAATCTCTCGTTAGATAGTACCGGTAAGACATCAATATCACAACTCCCATTAAAAAAATTTTGTCTTCGAAATATTATTTGATTTGCCTTTACATTGATTATTTTCGCTTTAGATGACGTTTCAACGCCATCTCGCATCCCGATGCGTAGAGTGACGAACACAAAGACATCAATAGCACGGGCGGCTGCTAACGCCAACAAACTTGGTGTGACCACACCAAACGGCGGATCGCGGCCCCGCACACCAACTGGATTTTTAACCCCAGCTAGTGGAAGGTACGTATCTTCAAATAAATGATATTTTTGTTTTTCGTGAATGTAGATATGGTTAACATTGTTTGTCCAAAATTCGCTGTATGTTCCATAAGGTGCTACGTACAATATAAATCATCAAAACCAATCTACATTCATCTTTTTATTGGAGAAATGGAAGATAACTGCCCCCTCTTTGTGATTTGTGTGTACCAGTCTTTAGACTACACATTTAGGACAGATACTCTGCAATATTCTTCTACAACAGCAACACTTGACAAATCATTCATTTCTCCCGTCGACATTTAACAAAACTACTGTAAAATAACCGGTGTACTGATACGCACGGACAGGTATCCTACCGGCGGGATGTACCGCACATCAAGTATTCCGACACTGTCACCGGTGCCGGCATTAGTGAGGTACACACTCAAACTTCGCCATTGACTTGTTTGTCAGATGTGTATCATTTTGCAGACGCAATTTAATCATTGAAGTTTAAAAATATATAAACTTGCTGCTAATCATTTATTGTCATGTTTGCACTTTAACAAAATTAGGTTGTAAGTCTGATCGTATTTTTAATAGATTAGGTTGCGTCTTAAAAAAGATTGTCTAAGATACACAGGTTTTAAGCACGAAAAGCTTCTTGAGGGTTATTAGGTGTAGTGACGTCATGGGTCCGTTAAGACATGTTGGGTGCACCTGTATTGGGCCAGATCACGATATTGTCCGTTGTTATTATTTATATCCAATGTATATGTATAGTGGTGTAAAAATGGTGGTGGTAATCTTTATTGAGGTTTGATATGAAGAGAACTCCGAAGGCATGTTACAAGTAGTCAGCTAAACAGCTTCACACAGTGTGGTTTTACTAACAAATACGACAGAATTATCAAGAGCGTTAAATTAAATTATTATTATTTTTTTTCCTTCCCGCATGCAAATACGAAAATGGAAATCAATTATAATACAGCTCGACACATTCCCAGCCATCATCAATGGCATCCGAACATCCCAAATCCTTATCCCATACTCATCCAGCATTCCAAACCCAAGGTTCCACTAAAATTCCAGTTTACGTTGGTAACCGCTCTCACCGGTCCCCATCTGTTGAGAGGCGATTGAAAATATCCAGAAAATCGCACTCTAGAGAAACTTCCCAAGAACCTAGTCCCACTTCCCAAGGCCCCTCGAGGAAATCAGAGCAGAGAAGCCCTGAAGACGACTCCTCACTATTCAGCATATCGGGAATGACGAGCGACAATGAATATGAGAGTAATATAAGCGAGTCGAGCGGCGAAGCGTCAAAGCCGACCCAGCGCGACGTTAAAGGGTACAAGCTTGTAGAATGCTAGCTTCGGATTTTGCCCGATTATTTTGGTTGATGCTCTTTGAATTTTGAAGTTTATGTTTTCATACAAAATTATCATCGCCGCAAAATTTCATGCTCACATCAGTCAGATCATTTGCTTGTCGAAGATGGACCTCATCTGAAACTGTTTATCGCACTTTAAACATGTTACCTGTATGCATAAAATAACACTAACATCACCTGAAACACTAATGGACTAATAGCTTTGCACTATTTAAAAAGCGACCGAATAAGTCCATATTTCCCTTAATCGCCTGTCATATCCATCCACACACCATCCTACTTCGACCTCCATAAAGCTTCTTTGTAAATAAACCAGCACCATGTACAATTCGCCTGTATGTTGTCACGTGATCATCATTAGCCTGAAATACAAAATATTGTAATATATTTAATAATAACCCAAAAAATACTGATTCTACGTTTTTTATAAAAATGTATCGATCTAATCTAACTTCATTAATTTGATTATTAAGCATATTACAATATTTTTGAAACTTAAGTATATTGACTATTTAATTATGATCTATTTATATTTTATCTTTGTTCTGTTTTCTTTTGTTTCTGCACATGTATACAATACATTTTCCCTAGATAATTTTTAATCACGTTTTAAATCTTCAATTACATGTGCAGAAACATTCTAACATCTTTTCTGTTGTCCTGACTAATTTTCTGTATGTCTGTCTGTCTGTGTGCTCGCTAACATCAACATAGGAGTGGGTCGTTTGCCTCTACTGAAGGACAAACGCCCGGCAGAAGTCGCATCCCAGTACTAAAGGATCACCATACTAACAGTAATATGAATAGGTAACTACTAAACTTATGTAGTGTGCTGTTATTTTGTTGTGTTTTTTCCTTGTAGTCAAAATTTTCGTAGGTTTTTCCGAAATTTAGAACAATTGGCGGTAAAATGGGTTCATGTTTTTGTATTTCTTTATAGAGTTGACTAGAGCTTTGCATGTTCTGCCAATCTAGAGGAAGTGTTTCTAATTTTATTTGTTTTAAAACAGGCAAAGGACACCATCGGGGAGTACAACGCCTGTCCGGTCAGGTCAACAGACCGCAGTGACCAGGCTGTTAAGGAAGCAGTCAGACGCATCAGACTCAGGCACCCCGACCACGCCCGCCTCACGACGCGGGACTCCGGCTTCATCTCGAACTACGGAGAAACGCGAACCATTCCGACATTAGACGATGAATATTATATGAAACCCCAGATATTTAATAATTTTGAATATATCACGATTGTTAAGTTGGGGACATCACCTAAGCTATGCAAGTCGCTCTGACGTTATGCTATACAATTTAAATCAAGTTTAATCAATTGCCAAAATTATTATATAGCCCACCTTTGAAAACATTACCACGACAGAGCGGCTCGCATGCCTAGGCAAGTGCCGACGTAACATTTAATAACTAACATAAAATTAACCAACGCGCGAATTAAGCCAAGCTTAATAAAAAATATGCCAATATGGCTTTTAATTTAAGTGAGAACAATTTATAGATAATGGTATTAGTAAAACTTAAAGTCTGCACTTGTTGCCTTGTATTTTTTTCTAAAATCCGCGCCAGTTTTTGCACTTCGTAATTACTCGTTTTATTTATTTGTGCTGTCAAGAACTACAGGACTTGTTTGTTCATTAGTCGATGTGAATAAAATACTTTCTCTTATTTATTGTCAACGTTGCCATAATTGTTAGTGTACCTATGTTTTTTGTATGTAAAATGCGTATTATTGTCTCTATACAGAGACTCGTAAAGTGTGATGACGATTTTAATATTGTTTTCTTTAGGGACCATTTGGTTTAACGGATTAATGAAGATAGGTGATTGCTGGCCATGGCTTTTAAACTGTCGTATTCTTGCGTATATATTCGCCAGATATACGTGTAGATAGACTGTCTCAAAGCTTTTGTCTGCAATTTGTTAAGGTGATAATAGAATACTTTTCTTTTGTAATGCACAATTATGTGTTTCCCTTTTATATTTTTAAGCCTTAATTGTCATTAGACAAGATTTTTGATTTGTTAATTCTGTTTTATACACTTCTGTATATAATTTATGTATGAATCACAACTGCACAATCTCGTTGAGAATTTAATTTGACAGATAATTAAAAATCATGCCCGGCTATCGCCAGAGCCGGATGTGATTGACGTTTTTTATAAAAAATCAAAAATCTAATCATGATGACGTATATATGTATAAGTACATCAAGTACACTGTCGCAAAAGACATTGTTTAATAAATTGCTAAGAATATTTTGATATTTATTGAAATAATTGCTTTAAAATGTAACCTCTTTCAAAATGTTAACCATCGCTCACCATTTATTTGTAAGTTTTTTAATATAAATCTGTCCCTGTTATTAAGCTTAATTATTATTATTACGAAAAATTATTAATCTGGTCATTTTTTATTTAAATCATTGTTATATTTGTTATGTAAAATCGTGGCAAATCTACTAAAAGGCTTATGATATTTTTTGTATAAAGGATATCTTTGCATTACATCCGTTTAAAATCTCATAACAAAATACCTATCAAATAAATGAAAAGTAACAATTATTCTGTTGTTTTATTCCCTTGTAACGCACTTTCACTATAAATATGAGGTCCCTGGTTCGAAACCTGATCAAGCAAATGGAAATGTATGAAGCTACTCCAATCTTTGACAACTATAGCCTATAGAACGACGCAGCATGAACAGTCGGTATTCTGAAAGTAAATACGCATACGTACTAAACTTCGCCTTCCAGGCCCATTGTATTAATTACATAAATCAAATTAAAGGTAGAAATATCCACTTCACATCCAATATCCACCTTTATTCCATGCAAGATTCCGCTCGCGTGGTATGTGACAAACAGCAGTCTACATTATATTGCAGGTTATCACCTATCTACATACCAAATTTCAATCAAAACGATACAGCCGTCTTTGCCTGAACGAATAATAAACGAACAACCGTATATTCTTACAAACTTGCACATTTAAAATTTTAGTATTATTCTGTATATCCATCTTTTTTACCGCTTCGTGGTGTGGCATCTGCGTCATTGTAAATGTATGAAGCATCCAAAAATTGTTGCGAGTGCCAATCAGTTGAAGATTTGTACCATATATTGGTTGAATGTGTCCGTTTCGAAGCCGAAAGAAAGGTATTCGAGATGGAGTGTAATATTAGTCTTCACGAAGTCGGCGTATGTAACAGCATTTTAGCCTACCCGTTAGCAGAGCAGGCTAAAAAGATTTATAGTCTAGTAAATTTAGCCCTAAAAAGAAAATGAACTATTCATCAACCCATAGTTATCTATAGTATAAGTATAATTGTTTCTGTATTTCCTAGTGTAGCTTTTAGTCTATAAACTTCACTATAGAGATGACATGATCATGTTTGATCAAATCTCTGATAAGATAATAAAGAACTAAAAAAAAAATTAAAAAAAAAAAAATGTATGAAACCGTTTCAGTTATGGAGACGTTAAAATGGTTAAAAATGTTATAAAAACATTATTTAAAACTGTCATAAAGGACTTGTTGTCTATGAATTTTTCGATTGTGTGCGGTGAAAGGTATATCTATTAGGTAAGTATTTTTGAGAAGGTATATGAATGCTTTTGATACCAATGATAGACATTAACAATGACATTTACATTTCCACTTTCATACTATTTGCTCAACGTCTCAACCAGCCGTTGCAAAGACATTCAGAAAGATAATCATTTTGGCATTGATTATTTTAATGGAATTGTGTTGACAATACGAAAAACAGTATTTATATTTTCTGTTACTCAAAGAACAAGAAGAAGTCGTAAATACGAAGATTTTACGTATCTAGAGATTTATTGAGGCTTGTGGTTGATACGCAAAAAACAATGTATTATTACGCGGTTCTCATAAACTATTGAATATGGGCCCATCAGTTTTACCGAACATTACACAAGGTTTATTTATTTAATTCGAGTACCTATAATAGTCGAAATGGACATTAATTACTTGACGCGTAACGTTTTGTTCAAGTTAGCCTTCCAGATTCAAATAGTTAATATAGTTATAACTAGTTTTTACGGAACAACTTATAACGGTTATAATAAATTAAAATAACGGATTGGTTATTACAGATTAATGGTATGGCAACACTGAATATATGCTCAAAAACTGTCAATATCAAAATAATGAGCAACTTTTTTGGCAGCTTTACGAATTGTCAAAGAGTTCTCGATTGTAGAAAAATAAACAAGAAATCAACAAAAAGGTTTTTCGTACGAGAGCAAAATGGTTGGATTAAACATGGCTGGACCTGCCAGAGATCGTGTAATGAAACTGATGCAAGATAAAGATAAAATAGAGAATGAAATTCGAGATCAAACTGCTATATTGGAAACCAATAATGTTGGCATGCACGATTCTTTAGTGGATTCCGAGGGCTACCCTCGAAACGACATCGATGTTTATAAGGTCAGGCATGCAAGACATCGTATTATTTGTAAGTACGTCCTCTTGTTTTCTCGATTTTAGGAAGTAACACCGTTATACTCGTGGAATGAGTCGGCAGTTTTCATGTCACAATAAGCTTAAAATTTGATCGAACGTGTTATTCAAATAACTTAAATATTTATTATCTTGTTACTTACATTTACTTATACATATCCTACAGACTATATATATTATAATATAATTTTATTAATAATTAGTGCATACAGCTTATGATTAAATAAACTTGACATAGTAAACACTTCATTACGCACATATTCCTATAGACCTAAAAAACTTAATTAATTCTTTTGCAGGCCTCCAAAATGATCATAAGAACATTATGAAATTGATTGAAAGAGGTTTGGCAGAAGTTCATAAAGAACTTCTTTGTTCTAATGGGGAAGGACCATCGGTGAATGCTGCCGCTACCAGCAATGGATATACTAATGGAGCCAGTGCTGGAGATACTGTTCCTCGCCCTGTTGCTGAAGATGACCAAGCCTTTGCTGTAATCGGTTTTGTTACTGCAGGATCACCGGCAGATCTTGCTGTAAGTTCTTAAAGTTCATTACAATTACCTAAGGTTTGTGGTTAGTGAACAACCTAGTGACATTGCACATTTTTATTATTTTGAGTTAACTCTGTAGCAATATTAGGAATAATTAAATGTTATTATGTGGGCCCAATCCAATCATGCCAAAGCACTTTCCTGCCACACTTGTTGCATATGACATGTATTTAATGGCATATTGCATAAGACAAAAAGTTAAAAACTTTAAAATCCTTTATATTTGAGTAAGACTCAACAAAACCTCCTTCTTTGAATTTTTTTATAATGATCATACCATGCAGTATTTTCTAAGCCTAATTTCTTATCATAACTTTCCAGGGATTACAAGAGCGTGATGAGGTCCTCCAATTCGGATCAGTGAATTACCATAACTTTGAAGACATGTCACAGATCAATACGATAGTGTCTCACTCGGTCGGTCAACAAGTGAATGTCAAGGTGAAGAGAGACCAGAATGTCATTAACATATCCGTAGTGCCACGACCATGGCAACAACCTGGATTACTTGGTTGCCACATACAAAGAATATCATAAATCTACTTTGTTTTTTAATATTTAGGTGTTATTATTGGCTGTATACAAAGCGAATAGTGGCAGACAGATAACAACCGCAGCGCACAACACGGTAGAAATTGGAAACAAATGCGGATGATCAGCTGTCGGTTTTTATTATTATATTCATTTAAAAGTAAAACTATTGAATAAATTGCACTTAAATATTGTCAACGATACTATTTTAATCTTTGGTTTTATTTATATTTGCAAAAAAAATACATGTAATGTTTACATTGTTATTATTTGACAGCTTCCGCAAATGTTGTAAACGCTACGCGTCGCCACCGTCGCGCACATAGCCAATACATTCTTGCTTTGGAAAACTAAATTAGCTCTAAATGTTTAAAATGTAAAGTTTCTGCCAGTTGAATATATCTTATACATATAAAAATTAATTGCTGTTTGTTAGTCTCGCTGTAAGTGTGTGTGTAACTACTAAACGGCTGGATCGACTTTGTTAATTTTGGTCTTGAAATATTCATGAAAGTCTAGAGAGAAATTGGACAATTTGCTGCTGTTTGTCAAAGATCAAAAAATGATGGTGGTGCGTAGCTAGGTCAGCTAGTAGAAAACAAGTGTGCATATTAATATCTTTAGTTAGATATATTTATATTTGTATGAAATCTACAATGATTTTGAATATGGTAACAGTCTGTACATTGGTGTTAATAGAAACAATTTGATTTGGTGGAGATTTTTTTTATTTTTGCATTTATAATTTCAATGTGCTGCCCTATTGAGTAAGTTGGCATAAAGGGAATAATGCAAATTATATCTATGAATCAAAAATATATAGGGATATATTTTTTAAAAAAAAATTTAACTTTAAAAATAAAAGTAATTTGTTAATCTTTAAATGTTATTTTTTTATTCTCAAATAAATACAAAAACAAAACTAATTGTAAATATAAAATTTAAAAATAAATCTTGTGATTAATTACCATTGCGTTTGATTTTTTCTTAGGCAATTTGATTGTTACGTGTTTTTCTTCCTTAGGATCGCCGAGTTTGACAATTTTGTGGTCGCCATCTTGGATTTCCGTGGCGTCACCTTGGCCATTTTCCTTTTTCTCTTTTTTACGGAAATCTTCGTCTGTGTACATGTATTTCATTGAGAAATCAAAATAGACTTTGTCTTCAACTAATCGATAATCGGGTTTCTCGATTGTGCCTCGTAGACAGTCGTGATAGTGACACACTGCTTTTTCTTGCTCATACGTTTCACAGGAACCTGGAAATTAATAAATAAATAATTAAACATAAATGGCGAAGTTAATGACGGTACCTACACCAAAATTTGCACGATTGATAGGCGAGCGGGGTATCGGGTTTCGATTATCTGGTTGGGGAAGTATGTTTAAATCCTTGTAAATCCCCGTATTTCACAGAATTGGTGGAAAGTGGATGGCGTTATTTTAAAAAGCAAAATAAACGACTTGATCACATCACGAACCTATTACTATTTGGCTACTGAGCAAAGACCTCATCTCACACGGATAAAGTTTGATCATTAATCGATTTCAAACTTATAAATGAGATAATGTTTCCTTGCGAAGTTTCTTCAAAGTTTGCCAGTGGTACCTATCTAAATACCTATATGTATATTAAGAATGCTACTTACTTGTTAGATTTCAAACATACAAGCGTAAGCATGAAATGCCGGGCCTTGACTCCGCGCCCCCACGACATTATAACGGCAATGAGAAGATTTCTACGTACCTGGCCTTTTGACTCTGACGGTAAGCACGGCCCTCTCTGGAGCCATGTCCTGGAAGTGCACCAGGTAGCAAGCCAACATTGTGCCAGTTCTACCTCGCCCTTGCCTGCAGTGGATTCCTATAACCTTGAATTGTAAAAAACTAAGTAAGAACTTTGAAAGTTCAGACTATTAACGAGACCTCCATACCAATTATGTTTAGGATACTGGATATCTCTTTCTTAATTTTTGTTATATTTGAGGACCAATTCGAATAATCTCATCCAACATATAAGTGCCTTCTGATGAGCAAAGGTCTCTTCGCAAACTGAGATCATGGCGATTTCAACCTGATTTTTTTTTTGTTTATTAAAAACGTTGCCCCACACTAGGATTTTCTCCTGTGTCGTGGGTGCGGTTACAAACATACAACTTCACATACACATGAGACCCAGATTCGGAACAGCAATTTGTGGGTCACACAAAGAGATATTCCGTGCGGGAATCGAACCTGCGACACGTCGCACGGCAGCCAGTTGTCCAGCCACCGCTCCAAACGAGCAGTCAATTGAAATTGTAAGTCCAGCTTTGATGATAATGTTTTCCTTACCAGTTGTTGGTGGTAACTAGGTACCTACTTAAATAAACTTTGTAATTACTTATCTACACTGAACAAGTCATATCAGTACTAGCTGGGTTTCGAACTCACGTCATCATGCGTGAGAAAAACAATAAAATCAAGCAGAGCGTTTTCTGCAAGTATATCACACATGCTTAATTTCACTCTAAGATTTTCTCCTGTGTTCTGGCAGCGTTTAGAAACACATATACTAGACCAAAGTGTAGGTACCTGTCTGGATAGACAAGTAACAACACTTTGGATCACACAGTGTTGTTTCGTATGGTATCGAACCCGCAACACGTTGAACAGCAGCCAGTAGCCCTCTGTGTTAACTTTTACGAGATTTCACACGCAAAATTGAATGTTGCGCACACAATAAAGTTAACGCCATCTAGTGGTGTTACAAGTGTCAATGGAATTATATAGAAAATTCAGTAAATCTGTACAGCAGCAGGCAATTATTTTAAGATAGGTAACAAATAAATTACTAACCTCTCCTCTCATCTCTGCCCTTTCACATATTTCAATGAACTTCAAAATTTGTTTCAAAGTAGGCACTCCGAACTCCTTGATCCTGATCTCTGACCATTTTAACTTTTTCTCACACTCCAAAATTGGTGGGATTCTCTCTGGTGACAGCGTTATGAGGTGATTGACCCCGACATCAACAAGATAGTTGAGGTTTTCGACAGTCTGTGGACAGCCCATTGCCGCTATTCTTTTGTCAATAAACCAGGAGAAATTATAAGGTGGATACGATTCATAATCCTTTTTCTCTTGAACAATTTCATGTTCAGGCTCTTTCTTCTTTCCTTCGTCGGGTTCCGTCCTATATTTGTACCAAAGTTTGGCCAACTTTACATTAGGTCGTTTCGGCACGGTACTCATTGTTAACCACTTAATTATGATAAACTCAGCGGGTAAAGGAATTGACGAAGTTTATTTTTAATCAATGTACACCGCAGTTGGTAGCTAGCCAACCAATATTGGCAGCCATATTGGCACGGCTACATTCGACATTTTGTGTTTTATTTATATCAAGTGAAATGTCAATTAGATAATACTTAATTGGATCACTTTTATGTGGATCACTTTATTTCTGTACACATGGATCAATTTAAGATGAGACGACGATCAACTTTAATTACCTGCCTATACTCGGAATTTTAATTCCATTCCAGATTTGACAATTTCAGTGTTGCAACGTTATGACACGTAATAAATAGTGACGTTGCGAAATTATTCGATATGGAAATCGAATATTTCTGAATCGATTCCTCTCGTTTATAAATTTACTCTCGTAAACTAAGTTTATCAGGAAATAAAATATTTCTGAACCGATAATATAGTTTTGACAGTTAATTAACGATCTGAGACTTTTCTTTTGTAATTGTGTGTGAAATTAATAAAAAATGTGATCATGAAGGAACGTGACAAATAAAACACACATTTAATAAATTGTCGCCGTCGTCGCTATCGCTATCGCCGTTACTCTATGTAACATTTATTATGAATTGTGTCTTTGATATTTATTGTCAATTAACATATCTAGCTTACTCATTTTTTCCTCTTCTTTGAAAACATGGGATACACATTTAGACCATTCGGTAGCCGTAATTTTTTGAATGCCTTCCTGAAACTGATTCACTGATTGTTTATCGATTTTTGTGTTCATCACTACACTGTTATATGTGGTATCATTATTTCACAAAATGACAGTGGTCAATGTCAAATCAGGAATCGAATTAAAAGTCTGACTATAGTTTTCTTTTCTTTCCTTCGTTTTCGTTCCTTTAGTTCTGTTGATCGTGTGTTTTTAAGTAGGTTTTTGTCAGGGGAAAATCATCAAATGACTTCTCCCGCCCTGGGTAGTGTCCGACTTTTACTGAATAAACCTCCTGTTTTAGGCCGAGGCCACATTGCCACATTGCGCTCACCCCTCAATCCCGGCTGAACATCAGCCCTGTGAGCCCCGTCAGTGGTGGTCTATTGGCTCTTTGAGCACACCGTATTCTCAGGGTGGTCGTCACAATGACGACACTCGGGTGTTTCCTCCCGCCGGATCTGAAACAGGAACGGACGCTACCGTGCCCGGTAAGCACATGCGTCAGGCGGAAGGTGGGTCTTTTTAAGTAGGTACTTAACATTTACGCTTGTTGTATTGTTGTGTACCTAATCTCTATGCAACTTTCATAGCTGAGTTGTTTACAGAGATTACTGTAAAAGCCGGGAGGATATTATTTAACATTGACTTAGTTGTGGCGGGCAGTCCCTTTACTAATATATAAATTTTGTGAATGTGAGTGCCCTGCAACCTATTGCAACTGGTTAGACTAGCAGAATGTCGGTCCTTATGTCAGCTTGTAGTAATTATTTTCACTTAAAGGTCACAGTGGCGGTGGCACGGGCACTGGATCGCTCAATTCCCTATAATACGGTTGAGTTGGGCAATGCTGGTGTAGGTACATGTCATGTCCGGGAACGGGCGCCGTCAGTTGGGAGTGGTCAGCTCCTAACTGTCGTTAAGGTTATTTTCTTTTTATATTTCTCTGAATAAATACCTATTAGTGTTACACTGTTCTCACATAATTGAACCAACTGTTTGTTTATGGAATCTGTATGTGAAACTGATTTAAAAAGAGTAACGATGGAGTTTCTTCGTGAGTTTCTTGCTCGTTCTTCTCCATCAAACCCTATACTTTGGAACGAGCAAATAGCTTCACACGACTGACACTTTATATCTTTACAATTTAATTTGACGTTCAAAAGTACCTAACCCAGTGAAAGGGTGTAATTAAAATATGATTTTTGACTTATGACTGACTTTTGCAATTATTTTTTAACTAGGTAAGTACCTATTTAACTTTGTCATCGATTTTCGATATAGCGGCAAACAAGCACGAAAGGTAGGTAACGGATAACTTGATGGTATCAATAAGTCAGTGCAGCCCATGGCCACCCGTAAGCCCGTAACACAGGGCAACTCCAGAGGAACGATACGACGAGACGTTACGAGTGCGTTGCCGGCCTTTTTGAGATAAGGCTATCGGTGATTTCGGCAAAGGATGGGAAGAAGGTCCTCCGGTAACCTCAGTCAAACGGCGAAACACAAAGCTTTGGCGGTTTCACGCCGGGTTTCTGCAAGGCTGTAGTAGCACTCCGGTCTAGCCGACCCATTCCTGCTGAACAATAATGATATAACCACTGGTTATATCCTCTTTGCTTTCGAAGCACGGCTCTCATATACTTTACAGTAGAACACCACACTTTACAATAAAGAGGTTACAGCAAAACTCGAAAATCGAGATTCGGGCACCAAAACTCAAAAATCTAGTTTTTCTGTAAAATTTAAACAGCCAGTTGCCAAGAATCTGCAGTAGTAGCTTTTGTGCAAAGAGCCTAAGTATTTCTAAAGACTACATTACTGGCAACTGATTGTGTTTCGGCTTTTCTTCTCAGAATAGTGAAATAGGAAATACCGGTTTCATCTAGTTTTGTGATTATGTCTTATGCTAATACTAAATTTCTCCACTTTTCAATTGATGTTGTTATACAAATAAATCTTCCTCTTCAATCACTTTATCGGTTTAAAAAAATCCCATCACAATTCCTTGCGTCGTTTTAAAGATTTAAGCATACCTACATACAAATATAGGGACAGAAAAATCGATCGTTTTCATACAATGTAGTTACGTGTAAATATAGATTTATGGCCCATTTACAAAAATAAAATCATTTTTTTTATTATTATTATTAAATCTAGATATTTTTATCTGTGAATGTGCTCTAAGTATTACATTAAATTACGCAACGGATTTTGATGCGGTTTTTTAAATAGATAGAGAGATTGAAGAGGAGGGTTTATATGTAGACTAACATCCATTAAACAGAAGACAAAATTTACCTAGTATCAGCATTTCACCCGTGCGACGTCGGGGTGGGTCGCTAGTTTATAATGAAACAATAAAAAACCAATAAATAATAATATATATTTATGTCAGGTACATAACAAAACAGATCACAGTATTATTAATCAAGAACTTTCTTAGTGCTTTCCTTGGCGGCTTGTATGAATTCCTCCATGACGTCACAGCTTACTCCGAACCTGAGGGGGTTGTCCTCCGTCAAGTATTCAAAGTACCGGCCTACAGCCTCCTCGTGTTCCTCAGCGTCCAAAGACCCTGAAATGAATAATAGAGATAGGATAAGCTTAAAAAACCTTGACAGAATTTTTCTCGTATTGTGAATCAATGCAAAAAAGGCATTAATTATTTTAACAGTAGTAGAGTATAGTCGTAATACAGATTATAAAACAAAACACAAATGGATCGCACGGAACAATAACGTGTATCCAAATAGACAAAATGAGTCACCGCGACCTCGGCCCAGAGCAGGAGAAGGAACGGGGGTGTTTTTAGTCAGTAAGAGTCTGACATTCTCTCTCGCCTTAATCTGGGCGGGAGAAGTCATTAGGTAGATAATTTTCCCCTGACAAAAACAAAAAAAAAATTGACAAATAATCAATATTTATCAATGAAAAGACACTACAAAAATCATCGAAAAGTTGTCCCCAAAACAATTTTTACAATATTTGAAAACACAAGACGCCATTTTTGCGGGGCAATCGCAATAGGTCGACTTCAACCGGGGTTGCGGGGCAATCGCAATAAGTCGACTTCAACCGGGGTTGCGGGGCAATCGCAATAAGTCGACTTCAACCGGGGTTGCGGGGCAATCGCAATAAGTCGACTTCAACCGGGGTTGCGGGGCAATCGCAATAAGTCGACTTCAACCGGGGTTGCGGGGCAATCGCAATAAGTCGACTTCAACCGGGGTTGCGGGGCAATCGCAATAAGTCGACTTCAACCGGGGTTGCGGGGTAATCGCTATAAGTCGACTTCAACCGGGGTTGCGGGGCAATCGCAATAAGGTACCACGGCCTCGGCCTAGTCTAGAGTATGAGAGGGAACGGGCTGGTTTTCAGTCAGTAAGACTCTTTACGCTCCCTCTGGCATCACCTTGAGCGAGAAATGTCAGGTGATGATTTTCCCGCAAAAAAGGCCTCGTATTTTCTTTTTTTATGTGATATGTCGGCAAACGAACAGACGGTTGATGGTAAGCAATTAGCGCCGCCCATGGACATCCGCAACAACAGTGGAGTTTTGAGTGCGTTGCCGACCTTTTGGAGATTAGGGATTGGGTATGGATTGGGGGAGGGGAAACCTCTCACACACGGCGAAACACAATACTGTGGTTGTTTCACGCCGGATTTCTGTGAGGCCGTGGTATCACTCCGGTCGAGCCGACCCATTCGTGCCAAAGCATGGCTTTCCCACACTCTCAGTATTCTAATAAGTACCTGGGTAGTTACGTGTGGTTGTCCAGTGAAGACACGGTTGTTTGGTTTACTGCAATTTCCGAGCAAGTGGACAAAGTATTATTGGACTTTTTGCTTTCGTTACAGAACACAGAATTGTTCTTCTAAGAGAAATCTTAATGTTAAACAAAATTTCAAGTCAACAAAGCTTTTATTAGACCATTCAACGTAATGCGCGAACTGGCCGTAAATAACGAAGTGACGTCAACGGTCAGCCGGAAGTTAATATAGTTGCATTGAAATATTAACTTTTGAATTTTAAATTCAGAATGTTTTATGCTTGGGAACTAGAACGTTATTTATGAAACGCAAAGATAATTTATGAATTAGTAAGCTGACGATTTTTTTACATCACATTCTGCCACGATTGTTTGCATGATGTGCCCAATTAGGCTATCCTTATTAGAATTAGGTTTTTTTTTTGAGAGGGGAAAATCATTAAATGTCGTGCAAAGAAACCCGTTCCTTCTACTGCTCCAAGCCTAGGCTATGTGAGTAAAAAAAATTGATTGGTGGTGATCGAAGTAGTAGGTAGTTACCAACTCAATTCAAATAAGTTCAATGCGATTATATGGAGTACCTGTAGGTAGCTGGTAGATGAAGCTAGTTAACTTCATCATAAACACTCCACTCCTTAAATCCATTGTACCCCAAAATATAGTACTTTTATTACGTACTCGCAACTCGGTGGTGCGGCTGTCCAATTGCTTACCAGGTGATGGACATGCTCATTTGACAAGCCCGCCAAAACCTGCCAGAATCGCTATGACAACATGTAAGCCAGAATCTGCAGTAGATACAGCCATGAAAACACCGAAACACTGAAGTCCGCAACAACAGGAAGGCGTGCCCCAGGGACATAAGTTGTTGACAAAACAAATCAGAAGATATTATTTGAGGAGTAGAAAAAACGAAGTTGTTTCCACTTCCCTCGGCAAAGTTAATGCAGGAGACAGAATTACTTAAATCTTAAAGGCACAAAAGAGACTGTACAACTGGGAGTAACAGATGTCCGCTAGTGGATTAAACCATTTTGCAATTTTGTTTCGATCGCGGAGTGCTGGAAAATTTGCAGAAAAGTTTTGTATATTTATATATTCCATATTGTAAAAACTAGTAAATTATGTATAAAAGATTGATTTTTAGTTACATCCATTCTAATCTGCCAAATATGTCGGCCGTAGTCTACACCCATTGTTTTCATAATACTTATAATATTTTTTTATTTTTATTATGTAATAGGTCGGCAAACGAGCAGACGGATTACCTGAGGGTAAGTAATCAGCGCCGCCCATGGACACCCGCAATGGAGGAGTTACGAGTGCGTTGCCGACCTTTTAGGGATTAGTGATTTGGAGTTTTAGGGATTGGGGGAGGGGAAGGATCGGGGATCACTGTCTCGCATACGGTCGCTGCATATGCTGAGCGAGGGCCATTTCGCGTGCTTGTGACGCATATTTTTGTGTTACCTTATGCTTTTGTTATATTGTTTTACCATTTTATGTTTTTTATTTTTATCCTATATTTAGCCCCCTAGACGCGAATAAACTTTAGATTTAAAGAGAAAGGAGAAGAGAGCGAAAAGAGAGAGAGAGACCTAAAGACTACACTTTTTGTGTTATTGTGTTGTTAAGTATATGTTTTTTTATTCATTTTTCTATATTTATTGGCAAGTCAATTAAAGTCAGACTCACCTGGCCTGATCATTCTGATGGAGTTCATGGCTTGGTCTGGCTCGAACCGGTGGAAGTGTATGAGGTAGCACGCCAGCATCACGCCAGACCTACTCCTTCCTTGGCGACAGTGGATGCCCATCACCTGATGACAAAATATAGTAGTAATAGGTAATTTATAAAGACTGTTATCGGTTTATAAAGATATTACTTTTCTACTATCCTACTATACTACTATCCTACTATCCTACTATCCTACTCAATATTATAATTGTGAAAGTTTGTGATAATGTATGGATGATGTTTGTTATTCTTCACACAAAAACGGCTGGTTCAATTTGGTTGAAATTTTGTATGTAGACAGGTGAGGCGGAAGCTACTATATCATGTAGAAGCAAATGTTTAGGATTTATTAGTTAACCACGTGAATTAATTAATGACCTTCAGAAATTTGTCCATTTTTCGCTTTAAAAGCGTGATTGTTAAATCATCAATACTGAACTTGGTTAGGAGGGCTCTAGTGGCTAAAGTGACATGGTTGTGAGTCATTCGGAAATCGATGAATTTTTATTTCGTCTTCTTAGCATCGTCATCAGCCTATAAGTGCCCACTGCTGAGCAAAGACCTCTTCTCATAAAGAGAAGGTTAGAGCATTAATCACCACGCTTACACAATGCGGGTTGGCGATTTCAAACTTATAATTAGAAATTATAAGTCCAGGTTTCCTCACGATGTTTACCTTAACCGTATGTCAGTGTTGTCTTAATAATCAAGAAAGTACATATAACTCTGAAAAAGTCACATTGGTACAATTGTTCTTGCCAGGTTTCGAAACCACACCCTCATGCATGAGAAGCTGGCTCCTTAACCTCCGAGCCACCACGACATATTTCTTCTAAGCATCATCAGCCAAGAACAACACTTCCTCTGTGACACTAAGGCCCTCTAACATGACATCCAGATTTTTCACTTACAATGTAATCGTCACATCATTAGCCTATTACTGTCTAATGCTAAATAAAGGCCTCTTCTCGCAAGGGGAAGATTTGAGCATTAATCAACACGCTTGCTCAGCGCGAATTGGCGATTTCAAACTTATAATTAGAAATTATAAGTCCAGGTTTCCTCAAGATCTTTTATGTATTCACGGACTACTTATGACGTGAGGACAAAATTGTGTATCAAAAATTGGTTTGAAGATCGCTGGGAAGTTTATTTAAGCGTTGTTTCCCTATGTATGTCTTTTTTATGTTATAGATCGGCAAACGCGCAGACGGATTACCTGGTGGTAAGCAATCAACGCCAACCATGGACATTCGTAATATTAAGGAAGTTACATCTGGTTATTAGGGATTTGTGAGGCCGTGGTAGGTATCACTTCGGTCGGGCCAGCCCATTCGTGCCGAAGCATGGCTCTCCCACACTTAAATTCTTAAGTAAGTAGTTAATGCGTAAAGGTCACAATAGTTACGTTGATTTCTCTAATTTTGTAACGATGGCATTAAGCCATAATTTTAATGATCCTCGTTATTTATTTGCCTTTGGCACAGATGAAACGTAACTTGCTCTCGTTCAGGTAAATATCCAAAGACTAGGAGTTTTAAAATAGATTTTGTTTATTTATGTCTAGCGAAACGTGTGAGATTATCGAATCTGTTTTACAATATTTCTCCGATTATTCGATATAAGTAGGTTTAATTGGTTAATTTTGTTAAAGGAGTGATTATTGTTGTTTTTTTTTTTTGTTGATGCCGATCACGCTGTCGGAAAGGGGTCTCTTTTACAAAATGCTAGGTACTTTCTACTCTTTTACCATTTTCTTACATAAGAAGCTTCTACTGACAATAACAAACAAAACAAAAAATAATTGGAAAAATTCGTCCAGGTTTAGTTTAGGAGTTTCCTATGCACTTACGCTTACTAACACATTTTGCGATTCATTTTAACATGATTTATAAGCTTGTTTATATTTATCTACATGTATATATATATATTTATTATTTAAGACAGGGTATCACAAAAGCTTTGCAACGCAAAATGTCGACGACCTATAATTTAGGTTTGACATTTCGGCAATTTAAAAATAGAATATCTCAGGTCATTAGACAACAGGTGACGGATGAGGTCAGTGGCCGAATTTCTCAGGCTATTTCAGAGAGGTACATTTAAAAAAAATATGTTAATTTGTTTTATATAATAGGTAATGTTATTTTGTAATATATGGCCATCGATTAAAAGGCGTCAAGTGAAGGCGTGAATGACGAAGTTTCGCTATTAATATTTTTCTAAAATAGATATGAATATATGAAAAAATGATTAACAGTCACATTTACAAATACGCATGTATAAATTTATAGAAACACGTACCTCTCCATTTTTGTCGGCTCTCTTGCAGACTTCTATAAATTGTTTGATTTGATCTACGTTGGGCACCTCGAATTCTTCTACGGGAATTTCTGTCCATCTCAACCTCGGCATATCATCAACTGGAGGCTTTTTACCAGCTGTCAGAGTCACCAAATGCGTAATACCTTGATTAATTAAAAACTTCAAATTCTCTTTATTCCTGGGAAACGCCATGGCTGCAATCTTTTTCGGTATAACCCACGAGAATTTTAACGGTGGATACGCGTCTACTTCGATGTCAGGGAAGGGGTTTTCGGGTATTATAACCGTTAATTCATTCCTTATTTCTTTTGTGGCTCCTGCTAAATTTTTATCATCCTGCTCTGTGATATTTTCTATCCTTGATATAACTTCAGATTGGTAATCGTCACCCATGGCATCTTGTTGTCACTGCACGAAAAAAAACAAATGCGTATTAAGCGCGAAAGTTTCTGTCAAATTATTTTTCTTTTTTGAACTAATTAGTATAACACAAAATAAATTCAACACAATTTATATTTTATTTCAGTTGACCATCTAGCGCGGTTTTTGGATGTTAACTGACTAGAAAGGGCGTGAAAAGTTGGCACTGGTTCCGCTGGAGAGGATGTAACATTTATTTCTGGAGTCTATTTTATACTTACAGCAGATTATTTCGAATGTCAACGATTTATATAAAAAAATAACCTTGTTTTTGACAGGTAATGGAAGAAAATTGTTTTTTTTTGAGGTTATATTTTGATCGGCTGTTCCTAATACGAATCGCGTGTAAGATCTCGTGCCACTGCGGATGTTATTTATCTGTTGCGTAGCGTTATTGTTGTAGATGACGTGCCTAGAGTTTCTGTAAACATAGATTTTCTAAATCCGGCTGGAGAAGTTCGGTCAAGCTCACACGGATGTTAGGTATTGCGTTTAAGCTTTTTGAGCTCGTATATAGTTGCAGTTGAATAATTATGTAGCTAACGACTGCAATGCAAGAAAAATGTAACCATAGGTACAATAAAATCATTTTTCCTAATGCGACCTCGTACTTTTTTTAATTAAAAATTGAGTATACTTTTTCCCTTTACCCTTAACCTACCTCCTTACTGAATACAGCTTATTATATTATTACCTATAGGGCTCTTTAGGTAATCTTTGTGGTAGTTTGGATAGTCATTTGGTTTAACAGAATTGGAGATTTTTTCACTACCTTATTAATATTAAAATTAAACAAATTAGATACTTAGGTAATTAAAATAATAATTATCTACTTACGATGTTGACAAAGCTCGAGTTATTATCACGCTATCAAAACTAAGACTGAGGCAAGCCAAATACAATGAATGCCCAATATGGATACCAATGCAACTGTCATTTGGGCATACTTCAAAATACACCTTTAACACAAGGCAAAATTAATCTAATACACACTTACGATAAAGACGTAAATTACTTGACAGGATGACAGAAAAATTAGCAAATTGTATTTTCAGGCGATATTAGGTTATAAATCGATGGAATTAAGGATGGTTTTGGCGTGGATGGTATTAGGAGTAGGCTCGTATGATCGTTGAACCTTAGTGGTTCAAGGATTTCTTTACTAGCCAGACAGATTGACGTTTGACGTCTGCCAAAAGCTTTATTGAATGAAATTAGATAACTTTTATTTATTACTAGATACCTATGTGTGTCAATTTGACAGTGATAAGTATTACACACAAATATAGGTACACACGTACAAAAAAAAAATACGTATGTATACCTATGTTCGTCATAGGCAGCACCTAATCATCATCAGCCTCATCAGCCTGTGTCGTACACCTATGTCCTGCTGGACATAGACCTCCCCAATTAAACGCCTATCAGTATTCGTTGTGTGCGCGATGACAACGCCCCTAGTGGCCGCAACTATTCAGGACTTGTTATCTGTCAAATCATGTCAACTAGATGATTAGATATTGATTTTCGATCTAGATTTTCAATGAAATTGAAAAAAATAGTATAAAAAGTGAGTTTGTATATATATAGCTATACCTAGCGATTTTCTTCCTCGTGAAAAATATGGATATTATAATACGTACGGAATTTGAATCTTAATTCTCTTCACAGCAGCTATCCATTTTTGTCTTTGCTGTAACGTCCACTTTCATGTTGGAAACGAATAAAACTTGCACTAACTGTGTTTATTCCCATTGTTTTTACAATTTACGTCACAGCATGTATCATATACATACCATACCATACCATATCACAAATTTTTACGTTTTTACTTAAAATTATATAGGAAGTTATGAAAATAAAGCAATTTGACACATGCCAGTCCAGAATTAATTCACCTTTCTGCCACGTCGTGCGCTACGATCGATTTGCCGCTCCCCACCACCCACTTCGCACATAGCGAATAATCAACAACATTAAGTTAGAGACAGGGTTGCCATTCAAGAAAGAAAAAAAAATGCACGCCACTGTCTCGATGTTCAGCTCTTCTCATCCAACCACTGCCAATACCCTGCGGATATCGTCAGTTCACCTAGCTGGAAGGTGCCCAACATTACCTATGTTTCCTTAGACGCGGTCTCCACTCTAGAACACGTCTACTCCAACGGTCATCGGTTCTTCAACAAATTTAATGTGACCTGCCCACTGGGTTATAAGCGATTTAAAGATAACGGATCTGATGATTGCGGAAGAGCGCGGAAAGAATGGGCCTCCGGTAATCTTACTCCCACGACGAAACATTACGTTGTTGGTTCACGCCAGTTTTCCGTGAGGCCGTGGTATCACTCGATGCGTGCCGAAACATGACACTCCAAAACTAAAAGATTTTTTATACAAACCAAAAATTATCACTAAGCTTTGCCTGGGAATCATATCCTTTGTCCCATAATATAATCAGAAAATTATCAATTTATTAATAACTAGCCTTGTTCGCGTGGAATAGTGACTTCTTGCAGATTTTTGGTTTAAAAAAACTATCCTATGTCCTTTCTCGAGTTCCGAACTATGTCGGTACCAATTTTCTCACAAATACGTTCAGTAGTTTAGGCGTAAAGCAAAGACAGACAGACAGAGTTACTTTCGCATATATAATATAAGTTTGGATTTGGACAAGCTGTGCCCTGCGTACGCGTTCACTCGCGTAGTTTAGAACTACTAGTTTAGTAACTATAGCCTATGTTCACCGGGGATTATGTTAGCTTCCAAATCGGTCAAGTTTTTGGTGCCTAATTAATGCATCAAAAACAATCAAACCGTTTTCCTCTTTTAATAAGAGGCTTGACCGGAGTGATACCACGGCCTCACAAAAAACCGGTGTGAAACAACCACAGCGTTGTGTTTCGCCGTGTGAGTGAGGTTACCGGAGGCTTTAATCCTTCCCCTTCCCCTCTCCAATCCCTCCCCAATCCCTAAATCTCCAAATCCCTATTCCCTTAAAGGTCGGCAACGCACTCGTAACTCTTCCGTTACGAGTGTCCATGGGCGGCGCTGATTGCTTACCATCAGGTAATTCGTCTGCTCGTTTGGCGAACGATTACATAAAAAAAAAGAAATCCACTAAATTGCAAGTCTATTCCATTTCGTTTGTTTCTTTTTTGAATCGTTCCATTTTTAAATGATTCAGAATATAATACAGGCTTACGATAAATCTAACACGCTGTTTCCCAGTATTAAATGCGCGAATCAAGGATGAATAAAAAAAATATAAAAATGAACCTTATTAACGTGCTTTACAAACTAAATTCATTATTTTCCTCCTTACGATTTTCAACTCTAACGTTCCAGACATATAGTTGAGTTTAAATATAACAATAACGGTGCTACCTGACGCAATAGTGTTTAAAATAGACCATTAGAGATTGCGTCGAACTTGAAACAGATTTGATGAAATATGGGAACGGAGTTGGTGTCTACGAATAGAAATGACAACTTTGTCGTTACGTAGCCGTGCCGCAAGGTTGAAAGCGGATTTATATGGAGAATTGAGTAGGTATAAATCCTGCTACATTTATCTTATAAACAGAAACAGAAATCTGGCGTGAACCAACGCTTACGCTTTGTTCTAATTGAGGTAGGTAACTAGAAGGCCCACTCCTCTTTCTTCTCACCCATTCCCAACGCCCTGATGCCCCACCCCTTAAATCTCAAACCACCTTTTTTGAGGGGTATTAAGCTTCGATCGCTATCGCTTGGGGCGTGACCCACAAAATGACCTAACATAAATCCACCTGATCCTTGGAGAATTCTACCGTAAAACGGGGTCAATAGAATTTGTCGGTAGAATTTTCCTTGTATCTATTCACGCCATTTTACCATTATCTTCAAAACGAAATGTCTCCTATAGATTTACTTTTTAAACTGTAAAACTTATAGCACATCCTTGAGAGTAGCCTGTTGTTGATGACGATGTCTGTTTCTCAGGTGTTATTATTCGAACCCGAGCGTACTTTAAAAAATCCAATAGACCACCACAGACGGGGCCCAACAGGGCTGATGTTCAGCCGGGGTTGCGGGGTAAGCGCAATGAGGCACTGCGACCTCGGCCCAGAGCAGGAGAAGGAACGGGGGGTTTTTAGTCAGTAAGAGTCTGACACTCTCTCTCGCCTTACCCTGGGCGGAGAAGTCATTAGATAATTTTACCCTGATAAAAAGGTGTTATTATTCGTTCCCCGTATTGACTATATAGGTCGGGTACATTGACATTAAGATTTACAATTTCCCACCATATGTACATACCTAAAGGTGAAGAAAGAATGATATATTAGTTTTGCGACTTTATGTTCGTTGCCAACTCTGTTTCTACACATACAAATAATATCCACTGTAAGTATCCACGTCTCGGGTCCGTATATCATCACTGGTAGGACGCACTCATTGAAGACTTTTGTCTTCAGGCTATGCGGTATCTTTGACAAGAATAATAAATGAAAATAATACCTGATAAACTTTCGTATATGCTGCATTCTTCCTCCTTCTCGAGCTGCATCCCTCTCGAAGTTGTTTTTACTGAACTGTATAACTATACAGTTTGGTCAAGGTAGACATACTCTTGAAAAACCTCGAGCGGAGATCCATTGAGGGTAATCGGCTCTGGAAGAACATGTTCATTGAACACCTTCGTTTTTTCTTCAGTTCATCCGATGTCCGATGCGAGCAGAAGAATCAGCGAGACTGTTCAGCATATATTGTAAGTATACACCGTACAGGACGGTGTCAGCCACTATGAGATGCGATTAGATGTGTAGTATGTCCAAGGTAGACATACTCTTGAATAACCCCGATAGAAGATCCTTTATATTCGAAGAAGATCCTCGAGTTTGATATTAAATTCCGTTATAATGTGTGAAATCTGCCTTAGCCGGTAAAAGCTAGGATAAAAAATATATGAAAGCTGTTGATTACATGCGTTTCTTTAA